CAATGACAGGAACCGTGGATGTTTAATGCTGGCACAGGACCACTGTGTCACTACTATGTAGCATGTCAGATGACCTGAAAGAGGTATGGTTGGGAAGCTGGGAACTGACAGATCTGACAGTCAGACCCTTGGAAGGACATGTCTTTGCTGGTGAAGATCAAGATCCTTCCTCCCCACCTGCGCTGAAAGGCGCAATACACCAAAGAAGCCTCGGTCCAAAGTATGGTCGTTAAAGGGACTCAAGCTGGTTGCATGCTCCAAAAATTCACAGAAAGACGTAGCAGTAAAAGTAACAAGTCATTTAGTAAGATGTTTTTCTTTTCCCCCCATTCAATGTAGAGTCTCCCTGCACATTGTCCCTTAAACCATTCGATAATGAATCGTACAACTGATCTTCAGATCTAGCCACACGGTCACAATGGCTAATCTCGTCTCAATCGCAGCAAAGTCCCTTATTCTGATGGGCCTTAGCTTAGGTATTTGTAAGATGTGAATAATCGTATATATTGGATCAGAATGAATGTGACATGGTGACCAGGAGTGAGAATCAAATATTAAATATCCTTTCACGTCCTACAGCAACAAGGTTGTGCGGGATATGACTGGATGCGAGAATCAATCCCTTCCACCTTTTAATACTAAACACCCCTGAGAAACCATGGTTTAGCAGGGGACTTTGAAAACTATATTTGGGACCATAAAAAAATCGTTTAGGGGGTGTGTTCATATCAGGGGGGGTGGGATTAAAGTCCATCAAAATGTATGTCAACCCCGGATTAAAAAAATTAGGGGGGTACTCCTCCAATAGTCATTTCATCTGATACTTAAATGGTACCCTCCCAATTAAACAATCTAGGGGTTTATTAATCCAGGGTTGACATTACCAAAAATCAGAGCCCTTTCTCCATTACGCAAGGCGTTTCGCTTGGCGTTGGTGCATAGATTGCATAGGCTGCGTCTGTCATTCAGCTGACACCTGACGAACCGCCGCGCGGAACCCGAAAAATGCTGGGAGTTCATTTCTCAAGTAGCTGTGAATGGCGGACGAAATTACTTGGGGATGGGTCAAAAGCCTGATACCCCTGGTGAACCCCAAAATAGCTGGTAAATGGATGTTCATCCCACTAAAAATGGTATTAATAGGTATTGATCCATTCCCATTTGTTCACTCTCATGCGCAAATTAGGGTCGTCCCCAATCGGTAGTGAGGATTTCTGGCTTCACAGACTTTGAGGCAACTGGTGCAAAACAAGGGTATCGGCAATCGGTATAGGGTCGTCCCCTATCGATAATGAAGGTTTTGCACACCCCTCGGCAAGGCTAAGGCGAAGCAAGACTAAATTAGTATTACAATAAATATATGTATTAATTACAATTTTTGGTATTACAATATATTACAATATATTGCAAGATATTGCAAGAATGTATTGTCGGTTACTCATGGAATAATTTGCCAGCTTGAAAGAAGGATGACATGTTTGGCCATGCGTGGATACCCGGAAGTGACCCGACAGTCAATCCAAGTCCCATCATTCCTGTGACCGAAAACGACGAAAAACGAATGTAGCACGTCAGCTACTCCACCGAAACACAGCCAGAAACAATGAAAACACACACACACATTATATATACATATATTTCCATATACATTGTGTCACTATATATATATATAGACATAAAATATGGAACATCACCATTTAAATTCATTTTAATTATATAGGTAAATCAAGAATTGTTGGGTCAATTCTTATTGGGTGATGTACAATTACACGGCCATGGCCCCACCTGCGATGAAAGGTGCAAGACGCCAAAGAAGCCTTGGCGCTTCTTTGGGGTTCAACGTCCATGTGGCAACCCAAGAAAAATCAATACCCATAGGATCCATGTATGGTATATATGCTAACATTGGGGGTATATTGATGGTAAATGTTACCATATATAGCATACATGGATCCTATGGGATAGAAAATGTGGCAAAAATCAACACAAATCCATAGAACATCCATGGACCGAAAGTTGACTGCTCTTTCTTCCGCTCAAAATGATTGGACGGATGTGACTTCCTTTTTTATCTTTTTTGAATGGGGCCGCTATAATTTTGCAAATGATTCCAAATGAAGGACTGAACAAATATAGTTGTGTGGTCACTTCTACCGCCATTTTGGCTACATGTTCATATGTTTTGTGGCCTTTCTTTGGGCCATGTTGAAAGTCGGCACTCAGACCAGGATGCTGGCACAGAAAAAGTCCACTGATTGTTTGAAACAACTGATCTCTGGGTTCCCCATCAGGAATGACATATCATGACATATCCACATACCATTCTGGCAACATCTGGCAACCGCCTCCGGGCCATCCCTGTGTCGGAAGCTTTGTAACCGGCATTATTTTTAACCGAGCCACCATCTGCGAATCAAATCTCATGGGACTCTCGCGCAGCGCAGCCATGATTTCCCCTTGGCCCAAGCACAGGTGCACGCAAAAAAAGGTCCATGCAACTTGGGCATTGACAAATGCAAAAGGAAGTTAGTTATTAATTTCAGTATATTTCAGTAGGATTTGCCGTGTCTGTTGATTTTCTCTATTTTGTTGGGTTGTAATTCAAGTCAACTGGGGAGCGTTTCCTTTTAGTTGAAGCCATGTAAAGCCATCATATTTCTGGTGTCTTAAGAGGTCCCGGTTATTATAGTAATTAGAATGGTCATGGGTAAACATCATCCCATTTCAGGTTTTAAGTAACGCACATGTTTGAAAACCAACCACCATACACCAACCAAATAGCGAGCGTCATTATCCGCAGAAAGCACCTGTAGGAATCCACACAAATTACAGCTTTTTACTACAAACATTTGATGATGGCAACTGTACGTACCAAACCACTTCCGCCGATTTGGAATCAAAGCTTTGGTTCTGATGGAACATCTATAGCAAACCATGGTTTACGGCCTCAAGTATTTGGCTGAATCAAAAGCCACGGAATCCCCTTCTGTGGAAACCAAAAAAGCCAGTAGTTCTGGATGTTCATCCAAACAAACTAAGACTATTGTTTTTTCCTAGGTTTGCTTTATCCTCATTGTGGGATTCTCTGCCAATGTTCATTTCAACCCGTTCAACGGGAGTTTCTGTTTGCCCCTGTTTCCGGGAGCGCACCTTCTCCCTCATCAGTGGTCGCCATGGATATGGCCAGGATGACCGGCACCGGTGACGAAAAACAAGGGATGGCGCCAGATTTTTGCATACTACGACATGGGCACATGGTGTTTTTTCCCCTCATGAACATTTATAAAAATGGGGTATGACCACCATACACCAAACATAATAGATGTAACATGTTTTAACCCAAAAGTCAAACAAGTGGGAGCCCAAAATACAGAGATTCTTGGATTTTTCAGCGGGTGCCATTCAGGGGAATGACAATCCAAGGCTAGATTCGGCTAGATTGGCATTGAAAACCTAACTGCGGGGAAGGTCTGGATGATGATAATCAAAGACTTTCGATGGGGATTGCTCTGCAGTATGAGTTGCCAAGCATGCACGGGTGACTTCGGAAAAAAGGTGCAAGCTGCAGGATGTGTTTTCTTCAGCGGAGAAAGGATGGGAAAGGATGGGAAAGGCAGCCACCAGCCAACCATTCGTTTTCAGTTTGGTGGGTTCCACCCCTTCAACAAGTAGCAATAGGTCATAATAGATTGGATTGATTGGGACTATCAGGATGGAAGAAACAACACCAGTCAGTTTTTCTGAAACACTCATCAGCTTGCTGGCTTGCGCGCCAGACTTCGGCGTCCGAAATTCCCGGGAAAACTTGGCAACCCTCGGAACTGCCATTTCTATAGTTGCCATGAACTTCATGTTTTCGAAATTCGCTAGTTGCAGACCAGTTCTGAGTATCCCCAAGCCCGATTTTTCCAATGTGAAACCCCGCTTCAAATGGCCTCCCGAGCTCCTCATTTTTTCCGAAAATCAGCTCGGAGCTGTTGGGCGTCTGCTCCACAGATTTCTCTGGGCTCAGGTTTTAGTGGTATGGTGATACATGATGAATATATGATGGGGCTTCAAACAAAGTGTGTTCTGAACGATTACAATCATGGCCAATCTTACCCTGCAAACATCAAATGCTTAGCCAGTTGCCATATAGTTGCCATATAATTAATTATATGCCATATATATATATCCATTGCCATATATTGCCATATTATTTCATTCGTGACAGACATTGACAGATCAAAGTACGAAATTACCCGTCCAAGGTTTACCCAAAAAGTTTAAATCAATGTTTGTGACAAACATTCTTTGGGGCGGTAAACTGTTTTGACCCTACCCATCCGGCAAGATCTTGATGGTTTCATTCACTTAAAAAGAGCCCATGTGTTTGCTTCTTCTCTTGTTGATTCAAAGTCTTTTTTGGTGGCTTTCAAGCAGGAAGGGAACACTCGGAGTTCTCGAGTTCTGTGCCATGGCCCTAACTGAGGCCCTATACCGAGCCAACTTCACGATGTTTTTTATTCGGAATGCCTGACAAAAATCTTGGGACACACGCCTTCGCGGCCAGTTGTAGCAATGCCTCTGGCAGTGCCAAACTGGATCCAAACTTAGTGGCGCTTTCTCGTGAAACACGGCTGTGGCCAGTGAACAACCATGAACAGCGTATGTTTAGTCCGCCAAGCAATGCAAGTTCATGATGTCGGGTCGAAGGATACATGAAATCATCGACAACCACCAATTACACCTCAATTCTGAGCATAGGTCATAGGTCCTGCAAAAATGTGGTCATATGCCCCTGCGAAACATTTGTTTCCCATACTGTTTTTCATTGGGTTCACTTGTCTCCGCCCAGTGGTTTCCCATACTTCCTCGAGAACTAGCGTGGAACCCCACGTGCAGTTTCGAAGTTGCACATAGTTGCACATAGTTGCACATAGTTGCACATAGTTGCACATAGTTGCACTGCTTTAAATGAGTTTTCCAAATTTCCTCTGCAATTTTCAGTTGGTATTTTTCAGGAGTTCCACATAGTTCCACATAATTTTCAGGTCGTCAACCCTCGTTCTAGGCAGCACCATCTGGCGGGCGCAAGATGATCAACTCCAAGTTGCTCATGTCCTTCCGGGACGTTGATCCCGGCGCCGCCGAGGTCGGTTGGTGGGAAAATCAGCGGATGTTCAAACGCCACGGTTAAAACGCCAAAGAGTCTACATTTAGAAACTTATTTAGATACGTTATTAAAAAAAAAAACACTATTAGCCCAAAGGTAAAGGAATATCTCCCGGGCATCTCATATGGCCGCACATGGAGAACCACTTATAAATATTTGCAACAAAACACATCAAAACACATCAAAAACACATCAAAAACATGGAAACTTTGAAGGCCTCCAGGCTTCTGACAAGGCACATCCCATTCGATCACTTCATCCTTTTGGTCAGGATTAAGCCTCGTGCTGAAGTCTGGCCCTTACAAGAAACATGGATTCACCCTGCCCAGAACAGGAAAATTCACCAGGAACCATCGGAATTCTCTTTTACCCCTTGTGGACAAATATGGACAGATGGTTGGTGAAACCTCAATGAATGGTTTTATGGTGGGTAAATGATGGTTGAACAGTTGTAATTTACAAACCGCTAAGTTATCAATAATTCCCCTATATTTAGATATATATTTAGCCAGTGAAACCAATAGATTTTCCAGTACTTTGACCCCAGCTTTCCTGACCAAAATCAATCACCAAGAAACTCAGGGTGGTATTTTGAAAAGTCGCGCCAACCCAACAAAACACCCTTGCAGCTGTTCCATACACGTCGTTGCAGCTGGTGGTAGGACAGGTCCTCGATCCTGTTGGGGCGCCCGCTGATCTGGGCTAGAAGTCGATCCGATTTGGACTTTGATTAAGAAAGTGTAATGATGCACTAGATTAATCAGTTAAGCCAAGCTGGAAAATATCCATTGTTTTTTTTTCTGCATATATATATATGAAATGCATGTCCATTGCCAAGATGGATGCCAAAAACCACAAGTTCACCTGCCAGAAATCATGGGGCACCACTGATTGGCTCAACAAAACACCATGTTTTGTATAACTATGATCAGCTGCGGCCAGTATTGACGAGTTCAATCGTGTGAAACAACATGCCTAGAACTTCAAACGTGTTCAATCGACCAAAAACTGTGTTTTTTTAAGTGTCAAAAGACCACATTTGATGTTCTTGGCGGTCATCTTTGTACACAAAAAAAACAGCAAACAAACAAGATCGGTCGAAGCAAACTTTTGGAAGGGCCATGGCATGACATGAATCCACCATTTTCCGACTCAACAAAACAACATAAATCCCATCACACCAATAAAAAAAGACACAACGTGTTTTTGTACATATACATCTGTTTTCCCTATGGATCCCATCTTTATACACCATTTTTTTAGGATTTGAAACATACCACCATCCAAACGATCCACATATCTTTCCACATTTTTTCCCATCAATCCACCATAAATCCAGGCCCCACCCAGCTCTCTCCCCCGCCACCCTGTGACGTAGTGATTGATGGGCGCCACCGTGACGAAGCCGATTCCGCAGTAGGGATCCTCCAGTTGGATAAAGAGCTCGTAAACCTCACCTAAAAATGGCGGATGGATAATATGAATAACCATGTTTAACGATGACAAATGGGGATTTACTATATGATTTTATCAATGTTTATCTAATATTCATGCGGATTTACATAGGGATTTATAATGGAATTTCACCACGATCTAACCATAAAAAACATGGTCATTGCAGCATGAAAAATGGCGCTTGAACAGGAATTTCTTCGGATTTCTTTGCTTGGACCGGTTTGATCTCCCTTCAACCGATTCGAGGACGTTCATGGTGGGCTTAGAAATGTCATGGGAGTCGAAAAATATGTATATAGATATAACGTCTATGGATAATAATATGTATATATAAAAAATATGTCTATATACAGAAAAATTTTAAAACAACAAAACACACACAACAAAATTGTATCTATGGTTACGTCATGCTACGTCACAATAGGTAATATGGGCCATTAATTCATATTATAGTTCATGGAACTGGGCACCTCTGTGAAGTGAATGAATGATGATGGCAAGTAATCCCTTCATCTGAATAATATAACCACTTGGGGGACACATGTTTGCAGCTCAAGGGTTCCTTCAAGAAAAGCGGAATGAACAATCAAGAAAATCCCTACAACCCTAGAAATGAATTGGGCGTTCCGGAATGAGATATTTTTTCTCTCTCCATCGCCAAATGACATAGCTGTCCGTGGGGAGGGGTTAGGTTATGCAAGCTATAGAAAATAACTCTGGGATGTTTGGGTTCATGCCCTGAAATGGAGATCTTATCCAGGAAACATAGAGGAAATTTCACCGCGTTAACCAATAGAAAATGCTGGTCGTGACCGTCTTGACCAACCCATGTGGGTTAGTCACCCCTGGTGAAATCCGCCCAGTCCTCCCAGTCCAAAAGATGAAATCACCAGGAAAAACGTTTTTTTTTTTTAATGGTAAAAAACAGGGGGTTCCTGGGTTTCCTGCAAAATTTTACCATGGGGGGTCAAAACAATTGACATGTCGAAATGGGTCATTCGTTCGGAAGGATCATCCCTTGCATCGTAGCTAGGTATGATCCTAGTTCCCCCATAAAAATCGATGGGATACCCCTGAGGGGACTTAGTGACTTTGTGATCTAAGTTATTTAGGTATGAATGGGCTATGTGTGTACCAAAAAAACACATAAAATCATCAACAAAGGTATTTCTTTACAACCCGAAGCTTCCAACCCCTGGCCCAATATTCACCGTCCTGGCCATGAGGGGAATCTGAAACCTCAACCCATCAGAACTATTTACCCCCAAGCTTAAAAATAGATAGCACACTAAATTCCCATAAGTGGCAGTTATAATTCCCAATCAACATCCATCAACATCAATAAATATAGGTCAACATCAGTAAACCACTCCAGCAAGTTAGCAGCACCTCTCCCTATCCCACCAAACTGTTCCAACCGCCCCAGGTGACGGTACCGCCAGCGCGTAGATGGCCGTCTCGCGCGCGTTGGTGTACATGAAGGAGCCCTGCTTCCTGGTCTGCCCCGGACCTCTCCGGTGACCCCGGTGGACCGTAGCAGGTGTCGCCCCCCAGGGTCGACGCGTGGGTCACGTGGGCGGGGGTGTAAAGTTGGGGTTAGCGGTTAATGGCTACAAGCACCATATGTTGAGATATAACTATGATATTAACCCCTGTAACTAGCACTTGTTAGTTTCAAAGTCCTTCGTTAACCCCGTTCATGTGTGGACAATCCCCGCCGTGTTTTAACCACGGGTATATATATCTACATATAAACAAATAGATCATATTATGCGACATGTATAAACAAATAAAATACATATATATATATATATATATCATGTGTTTTAACGTGCTTTAATTACAAATTTTGCAATTTTTGAAAATCTGCACTTATTGTTTAATGTATTTAAATCATAAGCATTTACTACGTGGGATGACCAACCAAGTAGCTAATCTTTGACATGGGTTGATAATGTCTTACCCACATATCACTATAACCAAACAAATTATCCAAACATGGGTGATGTTATAACCGCGACTTGAACAATGCTTTCCTATTGTTTGTTGGTTAGCTGACCAAGCAAACATAGGAAAACACAATGGCTAGGTGCCGGGCCTGGGCGTTGCGTAGCTGTGACCAAAATCACATGGTCAATATAGTTAAGTACTACAAATGGATAGCACTAAAATAGGCAAGGGATCAAGTCAATGTAAAACTGTTGTTGTTGAGGGAATTCAGGGAGTTCTGTCTTCTTTCGGTGGGGTTTGTAGTTGGGACTTTGCTAAGGCAGAATTTACAAGACTCTTGTACAGTAGCACAAGCATATGGCCAAAGCTGAAAATTAAACACCCTAATTAGAATTCTTTAGGGGGGTTAACATAATATATTTTAGCATAGTCCAACACGGTTCAACAATAGCCATGATAGGCTTGGTGCTTTCCCATCCACCAAAGATACCATTATCAAATTGGCTAGGGCCACAATTCCCATTGTCTTTAAGGTGGTGCCCCCCAGTTGGTTTCGTTGGTCAATGGGAATTTCAGGACCCTAAAGGCCCTAAAGGGGAGGTACCGTACCATTTGTATGCATTTGTCCGCCCATATTTTATAGGGATATTCCCTGAAATTTGGCCCTAAATCAATGGCCTTCTATATGGGTAGGGGCCTCCAACTTGCAAGTAGGTACCTGAAATGGGCAGCGATTCATTACCATCTGGTTCTGACTAACAGTTTGCCATGGAAAATCCAACAATTTTTAATAGGTAAACCATCTATTTCTATGGGCCATCTATACCATGGCTATGTTAGTCATAACAAGAGGGTAAGTCATTAAGTGAATACAACTGGTTCCACATATCTACGAGAAAGTGTAGTCATGTTGGATAGAAACCAACGAATCTAACAAACAGCGGCACCACCTTACATCCACTATTTAGCTCGATGATTTTCCACACAAACTAAACCCCAATTTGCCAATTTGCTTCGGGAATTAAAAAAAAACACGTTTGATTACCGGAGGGTAAATCACCCATCTTTCCCCAATCCAATGTCATTAGAATCACCATAAATCCACCATAAATCGACTATAAGTCCCAATGAGTTCCATCAAAAACCACCATCAAAAACCACCATTAGATCACCATTGAATCCCCATGGAACCCCCATTTTTTATCACCATTAAACCACCATTTTTCATTCCCAAGTTTCCATGGTGAAATTTTCGTATAAAATGGAGATCCCAAGATCCATTTCCGCCTCACGCCAGCGTTGCCATCAAGCACAGTTTCCTGGGAGCTTCATAGAGGTATGGTGGGTGTGCCAAATGGGTGTGAAATAATGGGGTTCTCATGGGAATATGTCATGAATATGTATGGGATATGTATGGAATAATGGCATTTAGAACTTACATGTCCAAAGTTCTAAACATATATTTTTGAGTTGATCTCAAAATGGGAGATACTTGGATTACCCCACCTTGCGGATCTGAATGGAGGAACATGCTGATTAATTAACATTGAATTGATCAACCATATAGAATTTAGGGGTTTCCAACATCTTTGAGACAAGCCCACATCTGCTTGGTGTTTCGAACTCATCACAAACATCACCCTAGGTACAGCAAGGGAAATCAAAAAACACATTGGCAAAGTCCGTGGGGGTCATCTGTGGCCCCAGATGGGTCTGACACTGTGACCCTTGGACCCTCCAAATTACCCAGAGCCTAATCACAATCTGGACTAGGAAGTTTGTTTCAATCTATGGTGGATTGTCCCGCACTTATCAGGCCTGTTTACTAAGTAGGTGATTGATAAACCTGGCAATGCAAATGAATGAATTATCAGTTATCAAGCGTCAAAATTGATAAGTATCCATTTGGTCTCTCTGAAACCTCTTTTGGAGAAAAACAATCGCCACCATAAGTTTAAACTCCTGCAAAAAGGTTTATCCACTCTGCAGGTTATGTTCTGAAAATCTATGGGTACCCCGAAAAGCTTCATTACGGGGAGTCTGTTCACCCCCATTATCCCCGTTCAGACTTTCAGATCCAAAAAAAAAACACCATACCCTCTGATTTTCCATAGCTATGTTGGTTTACCAAAGGGTAATTAGTGTTTCGGGAGGTTCATTGGTGATCTGCCGAAGAACACTCTTGGCATCCAGAAGTTCGGTCACCATTTTGCATTTCTTGCCACGGGATCCAGCCTGAAAAAACGTGGCTGACAGGGAGCTATCCTCAGGGGACCATTGAGGATTATCTACTAAATTGGGATACATGAAATAGGACTATTTGGCGATATGACTGGGATAATGAAAAGAAAAAAATATTATATATATATGAAACAATCATGTCATCAATTAAATTAAGACTTCTCTCGATATGTGACCAAGGGTTGTAATTTGTTCTTCTCACATTTCTTGCCAGGAGCTACTAAATCCATGATGACTCACGTGATCCCACGGGATTCTCCAAACATCAACGGTTTCGATATATTTAACGACGCTTGGGTAGAGTTAACAAACAAAGAAACAAATAAATGATGAGTAAATAAACACGAATAAACACAAACCATCAACAACTTGCACATAATAACAATATTCTAGATGCTTTCATAGAATCGCACATGTACCTGCACAGGTGTAGAGATCACATCCATACCTGGACGATCCACTTATAATAAGTTGGTTCTTTAATATTCTTTAATTACACTACAGCCCCGTTGTAATCAGAAGAATCCGCAATTAATCTAGTTGTAAAGCAACTTAGCTAAGGATTGGGGGTACTAACAGTACTCAAACTCAGCCCCTTGTCCTAAAAACGGCAAGCTTCCGCGCTCGGCCCCGAGGCGTCCGTTAGGGTGGTCATAACTGTCATGTTGGTGGCAGTGGAGGCAGAGCGTGGAATGGCACCTGACTCAGCTGACAGGGTCATGTTGAATCTCCATGATTTAACCAGGGAAAGCCTACAACCAACATCAACCAACAATCCTACTTAAGAAACCCAAGTGGCCCTGGATTTTGTGAGATTCGCCTGGTTTTTTACAAAAAAAACACAGGAAGGTCCTGATCATTCTGATCATCCTGATCGCTAAATTCTATGGGTGGATTTGTCCTTAGGCCATAGGGGATTTCAACTATCCAAACATGGTATAGTCATGGTAATTTCATCGGCGGCCAGGGCAGACTTTGGGCCAGGATCTAACATGTATCCACCTTGAAAAAAAAACGTGAGGATGTTGACCTGCAAATTGGTGAAAAAAACACATGGGAAAATATTGGGAAATGATATGTGGGGGTCCTGCATGCGATTTTGCTCCCAATTTTCAGCCATCTACTGATGAGGAAAACTACTAAACCAATGGATATAGGGGGTTATCTTTGTTGGCCATTGGGTTTAGCCGCTTAGCCATTATGTCTTTCGAGGTTTTCCCGGACTGGGAATGGAACCCATGGCCAGGTTCCTTTCGGCATGTTTTGGGATGCCTTGATCGTGTGAAAGTTTTTGGTGGTCCCGTGACTACCCCCATGTGTTTTGTTTTTTTTTGCACGCCCCCTCTTTTGCATCTATGCACTCTAATTGTTGAATATCTTCTATAACCGTGGCATGTAACCATGGACCATGGGCCCATAGTTCCCCCCATCACTTGGTTTTTGGGGGGCCAGGTATCCCCTCCTCGCCTGCAGAAGCCTGTATCAGCTCATCTAGCTTCTGCTTGAGGAAAATGGCCTCAGATATGCCTTGGGCCTGGAAAATTCCCTGGATTGTTGATGAACATCAAGAGAACTGTATATAATGTGGTTAAACAATAATACCGTCTGGTTATTTAACATAGCTATGGAAAATGACCCATTTATAGATGATGTACCTATTAAAAGTTATGATTTTCCATGGCTATGTTAAATAACCAAAAGGTAAACCCTCCCCCAGATCACCATAAATAGGTGGTATAAACCATTCCCAAATGGCTAGTTTATTATTGTTTTAACCACATTAGTGAAATAGAAATTCGCAGATCCTGCACGTTTACCGAGGAAGGCCGGACCATGTTGTTCGCGCAACTTGAGTGTTTTTGCATGTTTTTGCACCATGGAGCCGAGAACCATTTGTAAATCGTCAAACTGCACTTTTTGAAGGTCTTTCTTAGAAACCCCGCTCATTCCAGGATAAAAATGGACCCGGCTCACAAATCAAACGAGTTGTGTTTTCTTCCCTCCAGATGCATGGAATCATAAAATTGAATACATCTGGGCAAATTGTAATATTTCAGGATGATTTCCCTTACTAACCATGATTTCCAGGGTTCGGTCGCAGTGAGGTCGTTATAATTTTCCCAGATACATGGCATGGGTTGAGCACGATTCGTTATCCATTTGCAACCGTATTCTTCGTGCAGAACGGTTCCACAGGATCTCAGGCCAAACTCTTCGTTATTCCATAGGCTATCTCCCAAGAATTAAGGTATTATCTCATGATCACCATGTTGAATTGTTGAATGGTTACCCTCTGGTAAACTAACATAACTATGGAAAATCACCATTTTCAATGGGTAAATCCACTATAAATCACCATTTTCAATAGCTATGTTAGTTTACCAGAGGGTAAATCCCTAGTATTATAATCACCATAAAAACCCCAAAAAATATCCCATGATCATTCCAGAATCATTCCCATTGCTATGAGCCCATTGCTTCACCCATATCAACATCACCCTCTGGTAATTTAACAATAGCTATTTTTCAAATACCCTACAGTTCGTATTTTTTACTGGTTTCAACCCCTCTGACAAAATAAGAAAATGTTCCAAACCACCAACCAGCTATAGTTCGTAATTTTTACCCATCCTTTCAATGGTGGGATTTTCCAGTTCGCAAACTGTTACCCTCTGGTAATTTAACAGTTCGCTATTGAAAATGGCCCATAGACATAGTTGATTTACCCATTAATAGCATGGTGGATTTTTCCATCGTTTTTTCTATGTTTACCAGAGGGTACCCATCTACCTACCCATCCAGTTGGTTGACCATTTGTATTAACAGTTTCTAACCTTCAACCATTAAACATGCACCATTATTAATAGCCATAGTTTAGCCACTAAAAACAACTAAAAATTGTGGATTTTTCCATAGTTTACCCACTAAAAACCACTAAAAATGGTGGATCTTTCCATAGTTTTCCCACTAAAACCCACTAAAAATGGTGGATTTGTCCACTAAAAATTGTGATTTTCCATAGTTTACCCACTAAAACCCACTAAAAATGGTAGATTTTTCCATAGTTTCCCCACTAAAAACCACGAAAAATGGAGATTTCCCATAGTTTCCCCACTAAAAACCACTAAACATGGTGGATCTTCCCATAGTTTCCCCACTAAAAACCACTAAACATGGTGGATCTTCCCATAGTTTCCCCACTAAAAACCACTAAACATGGTGGATCTTCCCATAGCTTCCCCACTAAAAACTACTAAACATGGTGGATCTTCCCATAGCTTCCCCACTAAAAACCACTAAAAAATGGTGGATCTTTCCATAGTTTCCCCACTAAAAACCACTAAAAAATGGTGGATCTTTCCATAGTTTCCCCACTAAAAACCACAAAAAATGGTGGATCTTTCCATAGTTTCCCCACTAAAAACCACTAAAAAATGGTGGATCTTCCCATAGTTTCCCCACTAAAAACCACTAAAAAATGGTGGATCTGTCCATAATTTCCCCACTAAAAACCACAAAAAATGGTGGATCTTTCCATAGTTTCCCCACTAAAAACCACTAAAAAATGGTGGATCGTTCCATAGTTTCCCCACTAAAAACCACTAAAAAATGGTGGATCTTTCCATAGTTTCCCCACTAAAAACCACTAAAAAATGGTGGATCTTTCCATAATTTCCCCACTAAAAACCACTAAACATGGTGGATCTTCCCATAGTTTCCCCACTAAAAACCACTAAAAAATGGTGGATCTTTCCATAGTTTCCCCACTAAAAACCACTAAAAAATGGTGGATCTTTCCATAGTTTCCCCACTAAAAACCACTAAAAAATGGTGGATCTTTCCATAGTTTCCCCACTAAAAACCACTAAAAAATGGTGGATCTTTCCATAGTTTCCCCACTAAAAACCACTAAACATGGTGGATCTTTCCATAATTTCCCCACTAAAAACCACAAAAAATGGTGGATCTTTCCATAGTTTCCCCACTAAAAACCACTAAAAAATGGTGGATCTTTCCATAGTTTCCCCACTAAAAACCACTAAAAAATGGTGGATCTTTCCATAGTTTCCCCACTAAAAACCACTAAAAAATGGTGGATCTTCCCATAGTTTCCCCACTAAAAACCACTAAAAAATGGTGGATCTGTCCATAATTTCCCCACTAAAAACCACAAAAAATGGTGGATCTTTCCATAGTTTCCCCACTAAAAACCACTAAAAAATGGTGGATCGTTCCATAGTTTCCCCACTAAAAACCACTAAAAAATGGTGGATCTTTCCATAGTTTCCCCACTAAAAACCACTAAAAAATGGTGGATCTTTCCATAATTTCCCCACTAAAAACCACTAAACATGGTGGATCTTCCCATAGTTTCCCCACTAAAAACCACTAAACATGGTGGATCTTTCCATAGTTTCCCCACTAAAAACCACTAAAAAATGGTGGATCTTTCCATAGTTTCCCCACTAAAAACCACTAAAAAATGGTGGATCTTTCCATAGTTTCCCCACTAAAAACCACTAAAAAATGGTGGATCTTTCCATAGTTTCCCCACTAAAAACCACTAAAAAATGGTGGATCTTTCCATAGTTTCCCCACTAAAAACCACTAAAAAATGGTGGATTTGTCCATTGAATTTTGGTTCACGTTTCCCATGTCGGGCTACCCCAGCAACCCACCCCGGGTGTCCGAGGCACTGAGGTGAGATTCCTGGAATCCACCGCCAGGGTCGACTCGTCGTCGCGCAGCCGTTCCGCCAGGATCAGCGCGCAGTGGGCGCTCTCCAGCCTCCGAACAACGCGAAAAATACCAGGCGCGGAGGGTTCAGAAATGGGTCAAACCCCAGTGTTTCTAGGGGAAATACCAGTTATACCCCATCGAAATAGTGGATTTTCCCATGAAAAATGGTGTTACCCCATAGAAATAGTGGATTTTCCCACGAAAAATGGTGTTACCCCATCGAAATAGTGGATTTTCCCATGAAACATGGTGTTTTTCGATAGTTATATTATAGTTTACCAGTGTTCTAGGGGTTATTTCGATAGTTATATTATAGTTTACCAGTGTTCTAAGCATGAAAACCCTGGGATTTAACATGGATTTAGCATATGGTTAACTATAGTTGATGAGATTTTAAATGGTAGAAATACCGGATTCAATGGGATATTAAGATATAGAGTTCATTGAAGCGATGTCTCCTAAACGATAAAACTTTGGTTTTAATGGATTTGAAATGATTTCAATAATCTAAACAATGTTAACCATATTGACATGATTCAACTACTTAAAATCGTGATTGAACGATGACTTCTTTGGGGATTCAACGATAATTGCCAGGTCTGGCGGTGTTTTAGCCACTATATAAAGATGAGGATTTAATGGGAAATTCTTATCATATAATTGGGATAGTTCATGGCGTATACCTAACAAACTACCACACAAATAGCAGATGTTGCAGGGTTATACCACCATTTTTTCACATTAGTGACCCCCCAGTCATTGTGTGATTCACGGCCCTTAATCATCTAACTGATAAATTTCCCTATGTCACACTACAATGTGGTTCCCCCAGTTATGTATATCGGTTTAAATTCCCCCCGTGAGCTCATAGATCTAACCAGACCATACATCTAACAGTAGTTAAGTGTTGCTACTAATACTATTTGTTGGGTTCACCAACTTAGAAAAGGATTGGGGGCACCACGTTGTAATTTTTCTGAGTGTCCCATTTAGAGATTCGAGGGGTGAACGCACTAATCTACAGCCATTCCAAAAAATGGTGATGAATTCATCAACTCTCCTCAATGATGCTCATGTACGCCTTCAAACTGGTGGTAAAAAGCAAAATCCTTGAATGTAGACCATATAAGTGATATCAAATTCCCATTCAAGGCATTCAAAAACCCATAAAAAAACACTATAAAATCCTCAATGCAAAGCGTACTAAAACATCCCATTTACAGTATCCCACATTTTTTCAGCTCCAAACTTCGCCATGGCACGGCAATTTGGTCATGTCCCACTTGTTGGTGCTCTCGCCCTCGTACTGCTGCACTGTGATTCGGTTGAAGTTGCTGCGACCCGTCATCTTCCTGAATTGGAGACATCGAAGCGGAAGAAATCATTGTCACTGGATTGGCTTAAGGGAAAATCTGCAGGAAACTATGGTTTTTACTTAAGTTACCATCAAACATAGGGCTTTCCGGTTAAAATTTTCCCTTACAGTAAACCAATCCAATGACATTGGGGGTCAAGCCAGCAGACTTTGATGATTTTTGTGGATTTTTTTTTATGATTTCACCATAGAGAAAATGCGGATCAATTCATAAGAATTGATCTGAATTGCTTTAAAAAATGGGACCTCAAGCAGTAACCAAAAGCGGATTTTCCACATCGAAAACAAGAGGCAAGTGCTGCAGAATCCATTCCTCTCGTTCCGCCACTGGAGTCCTGGAAAGGGAGCGACTGGACCTTCCTGCTGCCTGCACGTGGATCTGGAAAACCCACCATTTGTAATCCATTCCTAGTACTAAAACTCCACCAAATAAAGAAAATAGGATTGGTGTGGCACTTCCGTTTTTTTTACGCTGGGCACAATCGGATTCTTAATTGTGGTAATTGAGAATCAATAGGAGAACAGGATGGTGAAACAATGGGTTCAACCCCCTATTAATAAAAATAGATTGCCACCTGGTTTATTATTAAGCTTTTCAATCAAATATTAGGCTTCGAAATCCAGTTTTTGGCAATATGTTAAATGTTCATATAGATTTTAATAAGGGATTTAATCAAATTTGAAATCGAGTTTTTTATTTCTATTATTAGGGTTTTCATTGTAATGAGGGGCCCTAGTACAAAATAATACTCCCTAATAATAAAAATAGATCACCGTGTTTACCATTTAGGGGGGTGTTTTAGTAAGAGGGAGAGATGATTATATAGATAAATGTCCAAGGGCAATCATCAAAAAAATGCGATCGAACATGATTTAACCAACCAAAAAGGTTGATTTCATCGATGCCAACTGGATTTTTGTTGCAACAAATTTAATAAACAAAACTGGACTGACGGGAAAATGTACGGTTGAAACATGTTGAAACCATAGTTCCCCCAAAATCTGCAGCAAAGCCGCGCCATGTTCTGCGGGTGAGTCCATCTCGTTGATTTCAGGTGACATTGAAAAAACACAAGAAAACATGAAACACCTTGAAACCACCAGAAAATCCTGAAATACAGATAGATATCACCTTTGAAACCAACAACTTACTGGTGCTTATGGAATATGAAGCTGTAGTCGTCATGGTACCCCCAGCCGTACCAGTCCACTCCGGCCTGGACAAGATGTGTACAGAGCTCCCAGAAGAGACATGGACGTCCTCAGGGCCGCTGGGACGAATCCCAGGTTGGGGCTGGGGGAGCCCATCCCAGGGGCAGGTCCCAAGGATCCCTCCTGGCCCCCCAAGCTGCGCCACGTGTCAATGGTATCCAGGATCTCTGCAATATCACCAGCTCCGGGGCATCCGAGCCTGGCATGGTGGCTACCAGGCTTTTGGGTCAACATTTGTTGACCAAACATCTGGGGGTAGATGGGATATGTTGCTGATATGGCTGGGATGACGAACTGGGTCTTGGGGATCATCATAGTGATGTGCAACTTGGCCATCCTTTGACCCCACATGACCAAAAAACATGCTGTGTGTTCCTTCAAAAAAATCTAGAGTTGGTAAAGTGGGCATACTCAACTATATACCTGGTAACAACCTTAATATAGCAATAGTTTCACCCACTACCACATTACCATGATGGCTAGTTTACTGTATATACCAGTTGACCTGGCTTTGAGTTGCACCAACTGCACCAGTAGGGCCCCCAAGTATGATCAATAACCATCAATAACCATGGTTGTGGCTAAAAAAACAAACATCCCACTGTGTTAACTTGGTCTAATCCGATTTTTTTGGCTGGTAACTCTATCCAAAAGATATCCTCCATGATATCCCCGGGATGCAACTGTCTGCTTGGGATCCGGCACAAGCACCGTCTTGGGTCCATCCGCTGCAGGACCCAAACGCAGTTGGCCATCGCTCTTGACCTGGTCGCTTCAGTGGTCCCAGTGATCCCCAAAAAGATCGGAAAACATGTAAAGAGTTTCACTTCCAATGGGATATACAAGGTGGTGCCCCCTAGATAGCGTTCAGTTGGTTTATAACTCCAATAACTATGGTTTATAGGTGATATATCTATATTAGTTGATGGGGTTTATGAACCAATTTATAACTAGGGGGGCACCACCTTGTAGACATGGGATATGAAAACTTTGAATATCTTCATCTTTCAATGGGATATGGATATGTTGGAAATATATTTGAAAATCATCCCAGCACGAAATCACACTTTCGTTGCAGGATGTGTTGTTTCATATTGTCTGTTCAATGACTTTTACCTCATAGTTGTCGAATACTTCCGAACTGAAATGAGAACATACTAGTAGAACCAATCATCTTCAATCATGGACTTTTTGGTGGGACGTGAGCATCAACTATTAATCCATGTCCTTTACCTCATAACTTTCAAGTTTCACTCTGGATCACTCTGGGTCTATTTTGGACTTGCGTTGCTCAAGATCCCAAATGGTCCAGAGCTGCGTGTCGCGACACGTTCCCGGAATCTCTCGCTGTTCGGCTTGGTGTTCATAATATGCAGCACGCTGCAGCTGAAACCCAAGATGCTTGGGTAAACCAACGGCGAATGAACCAATAATTATTTAGTGAATTCAACCTACATCACTAATACCATTCACGCGGGTAAAAACCCGCAATGCAAAATGCATATGGGTGGGGTGGGGTGGGGTGGGGTGGGGTAATAACGTTCATGTTAACTTGTACACCGACGTCATGCTACGCTAGGGTGATCTTCTCTTGCACACACACCGACGTTCATGTTAACTTGCACACTCTCTCTGTACGTGTTGAAAAACAATTGGCCATTCATGATGCCAATGTTCAACCATCGTTTCAGCAGCTTAATAAGGTGAGATACACCATATACGATCTACATTAATTAATCTACAAAACAACTGCCGCATCATGGATCAGTATGGCATTACTGGTTGATTGTTCTAATCTTTCTCAAAAGTATCAATGAGGATCCCCTCAAATATAAATCTCCATGGTCGGCCGCTCAATGGGGTTAGGTCAAGCAGCTTGCTGTTTGGTTCCCACCCTTTAAAGGAATAACCTCTTAAGTAGTGGGTTATCTGGTATAATATCTATCTAACCCCAGAAGAAATCAAATGTGTACCTATCACCCACCTAAAAATTAATCGATTCCTAGCAATTGTATCATATCCCATAAAATTACCATTCTTAATGGTTGAACCTACCGTACTTGGGGGGTGCAATTGGGCTGAAGCCAAATCTGTGCATCCTTTTGAATCCCATTGAATGACCACTCATTCTCATTATCACCAGTTTTGATTCTGGTTTATAACTTGATTAAGTATAGATATATCTACCATGATTCTGGTTTATGACTTGATTTAAGTATATAGTTATAGATATATCTACCATAACCCCAATTGTTGCAAAATTACCATGTTCACCAACCCGTTTCTAACAAACTGGGACACCTAAATCTTCACCAATAATCCTTATGATCCTCATTTTTGGCAATAACATGTCCAAGTTCTACCCTCTGGTGATTTAACATAGCTATTGAAAATGGCCATTTATAGTGAGTTTTCTCATTGAAAATGGTGATTTTCTCAGTGAAATGTTAGTTTACCAAAGGGTATCCAAACTAAAATAATATTAATCCAAGTAAGTCAACACGACATCACTATGAAATCCCAATAAATCGCCATTTTGTTCCACGTCAAATTCCCAATTCCTATAAACATAGATGTTGGTTACATTGTCTTGTTATATCCCATTCAACCCGCATGATTATCCCAATAAATCAACCATGCCTATCGGAGTTAAATATATCTATATCATCTATCTATCTCTCTATCTCTCTATCTCTCTATATCTCTATCTACCTATCTAACTATCTACCTATCTACCTATCTACCTATCTACCTATCTACCTATCTACCTATCTATCTATCTATCTATCTATCTATCTATCATTATCTATCATTATCTATCATTATCTATCATTATCTATCATTATCTATCATTATCTATCATTATCTATCATTATCTATCATTATCTATCATTATCTATCATTATCTGTCATTATCTATCATTATCTATCATTATCTATCATTATCTATCATTATCTATCATTATCTATCATTATCTATCATTATCTATCATTATCTATCATTATCTATCATTATCTATCATTATCTATCATTATCTATCATTATCTGTCATTATCTATCATTACCTATCATTATCTATCATTATCTATCATTATCTATCATTATCTATCATTATCTATCATTATCGATCATTATCTATCATTATCTATCATTATCTATCATTATCTATCATTATCTATCATTATCTATCATTATCTATCATTATCTATCAATATCTATCTATCTATCTATTTATCTATTTATCTATCTATCTATCTATCAATCTATCTATCTATCATTATCTATCATTATCTATCATTATCTATCATTATCTATCATTATCTATCATTATCTATCTATCTCTATCATTATCTATCATTATCTATCAGTACCTATCATTATCTATCATTATCTATCATTATCTATCATTATCTATCATTATCTATCATTATCAATCATTACCTATCATTATCTATCATTATCTATCATTATCTATCTATCTTTATCTATCTCGATCTATCTCTATCTATCTCTATCTATCTCTATCATTATCTATCATTATCTATCATTATCTATCATTATCTATCATTATCTATCTTTATCTATCTCTATCTGTCATTATCTATCATTATCTATCAGTATCTATCATTATCTATCATAATCTATCATTATCTATCTATCTATCTATCTATTTATCTATCTATCTATCTATCTATCTATCTATCTATCTATCTATCTATCTATCTATCATTATCTATCATTATCTATCATTATCTATCATTATCTATCATTATCTATCAGTATCTATCATTATCTATCATTATCGATCATTATCTATCATTATCGATCATTATCTATCATTATCTATCTCTATCTATCTATCTATCTCTATCTATCTCTCTATCTCTCTATCTATCTATCTATCTATCTATCTATCTATCTATCTATCTATCTATCTAATCTATCTAATCTATCTATCATTATCCATCATTATCTATCATTATCTATCACTATCTATGATCTATCTATCTATCTACCTATCTATCTATCTATCTATCTATCTATCTATTTATATATCTATCTATATATCATATATATATATATATATATCCCACATTACATCACCATGACATCAGCACTTTTCCTTCGCAAAAATCATGAGCAAAAAATGTCAAAGGGCTGAGCTCTTAATGTGTTTTCATGTGTGACTTGCCTGCTGAGTTGCCTTTGTGTCAGAACCTGCAGTACACTGCGAAGTACAGGCCAAGGGCAATGTGAAAATCACCAGTTCCAAATGGTTTCAATGGGAGATCTCCAGGATCCTAAATTGGAGGTCCGTTAGTACCATATCATATGTCTGGCCATATTTTGCGGGGATGGTTGGTGGTTGAGCCCTACCCCTCTGAAAAATATGAGTTCGCCAGTTGGGATGATGACATTCCCAATATATGAAAAAATAAAATGAGTTCGCCAGTTGGGATTATGACATTCCCAATATGAAAAGTCATAAAATTCATGCTCCAGTCACCACCACCCAGAAATGGTTCCAAGACACCAGGGACTCCGCCAGGTACAGCCCTTTTGACTCTTCAGGTGCCACGGTGGCGGCAGAGGTAGCGCTGGGCCGTGGGACCACACAACGCCTGGGACTTGACAGGGACATTTGTTGCGGGACTTTTGGGGGAAATCCTTCGGGAATGTTTGAGTAAAATGTGGTGGAATTGTTGGGAAATTGTTGGGGGAATTTTGAGAATAATTGGGAAAAACTTTGGGGAATGCTTGGGGGATTTGAGACTAGGGATCGCTTGAAGGTTGGGAAATTGAGCTCGCAAAATCATTGGGTTTCGAACATTTGAACCAGTTTTCTTGCAAACCATAAATGGAGATGTTGACAAACAAAAAGCGGGAATTGACTTAAAAACTGGGTGATGTCGACAATGAAGAGCTGGGAATATAAAATCAAAAATAATGATAGAAGGTAACCATTTTCACAAGCGGGAAGGCTCCACCAACGACAACTGGCGATGTTGACAAGCAAAAATTACCCTCTGGTAATTTAGCATAGCTATGGAAAATCACCATTTTCAATAGGAAAATCCACTATAAATGGTGATTTTCTATAGCTATGTTAAATTGCCAGAGGGTAAGGATCTTGATTAAGCACACTAGATGTTTGGGCACAAAACTGGCATGTTGACCAACAATCATTGGGATAGACCCTCGAAACAGTGGTTTTCGCCATTAAATACAGGCACCAAGAAACAAGGCCAAGCACCCATTGGATGCGACCAGTTGTTCCATTTCAAAAGGCGCTGGCGTTGGCCATAGGTTTGTTATGGATATGCCCAAACAAAAGGGAGATCATCAGCGGATTCTGCCTTTATTCCCGGAGTGGAGAGTTCAAAAAGGCCAGAAATTTTCATCCAGGGATAGGTCAGGCACATGAATGCACATTGATAAGCTGAATGCAGTGTTTACCATCATAGTAAGTTATCCAAAACGTCGATTATTATCATTATCATGATAAACTAATTGGGAATGGCGCTGAGTGGCGCCTGGTGGTTTTAAGGTCGTTTGTGTGCACTTCCCAATGTGACTGCACATGCAGCCTTGCACGCCTTTTTTTTCACTTCTCAAAAGCTACTTCAACCATGGAGCAATTTCAGCGTAACATGAACATGAACGTTGACATCCCACCCCACCCACCACATCCCATGATCAGCGTAACATCATCAGCTGAACATGAACATGAACGTTAACACCCCACCCCACCCCACGATCAACGTAACATGAACATGAACGTTGACATCCCACACCACCCCACCACACCCCATGATCAACGTAACAAAACCAGCGTAACATGAACATGAACGTGAACATCCCACCCCACAACACCCCATGATCAACGTAACATCATCAGCGTAACATGAACATGAACTTTAACATCCCACCCCACCCCACCCCACCCCATGATCAACGTAACATCATCAGCGTAACATGAACATGACCGTTAACATCCCACCCAACCCCATGATCAACGTAGCATCATCAGCGTTAACATGAACATGAACGTTAACATCCCACCCCACTCCACCCCATGATCAACGTAACATCATCGGCGTAACGTGAACATGAACGTTAACATCCCACCCCCCACCACCCCACCCCATCATCAAACAAAAACAGAAAAACAACAAAAACAACAACAAAACACCCAGGCTCCCTGCAGCGCCCATGGCAACTAATTCTTATGGTAAAACAAAGCAAAACTCGACATGGATAGGCTCATGTTTTTCCCCTATGATAGCCTAGCTCAGTCTAACGTTGTCCAACGCAGGGCTAATCTGCAGGGCACTTTGCCGCGGCTGCATGGGGCGCCACCAGCACCAAAACATCTTGCGCCTCAGAGAAATGGTGGGAAACAGCTGAACCCGTTCTAACCAGACAACCAGATTTCCCTGAAAAGTCGCCAACGGAATTGCATTTAAGAGCCATGTTTTCATATGGTTTCCACATATTACATATCACATATTACATCGCATTTCATGAACACCATACTTTATGGGGATGTTTATGGTGTCCAATGGCAAAACAGAATCATCTGTCAAGCGTATCTTTTCAGGGAATATACTGACTTCGCTAGACCATGAAAGCAAACTTGGAATTGCCATTGCTCAGCCGGAAAATCATAGCTGGCAGCTTCGGCCCTATCGTATTTTTGGAAGTTCCGTCATGGAGTAAAATCTATGCGGTCGAAATGTTTACCTCCGCTTCTTGATGGTCAAAGTCCCACTTTCTGTGGCGAAGATCCAAGTTTTTAATCCTGAAATCCGGGTTCCACACACCTATGCTCTTATTTTTGCTGTAGATCTACCATTAACCCAAGGTTTCTGGTGGTGCTTTGTTCATAATGAGAATAGAAATATATGATTGCCTATACCTTGGGATACCTCGGGTAATGTATTAAACAATGTTGTTTTTCATGTATCAAGCTCATACTGGAACAAACATATGAATAAAACATATATCAAGCTCATACCCATGGCTCATCACATGTCTAGTCTCGGCCCCCAACAACATCATCTGGATGTGTGGATGAAGGGACAAGCTTCCTTTGTCTGGCTGACTTGTTCACCAAACTGAAATAAGGTGATTGTGGTGAAGTTCCTCTTCATAACTCTAAACCATCATTGATGGTGACGTTGCAGTAAGGTCTCTATACTCTTCTCGGATAGACATGCTGCAAAAAGGCTTGCATTGCTTTATTGCAAACCTTAAGCACCCAAGAATCTAGTCAAATAATGCAATCACCATAGATAGTACAGGGTTGTCTGAAAAAGATTGAAGAAAGTATCTCTACGACTACGATTAAAATTTTCATAAGATCCGATTACAAATGGGTGTACATTGTATTATTATAGATATACTATTATACCCCATTTCCAAGCTGCTATATTATCCCATTCAGTCCCCATAGAGAAAGGTTCTCTTTCACCAATTGGATACCCTCTGGTAAACTAACACTTTGCGAACTGGAAAAATCACCATCTTTGAGTCCGGTAAATCAACGAACTATATCAATGGGCCATTTGACCGTTGGTAAAACAAAAATTAAAACCATCCCCCCGTCATCACCATATATAAATAGGTGGTCTGTTTACCAATCCCAAGGTCATGTGTGGTTTATGACATTGTTTTAACCACATTAATTAATTTTCTAGATTGGTTTATAATGGTTTATAAACCCTATTAACAATAGTTCTATCATGTTATATCTACCATGAAACCATCGTTTCCTATGGCCCTTGTTTGAACCACGTCGCAAAAAAAGGCGTAACAACGGCCTAGGCCTAGGCGCCTGCAGGCAGTAGTTTCCCTCAGGGATGATGGACGACTTCGCCGAGTTCACGCCGCCTGAGAAATCCGGGTGGCCGGGCTTTTTTTTGGCTGGTGATTTAACCATATTTATATACATATATATCTGGGATATATGGTGGTTAATTTATATACCATATATATACCATATACCATATATATTCTTTTTATTTTTATATACCATCTGGTTATGACTAACCACCATTAATATCCCATGGGTCTTATTTTTGATCGTTATATGAAGTTATACCATCTGGTTATGACTAACAGTTTGCCATGGAAAAATCCACCATGTTTAAGAACGGTAAACCATCTTTTTCTATGGGCCATCTATACCATGGCTATGTTAAATAAGCGGATGGTATTGGTTACATCTCGATTTTACATATTCGTTGCATCTTGATTTTGAGATGAAATACGGTTTCTAAAATGGTGTTGCAAAGATGATGTTACGAGTAAACATGTCTGGTCCTTGTCTTGTTGGGCTTCGTGTGATATTCAGGGAGTTGGAGTAACCACCACAAAAAGAAAAACAACTGCTTTGACAAGTAAAGCCACCAACAAGGCCCCATCCTGTAGATTCCTGTAGCACTGTGCAATCTTATTGAAAACTGCATGGAGCAGCCAGGTACCAATGAAGTGTTGTCTGAATGGATACCCCGAGAGCGCGTAATAACCGCGATAAAAACAAGAGGAGTAACCACGATTGAAAAAAGTGGTAACCACGATAGAGAACCGATCGTCAAGCCCGATAACACCATTATCGCCAACAAACTATCTTGCACTGCATCGTACTTTTTTCAAAATCTGCGATGGCGTTGTTGACCAGGTCCAGCAGAAGAGCCAAGGTGGGGTAACGGTCCTGCAGCAGGCAGCTGCCACCAAGGCCAACCGTGAAAAAGCGTGAAAGACCGTGAGACACCATGAGAGACCATGAAAGTTTGTGACAGACCGTGAGAGACCGTGCGAGACCGTGACAAACCGTGCGAGACCATGAGAGACTGTGACCGTGAAAGACCATGAGTTACCGTGACAGACTGTGAGAGACCATGACAGACCGTGAGACGCCGTGACAGACCCTGAGAGACCGTGAGAGACTGTGACCGTGATGGACCGTGATGGACCGTCAGAGACCCTGAGAAACTGTGAGAGACCATAAACAGACCATGAAAGACCGTGACAGAGGTGAAAGAGCGTGATGGAGCGTGATGGACCGTGAGAGACCCTGAGAGACTGTGACCGTGAAAGACCATGAGATACCGTGACAGACTGTGAGAGACCATGAAAGACCATGACAGACCGTGAGACACCGTGACAGACCGTGAGAGACCGCGAGAGACTGTGACCGTGAGAGACCGTGATGGACCGTGAGAGACCCTGAGAAAGTGTGAGAGACCATGACAGACCATGACAGACCGTCAGACACCGTGACAGACCGTGAGAGACCGTGGTGAAAGACTGCGACCGTGAGAGACCGTGATGGACCCTGAAAGACCCTTGAGAAACGTGAAAGACCATGACAGACCATGAAAGACCGTGACAGACCGTGAAAGACCGTGATGGACCGTGATGGACCGTGAAAGACCATGAGATACCGTGACAGACTGTGAGAGACCATGAAAGACCATGACAGACGTGAGACACCGTGACCGTGAGAGACCGTGACCGTGAGAGAATGTTGAGAAACTGTGAGGGACCATGACAGACCATGAAAGACCGTGACAGACCATGAGAGACCGTGATGGACCGTGATGGACCGTGAGAGACCCTGAGAGACTGTAAGAGACTGTGACCGTGAGAGCATTCATGAGATGCCGTGACAGACCGTGAGAGACCATGAAAGACAATGATAGACCGTGAGACACCGTGACAACCCCCATGCAATCCCAGCGTTGGTACCTCAGGTAGTTTCAAGACCTCCAACAACCATCAACAGCTGCCTATTTTCAATGAACCATATAATGCTGCGCATGAATCACGTAAGCCAAAAATGAGGCCCCTTCTGAAAAAGATCTTTAACGAACCACGTGGTACCAGAATCATGGGTGGCATGTTATACGCAGCTCCTGTGAAGCATCCAAGTTGAACACGTCGTATGAATCCTGGCGCCACGCAGGAAACCGGGAAGGGATACAAGGTGATAAACCGAACGGCCACAGGTTGAGACAGCAAATCGTGTACCAAGCCAACTCGGGTCGCCACGTCGTCATGTCACGTTGTCTTCCAATGTTTGGCTTGCCACAAACCCTCCTGCTTTGAAGCTGTCCACGGTTTTTTTTTCGCCCTACTATGTTATACTTGGCATATCTATTGTCTCCTATGGATTCCTATGGTTGCTTCAACTTGCATGTCCACCGTGGTGGCCCTGTCCTGTGACACAGGAGAAGCCGCGGCAACACGTGTGGCATCCTGCCAGCTGCAATGATGAGACAGTGGTGGAAATGGTGGTAGCTAAGCTTCTACAGGTCATGGGAGATCCACATAGATTCACCACGGTAGATTCATAGATTCAGCTGTTAATGTTGGCGGGTTGGTGGTTTCAACCTCTTTGAAAAGAATTGGTAAATCAACCGGCGATCTTGGTCCACTGGCCCTCTCCAGCAGAAGCGCATTAGTAAATCAACCAACCATCCCAAGCATTTGGGAAATGCAAAAATGATTCTGGGAACCGCTCGGCTGTGGTTCATGCTTTGTGGCGAAACTACCGCTGACCGGGTTTGTCATTCCAAAGACTTGGAACCTCAGTTTAGTTTACTCCAACTCACAGAAGTGTACCCGGCCAAGCTCATCCAAGCTCTACGGGTTCAGATCTCCCAGGTGAGTAGTCACGGCCACTGAGATGCTTCATAGCATTGCCATTAGCAGCTAGGTATCAGAGCTGTCCCTAACCAAATGCGTTGCACCCGAAACTCCTGAGTGGGTCCCAGAGAGCTGGCGATCTGATCCTCCATGGACACCTGGGAGACGTCATGGGTCAAGAGAGGGATGCCCACTCTCAGACTTGGAACGAATTGACCAGGGTCAATTCGACCTGCCAATTTGGTTGACTGCTACCTGCTTGTCATGCAAAAGGAAGGTGGCTGGTTCAATTTGGCAACTGTTAATGCTCAGCCATGGCTGAGCTGCGCTAAAATGTGCGTTTTGCGAGCGTTAGCGATAACGATCACCAGAACAACTCGTGAGTTGTAACCAAATTCATCAGCGAGTTTAGGCAGTCTGTCAGCTAAACAACCAGCACGTAAAGCCATGAATGTTTCTGGCGAAACACTATTGATACTTTCCTACTTTTCCTCACTTACCCGCCTGCAACTGCAAACTGTCCATCTGTGAATCCTGGGAGACAGGAGAGGCTGGAGAGGCCTCAGCGCCAATGAAACAAGGAATCAATCAAAGAGACCACTTCTTCCAATTGCATCTGCTGGAAAAAAGATGACGCTCCACACCCAGCGTTCAGTAAACCTCACCAAGCACTGCTAACCATGCTTCAATGTAGCTCTCGGGTTTGGTAACACATCTGTGTTCAGTAGCAATCCTGCTGAGCCCGACAAATCCTAACATGCAATGCCAACTTTGATCGATAGAATAATTGGGATAGCAGGCTCAACCAGCTAATCACAATATTTACGTGGTTGAATTTACTTTCAACTGAAGAATTAACAAACTCGCATCACCACTTGGCTGGCGTTGATGGCAGCAATTCTCAAGCTGCCAAGGGATGAAGCGGCCATGCAACCACTGATTGAAAAGGTCGCAAGCTTTTGTCCACTGAAAGTGCCGGTGCGGCTCGTTCTGCAGCACTTTCTGCCCAACCTAGGATCGTCACGAGCTGCCAACACGGCAGGAAAACTGACAAGTAATTATAGGCGTGAGTCTTAGCGTTTGAAGAAGGCAAGGCGATCTTGCCAAAAAAACATCATGGACAGACCGGATAGGTCTGCATTGAATTAGTCCTGTGCTGTGCACATTGTGCACCTTCAGGGCGGTAATCACACTGACCCAAAGAAAGCGCAACACGTGATGCCACATGATGAAGCTCCACGTGGCACTCATCGTCAACGAGCTCTCTTTCGGGCTCGTGGGTTCGTTGCCTCCTCAGAAGGGCTTCTGGCAGCAGCTCCTCGTTGTGGATTTCGGGGCACAACACCTTCCGTCCAGGTTTCCAGCCCCCACCACTCCTCCGCAAGATGTTGATGCACACAATGCGAATGCCATGACATGGCCCAGCAAGTGCAGCGCACTGGATGGCCAGGGATGTGCCAGATCAGGCAATACTTCATCCACGTGTCGTCGAATCTCTCTTTCATGAACTTGACCGAACCATCTTCTTGAACTTCTAGAATGCTATCTTCGAGCAGAAGGTTCTGAAGGGGTCACAAATACATGTCTTCCTCACAGCAATTCTCTAAAACTCTGGCGCGATATGCATTGACATAAAATGTTTTTTCCATCCCGCGCCTTGACCGCGACGATATCTCGGGTGATAAGTTGCTTGCGCATGCGCTCACATATGCCAGCTGGCGGCTCGCTGGAGCAAGTCAACGCCATAGCCATCCACCTGACAGGAATGAGCTATGTGATCACCTGTGCTCTGCATTGCGGGAATCGGATATGCACGCAAATACAATCTGCGTGCATATCCGATTCAAAAACCCCCAAAAACAAGACCCAAAAAAACTTCTGCGCCTGGTGTCGCCACGCTTCATCTCTTGGTGTGGAAAACGTTTCCGGTTCTTCTTCATCTGGTGAAGAACTTTCGGGATCCCGGGAAACTTGACAACCTTGTCCATGAAAGGCGGTCGCATCACGCATCCTTCGGCATTCAACATCCATCCATCAGGGGACAACGGGTAGGAGAACCGCAAGCCATCATGGCCACTATCACTAGCACCCATCAGTGTCAAAGGGCAATCGGTCTGAGCATCGCTGGGCGACAACGGAGCAGTCCACATTTTCAAGCATTTGGTCAACATGTCCAGGACATCTCGATGCGTTTTCAGCGGCCCGAACCTCCGGATGTCTCTTTTGAACTTCGCATTCATCTGCTCGGCCGGCTGTTGGCTAGCAGGAGGAAGAGGTTGATACTGGTGGCTGCTACCAGCCCCACTCCACCAGTGCGCTGTGAGAATCTGGCCCTCTGCCGAAACCTTTTCATCCACCGTTCTTGTTGCTCATGTACCACTTCTCGAAGTAACTGCACCAAGATGGTTCATTCCATTGTATGCGAGCTCTGTTCAACACAGCTTCCATGCAAACGTGGAAGAAGCTTTCTGAAGGTGCAAATATCAAGCGAGACTGCAGACCCAAGAATGCCCAAAGCTTGCCACCTTCCATGTGCGGCGGCTGCTTGTCTTCGTCCTGCTTCGGCATGCTCTGGCGACGTCGAGGTCTTGCCTTTCCTTTAGCCTTGGCCTTGGCCTTTCTTTTGGTAGTCTTGGTGGCTGCGCTTTGATTGGTTTTGAGATTTCGTCGCAGATGTTCGTTTCCACGTTTGAAATTGACACGATGGCCCCATGCCCTCTCAGCGGCCGACCTCGAGCCACTGAACCAATCAAGGTTCACTTGTTCGGGAGCCACTATGTTTTTCCTGACCATGGCATCTTGCAAGGTTTCGAAACCACGTTGGTAAAGGTCACCTTTCTCTCTGGGCCCGCATATTAATGCTAGGGGCCAAGTAGACCGCCGCCAACGCTGCTTCAGCTTGCGGTACGCACATGCACCTCATGGAATGATCAGATACAAAGGCGCGCAAACGATCATGGTTCGTGCCTGACATGCTATTCACACTTGCATTCATTCCAGACAGCTCAAGACATCGGCTCTGATGAAAAACAATATATAGGGAGCGCAGAACGCGCACAAATGAAAACATTGACTTATCCAAAAACTACATCCAAACATGTACTAACAGGAACGCCTGCAAACGAGGCGCAAATCAGGCCGTACTCGTAATTCATGTGTGTGAAGTTGAAGGTAAAATCAGCGCAGATGGATATCCGTGCCGGCTTCAGCTCTGCAATGCGATTCAAGAATGGCTCCAGGAGTGCTACATAAGCAAAGAATGGATCGAACTGAAGCACCGGCACCGACAACATGCTGCCATCCAAAGTATCCAAGAAGCTCTTGAAGTCCCGGACGCTTTCAGAAAAGCGCCGCTTGGCTCCGCCATGCGAGAATTTCCTCGATCGCAACAGGTTACGAATTTTCCTGGCTGATATTTGCAGCGCTTGAGCTTGATCACCGAGTTTCATCTTCACACTGCCAGCTGTAGCAGGCCGACCGGTCTCTAGCAAGTTGTCCGCTGCCTCATGCACTGCTTGCCGGCCTTCTGCAGTGACTTCTTCCGCCTCATCTCTGCCTGCATGTGCTCGTAGAACACGTGGTTCCCCGCTGCATGTCCCATCCTTTGACACCGAAAGTTCCAAAATGGTATCTTGAACGCCCTGGAAGCGACCAGTGAATTGGAATACCGTACCTTCAGCATCAAAGCATTTCTGGCATCGATGGCATCGAGCTGTCAGCCGGTATTTGTCGTCAGGACAAAATCTCGGGGTGGACCAGGTGCCAAGAATCAACTTCTTGGACTTGGCCCACGCCTGCGCTCCCTTCCGGACTGCACTCTCTGGATCGGATGTTTCGGGATCTGTCGGCAAAGAAACTGTTCCCACCTGTTCAGCAAAGGCCAACTTCCGTCTGCGACGAGGAGTCTCAGTAGCTTTGCCATCTGCCGTCGCTTTATCCATGTCGCTAGCTGTCTATTGTGGGCACCGAAGTCTGTGCAAGTCTTGTTGATGGTGTACCACCCCGGACAGAAAAAATAGTTGGTGATTGGACCATGCTTTTCCGGATCGTCATTGTTGTAAGCAATCCGGGGATGATAATCTTCGCATGATGGAGGACGAATCAAAAATTCTGTTGTTGATTAGGTCATGTGGTTTTTCGGGTAGTCATTGTTACCAACAATCCTTGAATCATAATCTTCGCATGTGAAACCAGACCCCTCATGGACTTGGCCATCTGGCGGATAAAGGCAACGGAAAGTGATGAGCAGAGTTGTATTGTCTCAGCAACTCAGTTCGATGTTGATCATTGCACTGACAACTCAATTTCTGTGACCCCAAATTTCCGTTTCATGCTCTAGTATCGCTGCTTAAGAATGTGGAGAGACAAACGAAGGAATGGTAAACACAAGAAACGTGATCTACGTACAGTCAATCAGTACTATCACGTCTTGACGACCAGAAACAGGACGATCTGATGTCATCTGAATTGCAGTGGAATGATCATTTATCTGACAACTTGCTTCCGTTCTTCCATGGCTTGCCATCTGTCGCCTTCAATCAGCTGAGATTTTGGCCTTTGATCCAGCGCGCAGAACCAAGAAGCTCACTCGCTCGGCCACTGACCTCGGATCGAGGAACAATTTGGCAACGGTCACCAGTCTGTTTCGGTGGCTAGCAGCGGCTAGCATAAGTTTTACCACTTGACGCCCTGTGCCATTCGCAGCAACTGTTCCTCCCAGAAACAAAGTTCGTAACCTGCAGAGGCTACCGACAGTGGACATCATCAAATTCGAACATACTCATCCAAAAACACATCAACCGAAATCGACTCGCGTACATCGAGCTAACAAGCTGCCTTAGTGGGGACCGATACTGAATCTGCATAGGCCACCTTCTTATAACATTTTGCAATCTGAAAAACAAAATAATAACATAACAGCCTCGGAAAACATATTGAACCATCCTGAATACTTCAAGGATACGTTCCACCTTTGGAAAAAGGTCTGTGAACCAGGTGGAGAAACGTCTTCAGACCAGGTGGAAAAAGGTTACAGGACCAGTTGGAGAAAAGTTACTGGAACAATCGGAGAAAGCTCACAGGAACAGTTGGAAAAAGATTATGGGACCAATTGGAGAAAGCTCACGGGACCAGTTGAGAAAGGTTACGGGACCAGTTGGAGAAATCTCACGGGACCAGTTGGAGAAATATCACGGGACCAGTTGGAGAAATCTCACGGGACCAGTTGGAGAGAGAGCTCAGGGAACCAGTCGGAAAAATATTATGGGACCAATTGGAGAAAGCTCACAGGACCACTTGGAGAAAGGTTAATGGATCAATTAGAGAAAGCTCATTGGATCAATTGGAGAAAGCTCACGGGACCAGTTGGAGAAAGGTTACGGGACCAGTTGAAGAAATATTATGGGACCAATTGGAGACAGCTCACAGGACCAGTTGGAGAAAGCTCACGGGACCAGTCGGAGAAAGCTCACGGGGGTTGGAGAAAGCTCACGGGGCCATTGGAGAAAGATCACGGGACCACTTGGAGAAAGCTCACGGGACCACTGGGAGAAAGCTCACGGGACCAATTGGAGAAAGCTCACGGCACCAGTTGAAGAAATATTATGGGACCAATTGGAATCAGCTCACAGGACCAATTGGAGACAGCTCACAGGACCAGTTGGAGAAAGCTCACGGGACCAGTCGGAGAAAGTTCACGGGGCCAATTGGAGAAAGATCACGGGACCACTTGGAGAAAGCTCACGGGACCACTGGGAGAAAGCTCACGGCACCAGTTGAAGAAATATTATGGGACCAATTGGAGACAGCTCACAGGACCAGTTGGAGAAAGCTCACGGGACCAGTCGGAGAAAGCTCACGGGACCGGTTGGAGAAAGCTCACGGGGCCAATTGGAGAAAGATCACGGGACGACTTGGAGAAAGCTCACGGGACCAATCGAAAACTCACGGCATCAGTTGGAGAAAGGTTACTGGATCAATTGGAGAAAGCTCATTGGATCAATTGGAGAGAGCTCACGGGACCAATTGGAGAAAGCTCACTGGATCAATTGGAGAAAGCTGACGGCACCAGTTGGAGAAAGGTTACGGGACCAACATCAAGGCAGCTAGAAGTTATATAGTTGTTTTGGTCCACTTTGCCGATCTGGTTGCATTTGACAAATTTGACAGAGGTGCCTTGAAAGAACTTCACCATGAAAGCACACCAGGCAGTTGGGCCTCAGTCTTCTCAAGTGGCATAAACCGCATAACCTCCACAACCCTTGATTGCGCTTGGGACATGTTGCTGGGCAATGCCACGTCACCCAGCTATGCGTCACCCAGCTTTGAGATGCAACGCTTCAGATGCCCCTCACAGGATGCTGGGGCTCCCTGCAATCGGATACGGCCAGGGATCTCCCATCTTGTGGTTGACCAAAAGCCAAAAATTGCATAATAATGAACACGCAAAACAGTTATCGGTCAATGTATTTATGTCAGTTATCGGTCTTATTAATGTATTACTACTAATGATTATATATACATACATAGAATATGATAAATACATACATAGAATATGATAAATACATACATGGAATATGATAATGCATTACTACTATTACTACTAACGGTAGTGATCTTGTCGTTTTAACCAAATGTCCTTATCATCGTTACTAAAACCTTATCGTTGTTTCTGTATCCTTATCATGGTTATACTGTACCCTAGCATACCCCGCGGAGAAAAAAAACGAATCAAATTCCACCAAAATGGATCCAACATGGGCGTCCTAGCTAATAGGATTATTGCCCAGCCAAGGGATATGGTTTGATTATAGATCCCCTATTGAAACCTGACATGGAACTCAGAAAGCTGCCATTTCCAATTTTGTTTTCCAACACGAGAACCCTCTTGCAAATACATTTTTTCAACTTCCATACTAGATAATAGATACCATCCGGTAAACTAACATGGCTATTGAAAATGGCCATAGAAATAGTGGATTTACCCATCAAAAATTGTGATGTTCCATCGAATTTGGTATGTTTACCAGAGGGTATGCTATGATTTTCAAAGGTGTGTAAATGGCATCCCTAGAATATGTGGAAAAGCAAATGGTCTGTGACAGAACCAACAAGAATGATCCCAGGGTATCACCACTAGACATGCAAACCCAAGCAAGATCAACACCTCCCATGGATCCTCATTGGCTATTTCCAAATGGAAATCCAGCTGATGATCGAACCCGAAGCTTGGAACATCATGACATATGGAGGTTTCCAAAGTCACGGGGGTACCCCTTTATCGCTGGATGGTTTATTTCATGGAAAATCCCAATCTAAAATGGATGATTTACCCTCTGGGAAACAAATAGTTTGCTATTGAAAATGTCCATAGAAATAGTTGATTTTCCCATGAAAAATGGTGATTTTCCATCGTTTTTTGTATGTTTACCAGAGGGCAGGGCTACCCCCATGGTACCAAAGAATCTCTGCAACTCGGACCAAAGACTCGTTTTCACAAAGATTCGCGTTCCCAGAGGTGTGTAAGTGGCCAACCCCCTGCCCAAGCAACTCTTCTACAATCAATAAAGTCACCACATATATATATATATATATCCCATAGGATCCATGTATGCTATATATGGTCACATTTACCATCAATATACCCCAAATGTTAGCATATATATACCATACATGGATCCTATGGGTATATATATATATATATATATATCTATTAATCAAACCACCATTGACCGATTTTAACCATAATTAATGTTAATGAACATATATTTAACCTGGTTGGTGGTTTTAATCATCTTGAAAAATGATGGAGTTCGTCAATGGGAAGGAATATCCCATATATGAAATGGAAAATAAAAAATGTTTGAAACCACCAACCAGTCAACTACAAAGCTCTGTTAAACTGCCAAAACAATTATATCAATTACAGAAAAGGGAACACATACCATCGGGAAACTCACATGGAGGTTTCCTAAAATGGAAGTACTAATATGATTTTCCACTATATATAAACTATAAACCATCCATTTTGCTGTAACCCCAGGAAACCTCCACATTCGGATTTCCCCATGGCTGCCATGCGAACGTGATCCACAAATGGCGCAAGGGGGTGCCCCCCCAGTTATAAGTTAGTTAGTTTATACCCTCTGGTAGTTTAACATAACTATGGAAAGATCCACCATTTTTCATGGGGAAATCCACTATTTCTATGGCAATGTTCAATAGCTATTTTGACATAACCAGAGGGTAATCCCCATCAAGCTTTCCTGTAAACTTTCCCTTAAACCAATCCATTGATATTCTCTTACATAGGCTTCAAAAATAGGCCCAAAATCCGCCCGCACCGAAGGTGCTGGGGCGTGATCTTCCGGATGGCACTCGTAAAAGGTTACAGGTTTACCTGGGGGGGGGGGGGCATTTTTCGGCCAAAACCTCCTGTTTTTGATAGGTCGTGACGCTCGCCTTCAAAAAACACTGTAAAAAACAGTACGGAAGACACCTGTTCGTGAACGCGCCCGTCCAAAATCGGCAAGCGAAAAGTGAAAAAAACCCGTGTTTTTCAACTTTTTGACCTCAATTTTTTGGTTTGCAACATCTTTTTTTGCGGTTCCGCAGGTGGCCGGGCCCGGAGGCGGATTTTTGAGTTTTTGGACCCGTTTTCGGACTGATTTTCGTCGTTTTGTGATAGCAGAAACACTGGTTTTTACAGTGTTTTTCTGTTTTCTGCATGCTTGACGGCTAGCTTCAAAACTTCCAAAAACCTCGTAAATTACGCTGTTTTATGTTACGGTGTGAATGAAAACATCGTAAATACCAGTGTTTTTTGACGTTGGTTAAAAAAACACTGTAAATTACAGTGTTTTTGGCCACCTGACCCTCAAAAACCATGGTATTTGCAGTGGTTTCTGCTTCTCACCGCGCAAAAACACTGTAAATAACAGCAATTTCGCCGTTTTTTCATGTTTTTCGTTATTTTTTGAACTGCGTTGGTCCGCTATACATGGCTATCAAATTCTTCGCGTTTTTTTTTCCGACAATCAGTACTTTCGGATGTTTTTGGTCTCAATGGCCGACATCATTGGCAGTTACGAGCGGCTGCCCAACGATGCGGTGCGGGCGGTTGCCGTCGCGAAGCGACGTGAATATATGGAATCGCTACCTCCGTCCTCAATCGGTTCCTGTTGCGCCATCGTTCCACAGCAAGTTGCAGACCACGGCATCCGGGAAGAATTGGCCGACTTCCTGGAGATTGGAGCCGTGGAGCCGTGGTCATGAAAATAAAGTCACCACAGATCATTAAGATAGCTAAGTTGCCTTATAAGTTGCCTAAAAAAAGTCATAAGTGGCTGAATTGACTCTGGTTTATGGTAGATATAACGAACTAGTTTTCATGGGGTTATAATGGTTTATAAACCAACTTATAACATCTTATAACTGGGGGGTCCATCCTGTATAGATCATTGTAACTCATGATAGTCTGATGCTCAAAATAAACTGTATATATAAACGCATATCTATCAAAATTAATGTTACATTCCCAAAAACTGATAGGTATGTTCTTACTCATTCATCATCAGGCTGAGAAACATCAAAAAACACCAGTTGTTCCCCATCTTCGGGCAATATCATTTGTGAAATACCAACCATATTTTTGGCCCCAAATGAATAATAATTAACAAATAGATCCAATACCCTCTGGTGAACTAACATAGCAATGGAAAATGGCCATTTATAGTGGATTTTCCCATTAAGAATGGTGATTTTCCATTGCTATGTTAGTTCACCAGAGGGTACCCAGGCATGGTTCTGGTTGCTGCTTATTTTGAATTGGAGGCAAGTGATTCTGCCAGGGAACAAAAGCCTCCGTCATGGCCAATTTTAGATATCCTGATAAGAAAAGAAGCAGCGATGCTCACCTACTCGACTGTTGATGTAGACAAAGTGAAGGCTCAATGAAAATACGTATGACATCGTATGACTATGTATAGGTTAGGTAACGAATCTGGCCAACTACAGTACTTACATGTACTTCCTATAGTTCTCGAGTTACATCTCAGGTAACTGCAGGGTCCCCAGGTCCCCAGGGGTCGAAAAATTTCGCCCCAGTTGCACTGAAGGGCACACCGCACACCGATGCAGGCGCTGGAACCTCCAAAATCCCAGGGGTGGAGTCATCCCCTCCGACACTGGATGCATAAAGGGGCCATGAGGTGAACTCAAGATGTTGCACTACCCTCTGGTAAACTAACATAGCTATTGAAAATGGCCATAGAAATAGTGAGTTTTCCCATTAAACATGGTGGATCTTTCCATAGTTATGTTAAATTACCAGAGGGTATGTTGCAGGAAACCATCACTTTTTACTGGTTGGTTGTGCAATAACCATCTTGAACCATATGGAAAGTCAATGGGAAGGATGACATCCCATATATTGTGGAAAAATAAACAAATGTTCCAAACCACCAAGCAGTTTACATATTAGCTATCCTATTGTTATCCCATTGTTAGCCTCCAATTTCGCTCCAAAAATTGAAAGCAAGGATTCAATGCTGTTGTAGACATGGTCCTTAGACCATGTCCTGTAACTTGACAGAATCAAATACCCTCTGGTAAACTAACATAGCTATTGAAAATGGCCATTTATAGTTGATTTACCCATAAAAAAAGGTGGTTTTCCATAGCTATGTTAGTTTACCAGAGGGTAACCATCACCAAACATGTTGAAAGGCTCCAGGCGGGGAACTGCGACGGGTGGACCGGGTGGACCTACCGAATGTGCTCATTCAATGGATTCCTTCGACAGCTTGGCTGTTTCTATGTTTAATTGTGTTTTGCAGTGTGAAACAAAAAATGAAAACACACGTGATAAACTTAAAATAGATTCAAACCTGCGACCTTAAAATCTGTCAGTATGATTGTTAAAAAAAAAGAAGCTAAAACTCCTATAACTTCATCACTATCAAAACCACCTAACGAGTGTAGCAACCCAAGCCAAACCTGTATCAAACAATCATCTGTATCTTTCCTTTTATATCCATATATCTTTTTGGGACAGGGATCGCCTTCCACACAATTTGGTTGATCCTGGAGTTCAGCAAATTATCAATAGTTATATACTTGGCTTGCAGTCCAGCTCGTGTTGGTAAGTCATAGGTTCGTTCAAAGCTACAAGCTCTCACCATTTCATTTCATGTAGAAAACCCCAGTCTGCCAAACCTCAACTGGTTATGGTTTCAAGTCATGTGGTTTATGGATGTTTGTGGGTGGTCTACACCATCAAGAATGGGGTGCTTCGGTGTATGACATTGTTTGATGCCAAAAACTGGTCAGGACCCAAGGCACCAGGTGTAGCTTGGCCGGAGGCAACGTCGCCGTTGTGCGGCTGCCGCCCGAGGACCGGCCCAGGGTGGGCGTCAGCAGCTGCGACTTCCCCGAAATCGACTTGTTGGCGAAGGAGGCCGAGGTCATGCTGAGGAACACGAAACCCACCGAAGGAACCAAGGCACGTAGCACCTGAGCGAAGCAGCGAAGCTGGATCAAAGGATCAAAAAAGGGGAGCAATTTGGATGATTTCTTGGGAGAATTCGATGATTTAAGCAACAAAAAATACAAAAATATCTGGTGATTTTAAGTTAAAGAAATATATGGTGAATATGAACCAACCAAGATTGGGCGAGACTTAACGGTCAAACATGGCGTCCTAACATGGTGTTTGGCCGTCCTAAAATGGGGATTCAACGTAGCCAGCTGCTGCTGAGAGGCCATCATGCGATTCACCACCTTTCGAGCCACCTCAACACATCCAACGGGTCCGGCCCGATGCCCGTAGCAGGCATCCCCCAAATTAACATCGACCATCATCATACCCTCTGGTAAACTAACATAACTATGGAAAATCACCATGTTTAATGGGAAAACTCACTATTTCTATGGTCATTTTCAATAGCTATGTAACAAATTACCAGAGGGTAGACACTGTGAAAAGTGATTCTCAGGATCAAAGTCTGAGTTCAGGGGATGAATGGGGATGGTACATCTTCACTTTCATTGCTTTTGGGGAAAATCGACCGGAATAGGAAACCCATGGTTTTTACCCTCTGGTAATTTAACATAACTATGGAAAATCACCATTTTTAATGGGAAAATCCACTATTAATGGTCATTTTCAATAGCTACGTTAAATTACCAGAGGGTAGTTTTTTCTTTTTACCCATTGAAGCCATTGTGGTTTCCCCGTCAAGGATCCCTTTCAAGCAATTCTCTGATGGCCCCCCAGCCCGAGGGCTGGTAGCTGGTGAATGTACTCCTTTGGTGTAAGGTACCCCACTTACATTCACACATTAATTGGAATGGTGGGGAATGGTGCTCCGGTCCATTAATCATAAAATCCTTTTTTTCAATGCCATGTCCACATATGTTTACCGTATAGGCCGTATAGGTTGAGAACTAATACTATGATTTGTGGCAGATATACGCTCACACACTCGCCCTTTTGCCTCTAACCTTCCCCAATCACAGACGACATGGAAAGCCACCAGATTCTCATTTTCACTAAAAGCTGGTACCCGCAGAATTAGCAAAGTTGGTTCATAATTCCAATAGCTAGGGCCTCCAGGGGTGGTGGTATGTAGATATATATCATATATCACATGCCCTCTGGTAAACTAACATAACTATTGAAAATGGCCATAGAAATAGTTGATTTACCCATGAAAAATTGTGGTTTTCTATAGTAGTTATGTAACAGTTTACCGGAGGGTATCCAACTGGTTAAGGAATGATGGTTATAAGCCAACTTAGAACTGGGCACCACGGGGCACCACCTTGACAGATTTAGGCAACCCCCTGACCACATCGAAGTAGCCACAAATCCAAGCGTTCGAGTGAAATAAACCAACAAACACAACTCGACCCTCTGGTAAACTGTTGCATAACTATGGGAAATCACCATTTCTAATGGGTAAATCAACTATTTCGACTGGGCCATGTTCCAGTTCGCAAACTGTAAACGTTTACCGGAGGGTATCTTCCAGGCCCCGATCTGTCCCGGTCAGGTTGGTCTTCACAGCTGCAATGCCATGCGAGTCAGGCAAGATGGTCTTCACGGTCCGTAAACTTTGCTCTTGACACACTTCCTGAGCGAAAGCGAGCGAAACAACATGAGATTTCACCCATCCCCAAAAAAATCAAAAAATGGGTGGTTTATGGCAGTAAGGTTGCTACATTATATGCATAAAATCATAAAACGGATTATCACGGCATATGCAACCCAGTTTTGGGATTACTTGCAGGATGTAAGACCATGATTCACATGTTTGTTTCAATTATTAGGATTTATAAGTGCCGATCAGTGCAAGTAGCCATCCCCTGGCAAGCTGAGGTAACATGGAGTTTGCGAGCACGTCATGTTTCTTCACCAGAGGAAAGGAGTGGAGTTAAACCCACAACAAAAAGAAGTTGGACTTATCTAAAACAAGAAAAAATGAAGGATATGTCAGATATGCTCGCCACTATGCGACAGGCGACAGTGAAGGTATATAATTACTATGAGTGATATCCCCTTGATTCATCTTGATTTACCGTAAAACCCTGAGCACAATGATCTAAAGCATCCAAAAACATGCAAAAACGATCAAATGGACAGAACTTTTTCCAACCTCTGAACTATTGAATAATAACTACCCTCTGGTAAACTAACATAACTATGGAAAATCACCATCTTTAATGGGAAAACTCACTATAAATGGCCATTTTCAATAGCTATGTAACAAATTACCAGAGGGTACTGTATATTCCTCAGATTTTCACCCCACAAAACACCACAAAACTCAGCCCAGAATCCACCCATACGTCGCCGTTCACGGGCGAGTCGGCAGGCATGGCGGCCAAGGCTAACCTGACGCCATGGGGAAACCCTTTCAAAGGGCCATTCATAGGGAAATAGTGTGAGGAAAATACTGATTTCATCCATTGGAATTTCATTGGGGGGGTACCTTGTCCTGTTTTCAAGCAAACCTATACTGTACAATGTGGGGCCCCCAAACGTTATAAGTTGGTTTAGATTCGCCCCAGTAACTATAGTTAGAAATACCATAAACCATAGTTATTGGACTTATAAACCAACTGAACGCTATCTTGGGGGCCTCACATTGTACTAATGGCCTGCTATGCTGTAAACTCCTATGCTACGCAAAGGTGCCCCGGCGATCCCGCCGGATCCGCAGCCCCGCACACGCGGGGCTAAGGCGCAGAGATTTGTTATGGCAGGGTTTTTTTCAACATGGCAAGGCTGAAGGCTCCATACCAAGCTCTTACAAACGACACCTGGTTGGTGGTATACCTACCCCTCTGAAAAATATGAGTTCGTCAATGGCGGAAGGATTATCCCATATATTATGGGAGAATAAAAGCCATGTTCCAAACCACCAACCAGACACATGTCCAAAGCATACCAACAGCCCAAACAGGACTGTTCTGGTAAAATGGTCAACTGAACCGCCAAACACTGACCATGAACGAGGCTGAAGGCTGACATGGAATGCGACGACAGTAGGTTCCAAAACTGGGTCCTGGGAGGACTCAGGTTCAAGAAACTGGAAATAAGAAGTGGTCACTGGTTGGTGGTGCAATAACCATCTTGAAAAATGATGGAGTTCGTCAATGAATAAAAAGTGTTTGAAACCAACAACCAAGTCAAGATTTTGGGACCTGAAACCATCAGAAAACCCTTCGCATAGCCGCATAACTAAACTTGACCCAAAGCCATGTAGAAAACCCCGGACCCTGCGAGCACCTTGAACCAATTGGATAATATACCCATTGGTTCGGGGAATTTGACCCATTTGAATGGGCACTTGGAGGGTCTACGTACGTTCAAATAAACTCAAGTAATACATTCAGACATCTTCGGATATATATATATATATTCAAACGTCTATGAGATAATATACCCATTGGATATATCAAATATCTTCATTCAAATACATTAGATAATATTAAATTAGATACAAATTAGATAATTTGTCCAGTGGTTCATGTCTTGCCGTGAGATTTGATTCCTCCCAAGTCACAAGGCAGAGATGGCTTTGAGATCCGACAAATGTCCATTTTCCTCAGCATCTCAAGCTGCAAAGAGCTTCAAGACGCATGTCATGGACGTATGTCTTGGAGCTTAGTTTTGGATTTCTGGCCAGGCAAGCTTTCTCTCACCGAGTTTTTTCGTTTCTCACATCTTCAAGGATTCAATTCGGCACACAGCAGCGCACAGAATCTCCGTCCCAGGTGCAGATGTGCGTGCCACCAAAATGCCGCGCGCATTGGGTGCGCTGACACTCAGCAGCTCACTGATATCTGTGGGATTGCCCTGCTTATAACCTGGGACAAATGGGAGCATGGAAGAAGCCGAAATCCCAAACTTTTCACCAAGCGTTGTATGGTCCAAGCTTAAGTTGATGTGTGATGTGTTTGCAGGGTGAATTGAAGTCCCAAGATTAATCAGTATATGTGTAGTCGAAAAAATCGTCGTGACGTAGGACTTTGGGAGCCAAAATCGGCCAACTGCACCAAGGGAGAAGGAAAGGATGAGGACTAGCATGATGGGAGCCCACCAGGGTATCTACCAAAAGCCCGGGTGTTTGCCTCCGAGTTGACTTGGATTCTACAATATCTTTCCCACTTGTAGTAGCCATGATCCAGTACAGCGTGTCAATCAACCACGTTTTCTCAGTGGGAAGGCCAATCATGCCAATCATTGTAGGACCTGTCACATTAGGTAAATCTGAAAGACCGGCCATTTGGGGATGATTCACGATTTTACCATGTTACCCAGATATTTTCTTACTTGAACCATGTTGAACCCCATTTTTGATGGCTAAATCCCTCCCTCCCAGGCTTTTCCGACGCCCAGTGGCAGACTACCGGCAAAAACAAGGTGGTGATTCGCTGGAGCAGAGGGTCGGCCAAGCAGTGCACTTGCACCTCGTGGTGTTTTTAGACGTTCGGCGCCTTGGTGTGTTTTAATGGTGATTTCATGGTGTGTTTAATGAATTTTAATGGGATTCAGTTAGCTCACTTGGCTCACTATTTCGAACTCTGGTTTATGGTAAATCTTAACATAGACCCGGGCAAGCCGGCGGCGGAAGTTTCCCAAGAATAAATGACCTATAGTTCAAGGCCAGCCTGTCCCGAGCGTGTCCTTCCCTCGACAAGCGGTTTTTTTTTCAGCGAGAGACGAAGCAAAGTCTTCACACTCCACACTTCACACTTCACTCTTCGCACTCCAAACTTCACACTCCACAGTCCACACTTCACACTTCTCACTTCTCACTGCTTCCTTCACACTCCAAACTTCACACTCCACACTTCACACTTCGCACTTCACAGTCCACACTTCTCACTTCTCACTGCTTCCTTCACACTCCAAACTTCACACTTCACACTTCTCACTTCGCACTTCACACTCCACACTTCACACTCCACACTTCACACTCCAAACCTCACACTTCACACTTCTCACTTTGCACTTCACACTCCACACTTCACACTTCACACTTCTCACTTCGCACTTCACACTCCACATTTCACACTTCACACTTCACAGTCCACACTTCACACTTCTCACTGCTCACTGCTCACTGCTTCCTTCACACTCCAAACTTCACACTTCACACTCACTTCGCACTTCACATTCCACATTTCACACTTCACACTTCACAGTCCACACTTCACACTTCTTACTGCTCACTGCTTCCTTCACACTCCAAACTTCACACTCCACACTCCACACTTCACACTGCACTCTTTGCACTCCAAACTTCACACTCCACACTTCACAGTCCACACTTCACTTTCTAGTCATTTATTCTTGGGACACTAATGCCGTCACTTCTACTTCCCACTGTCATTACCTAAAAAGGGGCCAGTCCAAACAGTTACAATACTCATTGTCACTACAGTTACAGCCACAACGGTCATTGTCAAAGTAGTCTTTGTCATAGTATCTATGGTCACAGTAGTCATGATCAGAATAGTCACAGTCACAGTCACATCAGGTATGGTCACACTAATCAAAGTCACGGTGGTCATTTTATGGAGGTTATCAACATACAACCGCACGAACGATGGAATTACTTCACACTCCACACTTCACACTTGTCACTTCTCACTGCTTCCTTCACACTCCAAACTTAAACTTCACACTCCACACTTCACACTTCTCACTTCCCACTGCTTCCTTCACACTGCACACTTCACACTGCACTCTTCACGCCCCACACTTCACTGCTCTAAACCTACGTGCAACGGCGTTGGAAAATTGTAGCTCCAAAACCGGATCTCGACGCCAGAGCGAAAAAAAGACGATTTTGAAGCACTTTTTAAAAGGATTATTAAAAGGAAAATTACTAGCGCCAAAATGGAGGAAATCTGCTGACAAATCACTGTCGCAGCCTTCATGCAGCCACTCCAATACGATTTACGAAGTCCAGCTGCAAAAGACAATAGTATTACGCATGCAGCCTCAGCATGAAGCAACCTTGACGCAGCTATTACAATGCGATCTGCGGAGACTGAGTTGCAAAACACAATAGAACTACGCGCAACTGGGTCGGAAATTGCAGCTCCAAAACCGGATCTCGACGCCAGAGCGAAAAAAAGACGATTTTGAAGCACTTTTTAAAAGGATTTTTAGAAGAAAATCACTGGCGCCAAAATGGAGAAAATCTGCTGACAAATCACTGTCGCAGCCTTCATGCAGCCACTCCAATACGATTTACGAAGTCCAGCTGCAAAAAACAATAGTATTACGCATGCAGCCGCGGCACCAAGCAACCTTGACGCAGCCATTACAATGCGATCTGCAAAGACTGAGTTGCAAAACACAATAGAACTACGCGCAACTGGGTCGGAAATTGCAGCTCCAAAACCGGATCTCGACGCCAAAGCGAAAAAAAGACGATTTTGAAGCACTTTTTAAAAGGATTTTTAAAAGGAAAATTACTAGCGCCAAAATGGAGAAAATCTGCTGACAAATCACTGTCGCAGCCTTCATGCAGCCACTCCAATACGATTTACGAAGTCCAGCTGCAAAAGACAATAGTATTACGCATGCAGCCGTGGCAAGAAGCAACCTTGACGCAGCCATTTACACTGCGGGAACGATCCTACAGTTGCAAAGCACAATGGAATTCCATCGGCAACTCATCCACCAGCACCACTTGCAATCCCATTTACATTGCGGGAACGATCCTAGAGTTGCAAATCACAATGAAATTCCATCGGCAACTCATCCACCAGCACCACTTGCAATCCCATTTACATTGCGGGAACGATCCTACAGTTGCAAAGCACAATGGAATTCCATCGGCAACTCATCCACCAGCACCACTTGCAATCCCATTTACATTGCGGGAACGATCCTAGAGTTGCAAATCACAATGCAATTCCATCGGCAACTCATCCACCAGCACCACTTGCAACCCCATTTACAATGCGGGAACGATCCGACAGTTGCAAATCACAATGGAATTCTGTCGACCACACATGCACGAAAAACAGTTGAAACCCCATTTACAATGCGGAACCGATCCGACCATGATCCGCCCATGATCCGAACATGATCCCAGCATGATCCGACCACACACGAGACCGTCTCGCACCCGTCGCACAGCAGAGGTAGATCATCGAGGTTCGGGGACGCACTTTGTATGGAAAAACATAGGGTTTCGTGCATCTGCTATCTCTCAAAAACGCATTTCGTGCGAGACTTCCTTCAAAACTCCATCGGCAACTCATCCACCAGCACCACTTGCAATCCCATTTACAGTGAGGGAACGATCCTAGAGTTGCAAATCACAATGAGTTGCAAATCACCCCATTTACAATGCGGAACCGATCCGAGAATGATCCGAACATATCCGAGCCCCAGACCACTTGCGAGATTCTACAAGGTAGATCATCGAGGTTCGGGGACGCACTTTGTATGGAAAAACAAAGGGTTTCGTGCATCTGCTATCTCTCAAAAACGCATTTCGTGCGAGACTTCCTCAAAACTCCATCGGCAACTCATCCACCAGCACCACTTGCAATGAGGGAACGATCCTAGAGTTGCAAATCACAATGCAATTCCATCAGCAACTCATCCACCAGCAACTTGCAATTTACAATGCGGGAACGATCCGACAGTTGCAAATCACAATGGAATTCTGTCGCCACACATGCACGAAAAACAGTTGACACCCCATTTACATGCGGAACCGATCCGAGAATGATCCGAACATATCCGAGATGATCCGACCACACACGAGACCGTCTCGCACCCGTCGCACCGCAGAGGTAGATCATCGAGGTTCGGGGACGCACTTTGTATGGAAAAACATAGGGTTTCGTGCATCTGCTATCTCTCAAAAACGCATTTCGTGCGAGACTTCCTTCAAAACTCCATCGGCAACTCCTCCACCAGCACCACTTGCAATGCCATTTGCATTGCGGGAACGATCCTACAGTTGCAAATCACAATGCCCTGACTACTCTTTCCCTCAATCACTCTTTCTTGACGAACTATTTCCTAACCAACTCTTTCCATACACTAACTCTTTCCTTTGTCCGCTTTCCTTTACACTAACTGTTTATGTTGATTAACTGTTTCTTTGACGAACTCTTTCTTTGACGAACTCTTTCTTTGACTAACTCTTTCTTTGACTAACTCTTTCTTTGACTAACTGTTTCTTTGACTAACTCTTTCTTTGACTAACTCTTTCTTTGACTTACTGTTTCTTTGACTAACTCTTTCTTTGACTAACTCTTTCTTTGACTAACTGTTTCTTTGACTAACTGTTTCTTTGACTAACTCTTTCTTTGACTAATTGTTTCTTTGACTAATTCTTTCTTTGGCTAACTCTTTCTTGCTAACTCTTTCTTTGACTAACTCTTTGACTAACTCTTTCTTTGACTAACTCTTTCTTTGACTAACTGTTTCTTTGACTAACTCTTTCTTTGACTAACTCTTTCTTTGACTAACTCTTTCCCTGACTAACTCTTTCTTTGACTAACTCTTTCTTTGACTAACTCTTTCCCTGACTAACTCTTTCTTTGACTAACTGTTTCTTTGACTAACTCTTTCTTTGACTAACTCTTTCTTTGACTAACTCTTTCTTGACTAACTCTTTCTTTGACTAACTCTTTCTTTGACTAACTCTTTCTTTGTTTCTTTGACTAACTCTTTCTTTGACTAACTCTTTCTTTGACTAACTCTTTCTTTGACTAACTGTTTCTTTGACTAACTCTTTCTTTGACTAACTCTTTCTTTGACTAACTGTTTCTTTGACTCTTTCTTTGACTAACTCTTTCTTTGACTAACTGTTTCTTTGACTAACTCTTTCTTTGACTAACTCTTTCTTTGACTAACTGTTTCTTTGACTAACTCTTTCTTTGACTAACTCTTTCTTTGACTAACTCTTTCTTTGACTAACTGTTTCTTTGACTAACTGTTTCTTTGACTAACTCTTTCCCTGACATTCTAAAAGTCCGTAACACGGAAGTTTCTCCCCCTAAACTTCCTTTGATAATCTGTAGATATCTGTAGGTAGTTGAATCTATAAACCAACTTCTAGCTCGAGGGCTGGGGGGCACCAACTGAAATCTTTGGATGACCAGCAAGCAAATGCATTTGACCAGCAAAATCATGAAAAATCATAAGTCATAAGTGCAGTGGATTTGTTTTGGGGGAAATCTACAGGTCAACTGAAGGATCACATATCCGAAAAAAAAAACGCGCATATCTTCCCTTCAACTAATTCTCGGAATCAAGCTGAATCAAGCACTTCTTTCCCGTGGGAAATCCATCATATGATCCACTGACCCCATCGGGGGTGCATTCCACTTGGTAAATGGCTGAAAATAAAAACAGTTGTATTAGATATATGAAATATCCCCACTGGATGATATGGGATGACATATGGGTTATATATATGTATATATGTGTGTGTATGTGGATTATAGCCCATTGAATCACCATGTTTATTGGTTAAATCACTATGTTCCTATGATTTTTCCCATGGCTTTTCCAAGCAGATGCACCTCATCAGCCATTTGTTGCGTGGGCATGTCTGCCAGGATCACGATTTGCCGCCTGGGCGCTGCTAGGCCAGGTGTGGCAATCGAGCTGTAACTCGCCATTGCTGGGGGGCTAAGTGGGATTCTTTTGAAGTTATCCAAATTTATGTTTTATATAGATATATATGTGTGTGTGTGTGCATTACATATATGTTATAATATATATATATATAATATTGTAATGAATATTAGAAAACACACACACCAACAACACTTCGATAATGATATATAACTACACCATATTACACCTATTATACATATAAAGTCATAATATATATATATGCATGGCTACCTCTGTCTTTGTGGTCCCAAAGCTGGGCTCCATCTTATCCCAAAACAAGTGTTGTGGGGTATCCAGTCGGTTGACCATTGGTCGGTATCTAGAACCTGGCATATGTGGTGCCCCAGTTCGGAATCGCTAAGTTGGTGAAGATAACTCCAATAACTTGGCTTTATGGTAGATATACCTATACTTGATGGGGGTTATAAACTAACACACTTAGAACTGGGGGGGGGCACCACCTTGTAGGATATTCATAGGTATTGGTTGATCCTCAAGTGAAACCCACTGGGGATGTACCAGCATTGTTCTTTCAGATGCCAAAACTAGTTTGACGAGCATTATTGCATATCTGGTTGGTGATTTCAACCCCTCTGAAAAATATTAGTCAGTTGGGATTACTATCTATTCCCAATATATGGAAAATAAAAAATGTTCCAAACCACCAACCAGATTACATATTAATGATATTAATGTAATAGGTAATAGTATTGACAATTTGTTCATTTAAGAAAGAAACAACACTCAGTTGTCATTTTCCCCATCCTGAGATAAGACTACATAATGTAGTAAACCCAATAATAAGCCTGCCTTTGGGGGATAGGTTTCTGCGACCCATCAAAATAGTGATTTTTGGGGATGGTTACGGCATTGGTGATTTTGGGGGTGGTTGTGGCATTGGATTTGCCACATTAATGAAGCCAATATCATATCAATCTATTCGGACTTGAGACAAGAACGTGGAGATTTGACAGATTTCATTAAAATAGGGATATATATATATAGAGAGAGAGAGAGTGGGGATAGACTGGGGATTTAATCAACATTGATTTGATGAGAGTTTAAGGCACCCTCCAGTTCAAGGCACCCCCCCAATCATAGGGTCTTAGCAAGCCCCTGATAAGGGGATTAACACCCCCAACAAAGCATCAGATAAATCCAATCCAGCGTTTGAAATGGGTACTGGATGGGGCTGGTGTAGGTCAAAATATCACGCCCCAAAAAGTTGGATTGTTCATAACAAGGTCTACATTTGACCCCAAAGCGGATGATGATTCATACTGCACTAATGAGTTCCAACTGGGGGGTTCTATAATGGGGGACCGTCAATTCCTCAATCGTCTCAATTTGTCATGTTGAATAGGGGATATATGGGTTTTGCGACATCACAATTTTTAGAAACACCCACATGGGCACATGGGTTACTACCCCCTCATAAACCACTCTAAACCATGTTCAACCATGTTCAACCATGTTAAACCATATACAGTATAGGTGAATTTTTCAGGCTGCTTAAACCATCTTCAACTCCCAGCAGTTCATGGCGCCTCCTGCGACAACCGCAGAAGCCGCAGCATTTGCGCTGCGGCGGAGCCGAGGCGATCGAGGTAAGCCTGGGCTGGTAGGCTGGGCCAGCGGCTGGACATGGGGGAACCATGGTGGGTTCCCATGGCTGGGAGGCTGAGGGGTTCCAATACCCTCTGGTAAACTAACATAGCTATGGAAAATCACCATTTTTAATGGGAAAATTCACTATAAATAGTGATTTTCCATAGCTATGTTAGTTTACCAGAGGGTAAATTGAATGGAAAATGAATGGTGCTTTAATGGTGATCTATGGTGATTTGGGGGGTAACCTTAAGTCATGAGGATATCCCCAAAACCATAGGTTTCGAGACTGAAATGGTCGAATGATGTCGTCCATGACTTGGATGATGACTGGGGGTACCCCCATTTGGGAAAGCTTCATTTGGGATGAAAATCACACCGAATTATGGCAAGACTTCAAGATTGGGTTTAAACTGACCATCTGGGGGATGATATTTACAACCGAATTATGGCAATATATGATGATGAGAATCGTAGTATATAACGGTTTATCAAATCATAATACCACATTAAGGATATAATGTATGGTAAATTAATGTATATATGTATATGTGGAGAAGCCACTGTGAAACTAGATCATATTCCGCAGAAACCATATTTACGAATTCCACATCTATCTTAGCCTCCTCCAGGGCAATTTAAAAACACATGAAAATTGAAAAAACACATGGAAAACAAAAGACGCTTAAAAGACGCAACATTCGGGAATTTAAATATGAATTTATGATATGTATGGCAAAAATCAATGCGCATATCCTTCAATGAATCACAATTACTGGAAGATAATCGAAGAACAACTAGCATATGACCATAAACTATCATGCAATTGATATAGTTTATAGTTTATAGTTTATAGTGTATGACTGTATGATCGTTAATGATCATCTAAGTTACATCATTTATTTCAGCATATATCCACCATTACTTCCAACAACGACAGTCGCTGCCCGGCCCTTCACAGATTGACAGGCGGCAATTCGTCGATCAGCAGCAGAGTCTTGTCTCCCCAGCCAAGGATGAGCCAATGGTTCGAAGCCCTTACGCTGCTGAATCTCATGCGCATGTCCTGAGATGACTGAGATGGTACTTCGAAAATTTTGGTCAATCCAATGTGTAAAGTGTGGTGATTCAACGAAACAAAATCAAACAAATGGGGGGGGCGCAAAATAGAGATATATAAACTATTTCATTACTATGAAACTTGGTGCCACCCTGGTAGTAACTGGTCTTTGATGAACCCCGAGTTCACAGTATCAAACACACCCCAACCGCAATCGTGGCCCTTTGGTTTTTTTCTCCGATGGAAAGGCATATATGAGTGTGTCATGAGGAAAATGATAAACCACCAAATGTGGTGGGTTTTCCCCAACATGTTCAAACAAATAACCCATATTCCATAATGTTGCTAAAGCAATGTCAGAAACACAAACTGATTACCATGAAAATTGTAAATTTGGGGGTGGTGGATCCTATTGCTTTAGCAACATTAATCATCATTATTATCATTAGTAATTATCATTACAAATCTTCCTTGTTCTTATCGTCATTAACAACATTAACTGGTTGGTGGTATACCTACCCCTCTGAAAAATATGAGTTCGTCAGTTGGGAGTATTATTCCCAATATATGGAAAATAAAATTCATGTTCCAAAACACCAACCAGTTCACCATTCTTTAGCAGCTAACTTTAGCAACACACCGAACACAACGTGAGTTTCCACCTTTCCAAACGCCAGGTTAAAATCCATCCCAGCTGCGTTGAGAAAGTCCCGCAGGAGGTCCACCACCATCCCCAGCAGCGTCAGAAAGTAGACGAAGCCCACCTTGGAGCCGACTCGGTGACGGAGGGAACGACTGGTGATGAAAACTGGGCCAAATCTTCGAGTGGAACGTTGGGAAAGGTATAGTTCAACCGGAAAAAAATGGGAAGAAACATGGAAAAAAAAGGGGAAGAAAAACATAACGAAAAGAAAGGAGTTCGGACTCAGTCTGTGGCTGTAAGATTCTCATACATATAATAGTTCAAAGAGTTATTGTTCATCTGTGTTTGGAAAAGTGGGAAAATTGAGAATGCAAACTGCGAAGGTTTAACCAAAAAAAACAACGACGCTTGAAAATTGACATGTTGTTGGGCAATTGGAAATGGCTTCTTGCACAAAAAGGAATCCAAAATTGGAAGCCCATTTAGCCATTCATGTTCTAAAACAGAAACCTATATGAATGTTTGAGTATGTTTGAGTTTGAGTACGGTTGATAAGGCTGACATCAAATATTGGAAGTTTGGCTTGATTTTTCCAAACCACCAGCATCACAACTTCTCCGGCCGGGCCAGTGGCCGTTCCCCAGTGTTTCATGTGCTGTATCATGGCAGCATCGCGCAAAAATAATTCATATACATTCAATAGTGTCCCATCATTTATCTATTGAACTTGATCTGGGTACCCTCTGGTAAACTAACATAGCTATAGTGACGGACATATACTTAGAACATCAATTTTTTCCAAAATTTCGGAACCTTTTCTTAGAACATCAAAACAACTACACTTAGAACATCAGAAATGTTCTAAGTACGCACTTAGAACATCAGAAAAACAGATACTTAGAACATCTCCTTTGATTTTTTGCATACTTAGAACATTAAACACACATATACTTAGAACATGTCCTGTTACTTTGGTAAATCTGCAAATATACACACAAATACCTTGGTGAACACCATACTTAGAACACTTTTTCCCCTCACTGCTGCAGCATTCTATACCTTTTCTTCGGGAACAATATCCCAAGCAGTCTTCGCTGCAATGGGAAGGTCTCTAGTATATAATTTGTGGGTTTCCTACAGCGGGTAGTCAAAAAGCATAGGTTTCAATACTAAAATGAGCTAAAATGAATTATGTATAATTTTGAATGTTTTGGAGATGCCTCATTATTGCTTCCCCACTGGGATCTTCTAAGTATAGCTTGGAAATGTTCTAAGTATAGGTTTTGGGTATGTTCTAACGACTTAATACTTAGAACATCCCCGCTGTGACGATTTTCAGATTTTTTTTCCAAATGATGTTCTAAGTATTTGTCCGTCGCTATATTGAAAATGGCCACAGAAACAGTGGATTTACCCATTAATAGCATGGTGATTTTCCATAGTTTTTTTATGTTTACCAGGAGGTAAATTACAATATTTCACTGACCTGAAACAAGGCTACACTAGGATAGTTAGCAATACCTGCCGTCATCCAGGTCGCCACGGTATAAGTGCAGCCTGGTTTCCAACGAAATGACCTGGCAGCTGCACAGCTGCAAGGAGAAGCAACGGAAAAATCTTTGGTCCACCTTTGGAGTAGTCCACAAAAAATCAAGATTTTGCTGGTTATGGTGATGTTCCATTTATAGAACAAATGGGGTATATGTTATGATGTGTTATGATCATCCCCATTCAATACTCCGGGTAATGTATATAGAAACGTCATCACCCAAGGGTAACGGTATTTGTAAGGATCGTAAGGGCTCAATGTGGCTCAATTGATAGCCACTAGTCATCTAATTGGACCATTCCATACGCTCCTCTCTTGTTTAGTTTTATAAAAGATGATGATTCTCCACTTATCGACAGGGATAGTTGAAGATAGTTGCTGATACTTGTCACCATTTTTTCAGGGCTATACCATCTGGCTATTTAAAATAGCTATGGACAATCCATTATAAATGGAGGTCTTACTAGGAAAATCATCTATAAATGGGCCATTTTCCATAGCTATGTTAAATAACAGGATGGTAACAGCTATACCCCCCATTTTTGTGGCTTCTCGGATGTTTGTTGTGACCTTCCCCCCGCCCTCCTGGTTCCCCGGAAATGTCCGCAGCCAAGGTGCCGCGCTGACGAATTTGATGCTGCCCCGTTCCCGGGCCGAGAGGCCCGTCTGAGTGCCGATGTCAACCAGCAATGTGTAGCCTTGGCCCATCTGGACCCTCTGGCTGGCTGGATTTCGATATGTTTCCATCATGAAAATTCATGTTTTTTTTTTTTAAGAACACAGTTGAATCTATGATAACGCATCATGTTTTTTTCTCAGATAGTGTAATTAATTACAGTAATTCACATTAAATCGATTCAGAAGGACACTTACCCAAACAGCTGCTGTTCTTTCTCTCCAAGGAGCTAATCCACCAGCTGTCATTCCACGAAGTGCTGAACCTGAGATGTGCTGCTCGAGCTGGAATTGAAAAAAATGCGGTCAAGAAAATCATTGGTTTGTTAAAAGATGTATTGAGGATATGTTTTGTGTGTTTTTGACACTGGTTGGTGGTGTATGGTATACCTACCCCTCTGAAAAATATAAGTTCGTCAGTTGGGATGATTATTCCCAAGATATGGAAAAATAAAAAATGTTCCAAACCACCAACCAGATTGGCTTGGTTTAGAGTAAAGTTTTGATTTTCAGAAAAATCAGGAATCCATCAATTTGCAGGCCAAATAGGCAATACGAGTTTCCTAAATGTTGTTTCCTTCAAGTATTTGTTCAACATTAGCCTCCAACCACCAGCAGCAACCCACCCTTGACCTGTCAGTTTAACAGTTTAACATGTTTAACCAGTCGTAACCTCAAAAAATCGATTGATCAGATTGATCCATTCAAACACATTCAAACAACAGAAACACCAAAGTGGGCCCCGTGCGGCCCACCATTGACGCCTAGAGACTCCTCATTGCCACCAAATGCAATCCACACCACCTAGTGTCGTACGGATCCAACGACGGGATTCATCAATACACCAGCTCAAGTTGGGGGTGCCTTCAAATTGAGCAGTAGAAACAATACCCTCTGGTAAACTAACATACAGTAACTATGGAAAATCACCATTTTCAATGGGTAAATCCACTATAAATGGTCATGTTCAATAGCTATGTAACAAATTACCAGAGGGTAATCTATTTCAAATGGTGCTACAGACATGGCACGACTCATCTCTCTCGCTCTCTGTTCTCCTCGATCTCCACCAACCATATGGATCCATATGGACTGATGGTTGGAATCCAGGACATCATCCTTTGAGAACACTGAGGGTGACTATACGTTGCCAATGCATTGGTAGCTTAGTAATGTTTACAATGTTTAAGCTTGGATGCTAAATATGCATATACATATTATAATATACTGTATATATATATATATACAACACACGAACACACACACATGTATATATATATATATGATATACATATATAATTTGCTATAGGGGAGATCGCTTAAATAGCGATCTCGCTATTAGAATTTTCACACATCAAAGTTCATCAGACTTCAAGCACATCGACACCCCACGCAACGCAAGCTGCGGTAGTAACCAAGCGGCTGTGCCGGCGCATTGGAGGAAAAGGAAGACGCAACAAACCAGCAGCCATTGGCCAAAAGTGGTCCCGATGACCTCAAATCTGCCAGAGTCAGTCGTCACCCATGGACTCCCCGATTTTCTGAAAACAAAATAGCTGGGCTATGCTGGATGTTCGGTCCCCAAATGTGGTGGGTACATACCTCAGTATTTCTCAACCTCAGTAATCATTGATCTATAGTACAAGTTCTGATTTTTGTTGTTGTTTATCGAAAAAAGGAAGTACGACTAAGAAAGTGGTGGATTTTGAGCTTCAGCCAGGCTTGTTCCATTTCCAATGACTGGTTCTCAAGTGCTCGGTAGCACTAGTTTAGAACCCCAAAATACCCTCTCTCTCTCTCTATATATATATGTATATAATATGGAAGAACCCCGCTTAAGGGACTAATTAATCAGAATTCTTAACCACTTGCTAACTGAGACCATCATACATTTATGTTTGATATATAATTATATCTACCTGCTGTACTCTCTAGAATGCTTCTTTGCAGGTCTAGGTTCCAATATGCCCATGTCGCTTGGTTGGACTCCCTGTGTCTTTTAGAATTTCAATGAATTTCATAGTTAAAAAATCAGAAATCATCAGAAGTCCATAAGTTCCAAATACCATCTGGTAAACTAACATAGCTATGGAAAATCACCATTCTTAATAGGTAAACCATCTACAAATGGCCATTGTTAGTTTACCAGAGGGTATATCCAAGTATCCCAGGATCTCCCCATGTTTCATGGTTAAATCCATCCATGTCGGGTTGGCATCGGGCGGCATTTTCCACGTGCCGGGTCCTGACGGGGCGGGATGGCTATGTCCACAATGGTATCATATGATGAAAAACACATGGGTTACATGGGTTCTGTACATTGCCCAATCTTAGATACCCTGCAAAAACGATATATTATTAGCTGGTTAGTGTACATTTTTGGTTATAGATGGTTATAGCAACAGACAAAAGGATTAAACTACCCATCCAAGTCGAACCTAATATATTGATGATTATTGAATCTACCCGAGGGATTAGCACTTCACCTTGCTCTGTTTCGACCCTGACCTTTCTTGAACCCCAAGGCTGTGCGCTTGCCCCGTCTGACCCGATGCCTCAGCAACGAGAACAGAAACAAGCCATACGACATGGTGGCGACATCGGCCCCGGCGCTTCGCGCCAATTAAGGCGGCATCGGGTCGTGAAGGATGCTGTGTGAAGGATGTAGGGATGGACCAAAGGAGAGCCTTGCGGATTGACAAAGGGATGGAATAGAAACATGGAGTTGATATTTGGAGCCAACGGATAGCCATAGATGTCCACAGAGATGGCAAATGATAGCACAACTAATAATTGCGACATGATGATGACATGGCCATCTATGAACAGGTAAAACTGCGGCAGCCACAATACACCATGTTGGTAAGCAATAGATCCAAAGATCCAACTAGTGGGACTTCTGTGTCCCTGGCAGGCTTGAAATGGAGCCAGCATATCTTGACCAAATCATTTCCCACAAAATCTGAGGGCACTGGGGGATTGGAAGCCAGGATCGCCATCCATGCTCTTTTTGCAATCTTCTTCGCCCATATCCAACCCGCAGGCTGCCCAATCTGAGATTTCTCCGCAACGGCTGGATGAACGTCGGAATCAGATCAACTGGCTGGTACCCATATAGGTCCTGGTTACATGCTGTCACCACTTGGAAGAACTGTAACCCCCTGGCACGAGGAGTTTTTCAGTGATTCCAAGGAAGCTCGTCCCACCAGATCTCGTTCTATGCAGCCTTCCTCGCGTTGCGTATCGATGCCCTGCTTGCGGAGGCTGACGCTCCACTGGAAACACTTTTGGGCCCCGTTAGGGTCAAACTCCGTCAAACTGACCTGGCACACAGAATGCCCTTGGACAAAGGAAAAGGATGAGAAAGACTGGCAAACATGCTAAGAAATGCTAAAGGAATACTGAAAACAATTGAGAACATATCTAATTGACGCTTGCCCCAGGGCTTTTCTAGTTGCCATATCAGTTGCGGATACTTCGTGAATTCACTTTGAATTCAGGGCAGGGGTCGCAACATCAACATAAGAATTCTATAGCAGGCAAATCAAGAAGATATTAAAATTCGGATGCATCACAATGTAGCGCATCCATTGCATCCCAGGGCAATGGTGGGGATTGGTGGAGGGGTCCAAGAAGAATTGGGCGGGCATACCCCTCTGTTGTTCGATCAAGCTGCAGCCGCTGCCCTTCAAATGCAGAGTTCGACAAATGACTTGAGCATCTTCTACTTTGGCCCCGCACCAACCGAAGAACAGCCGCAAAATTGCAGAGCGGGGAATTTCAGCTGGCATGGACCCATCATAAAGAACATGACTTCGCCCAATCACAGGCTTTCCGAAAGTACCACCCGAAAACTCAGACCGAACCCCGAACGATGGGTTCAACCCATTGGGCTTCCAGAATGTTCCATGATGTTTTTGAAGGCATGGCCTCAGTTCTCCCACAGTTACTGTACTCATCATTTTCCCACATAGACTCTAGACCATCAAAGCATGTCATTCCCCAATGTTCTCCCAGCCGCTGGCGCCGTTCGATGCGGATTCAGCCCTTCAGCCCATCGCTCAGCACCAGAGAAAGGGCCGGGCCGGGGATGAATCTGTGCCACGCGCTGGAGCAGCCTGCGAGTCGTGAGGTTTATGTGTTCACAAGAACTGGCAATGTGTGATACTTAGTTCATGACACGTGCAACTAGTTGGTGGTTGACCTACCCTCTGAAAAATATGAAAGTCAGTTGGGATGATTATCCCCAATATATGGAAAAATAAAAAATGTTCCAAACCACCAACCAGGCAAGTACTTGAGATAGTACTTGTTGTAAATCTGAATCTGACATGTTAGTTTCAACATGTTTCAAATCAGGAACCTTGACCTGTTACCCCCCCCGGCCCCCTTGCCTTCTTGGCATCACCTGGCGCCGGATAACAGATCATCCTCCAAAGATACCCTCAGCCCCTGGAGCTTTGAATTCGATAGAAAGAAAGTCGTGAGATTTACGACTACAAAATATTCTAAAATTGAGTTCTATATAGGATATGTTGGATTCTTAGCTATTTTTTTTGTTGGTTGCTAGATATGTTACCTGCAGTCCCTCCAACCTGTGCGAGCAGGTGTGGCCACAGTCCTGGCGATCCGGTCAAACAAACCGTCGACGCAGTAATGGTACCCGTTCCAGCCATAGGTGGTGAATGGTTGCGAAATCCTGCACCAGTTGGTAACTATTGGGAACTATCAAAAACACTGTAAATAATGGGATTACAATGGGATAAACCATCTACAAACTGGTGCAGGATTTAACTTCCTCAGTAGGTGGTGAATGGATGTTTATTCCCCCGGTCATATGATAATAATAGGTTTGACCCATCCTCAGATATGATTCTTGAAATTTGAAAAAACTTAGATGATCTCGATTGCATGTGTATGGTTTTCGCAGAAATATCTCATGATTGTAAATTGTATACTGTACACGTGTATTTGTATGTATAAATTACATTGGATCAAGCAATATGCATTTATAATCATTTATATATATACATATAATAGATAGAAACAGAAATATATGTTGTCCCCTCTCATAATTGTAGGAGTGCAAAGTTCAAGATGGACTCTATGAAAGTGAACCTTTGCTGGCAAGGGGTCAGTCGGAACCTGTCCTATTGATATTGCCCAGTGCATTCCGGCTGGCAAAAGTTCATAGCCCTGTTTAATAGATGTTACCCTCTGGTTATGTAAAAATAGCTATTGAAAATGACCATTAATAGTGGATTTTCCCAGCTATAAAATGGTGATGTTCAATAGCTATGTAACAAATTACCAGAGGGTATTATGTAGATGGTAGATGATGTTAGTAGATGTTGGCTGCCAGTAGATATTAACATTAGTTGCGTTAGTTGTAGGTCTATGTCCTCTCAGTGAACTGTCAAGTGGTTTTTTGCAGACTATGGGACTAACATTCTAACATGGACAAATCCCATTTCAAACTAAACAATAGTCTTCCATAATTAATAGTGGTTCCATATTTAGTATGAGTTTTAGTTTGAAATTTGAAACCAAAATTTTGGTACCATTTTAGTATCACTTTTCCATAGTGGTTCCCATGTTATTTTGTTTCTCATCTTCTGCGCATGTCTTTTTCCAAAGCACGGCCACCATTTTTTTCGCGGACAGACGTCGCCTCTTGCGTTTGGACGTCGCTCCTGGGCAAAAGTGGGACCAAGATTTGAAAGATATGAACCAACTATAGATGGGATCATATTTACTATCAAAGTTGACTATTTTGAATTTACGGTGCAATATATAACAAACTAATTAACTAACCGCTAACCAACTAACAAACTAATTATCTAACTAACTAACTAACTAACTAACCAACTAATTAACTACCTAACTAACTAACTCACTAACTCACTAACTCACAAACTCACTAACTCACTACCTAACTAACTAACTCACTCACTAACTAACTAATTCACTAACTAACTAACTAACTAACTAACTAACTAACTAACTAACTAACTAACTAACTAACTAACTAACTAACTAACTAACTAAGCTAACTAACTAACTATCTAACAAACAATCAAACTATAGTAACTGGCTAACTAAGTGACTAGCCGTAACTAACAACTATAAAATATATAACAATAACACACTACATCGCACTACAATACATAGATGTTGGGTGTGGTCATCCATTTGTTCCTTTACCCTCTGGTAATTTCTTAGTTTGCTATTTTGATACATGACACGTGTTGTTTGGGATGTGTGGGGGTGGGGGTGTATAAAGGGCAAATTTGAATCATTTTGTGATTTCTAGGTGTACGAGAAGCGGATGATTATTTTTGAACCATTCTTCTGGGTCTTAAAAGTGGTGTCCAAACTATAAGCCGACTTATAAGCCATTGTAAACCCACCCAATCATAGATATGTTATAATGGAAGACCCACCATAAACCCACGAGTTTGCCTAGTTGTGAATCAACTTCGATGTCTATATCTAACTGACTGGTACCAATTTGTACAATTAATTCTATCCACCCCCCACGTGTCAAACCCCATAACAGGCTGGGTATGTAATCAGGGCTTCAAGGGGTACCCACGACCAGGCCAAACAAACGCAATGTGTATGGATGTAACTAGGCTGAAACACTGGCCATCTGTAAGCACGTCGGACGACATATGACATTTATGATGAACACATCATGCACCCCTAATATTAATCAAATACCGCTGCAAACAGTGGTTTAGTGTTGGATCTATTCATAGAATTGGTCCCATTTAGGGAACTCTTTTGACGGATAGGATGGCTGAGATGGCATTGCCCGGTAGCTGGCACTGAGATGGCTGGAGGATCCCCACGAATCGCTCAGGTCAAATGGCCCATAGAAATCCTTGATTTACCTTCATTGAGTTACCGTGATTTACCGTGATTTACCTATCAACGATGGCGATTTTCGGATCGTTTTTCTACTGGTTGGTGATTTCAACCCCTCTGAAAAATATTAGTCAATGGGAAGGATTATCCCAGATATTATGGAAAATAAAATTCATGTTCCAAACCACCAACCAGTCTATGTTGATAAATGGGTGAACTGTTCGCCCAGTTGCTATACGTATAACCACCAACACCTCCATGGAACGATCCTCCAAGTAGATCCCCCCAACATGTGCACCTTGATCCTTCGCCGGAACTGCTGGAACTGCTGCCTGGGTGAACTCACCCTCTGGGAATGAAACGTGACAATGGAAAAAACCAACCATTTGTGGATTACCCTCTAATAAACTAACATAACTATGGAAAATCACCATTTTCAATGGGAAAACTCACTATAAATGGCCATTTTCAATAGCTATGTTAGTTTACCAGAGGGTACGTTCCCAGTAAAATCCTCCATTGATAGGGAATTTCCCAGCTAGCCATGTTTGATTCAGGGTATATATTGATATTAACTCTACAGTATGCATGGCTCGCCTTTCCACTTGCTGCGGTCGTTGGGATGCACATTACCCAGTTTCTAGCATCAAAGATGCCAAACATACCCACCTCCAAAAGAACCAACTGTTCAAACATGTTCAAACACCATTTTCAAAGGTTACCCTCTGGTAATTTAACATAGCTATTGAAAATTGCCATTTATAGTGGATTTTCCCATTAAAAATGGTGATTTTCCATAGCTATGTTAAATTACCAGAGGGTATCAATGGGGTTTAATGGGATCTATCTATCCAACTGAATGGGATATATCTATCCGACCACTTCCAACTACTTGGTTAGTGGAATTTCTAGAGAAACCCCTGGCTGATGGAACCAGCTCTTTTCCGACTCCCGTCAGTCCATCCGACGCCACCTGATGGATCTCAACTGGCCTCCATGGCGATTCTCTGAAAATTTTGAGACCCGAAAAAACACCCTGGGGTGCTGGAAAATCACCCATGTTGCGCATGGTTTTACATGTTTTGGACCAGTAAAAACTAAGGGTTTGACATGGTTTTACTCTTAAAAGAAAATAAACCGTGCCATGGACATTGCTGGAGGGTATCTAAGTCAGGATCAAGTTTTAACTATGCCGTTTGTTGTCATGGAATTTGAATTGCAGGTCATATTTGGATGGCTCAGGGGTTGCCACACTGCTTGGTTGCAATAACAAGACCTCGCAAGGCATGTTTGACGGCAAAGGATGCAGCGTAAAAACCGTCTATTCATTTTGGGTAGGGGCACTAAACAATACTCAGTAGGTTTGTTGAAGGTAAACATTATGGGACAGGAAATCCTATATGCTTCATGATTAAAACCGTGTGTTTTTCTATGTTTTCCTGTAGCCTTTCCCTTCACTTCGATCAAAATCGCCCCCAACCTCGCTGCAGTGCTGAGTTCCTGGAGGTTCGGAATGCTCAAACTTTGGAGTTGACACCTTCAATATCTAGAAAATTCTCTAGAAATCTAGACATATCCAGACCCTCCAAGTAGCCAGAAAAAATGAGGCTAATGGACCTAATGGATGGTCATGTGCATATTATATATATATATATATCTGGGTAAATTAAAATAATTCACTAACCTGAATAGTTGGGCCATTTGGGGATGATTCCCCTTAATAACCATGAAATCCTCAATGTCCATAGTTATATCCTCAATTTCCATAGTTAAATCATCAATTTCCATAGTGATATAATATATATATACCCATTACTTACCCATTCTTTTGAGGACGTGGACACGAACGGCTCAGGTTTCACAGGTTTCAGGTCCCCATGATCTCCCAGGCAGGTGAGCGAGATCGGGATTTTCTCAAAAAACACCGAAAAATCGAAAATGGCACCAACGTTTTCCCTATATACTTACATATATAGATATAGCCTATAAATATCTATAAATTTATATCTATATGTCTATATAATTCTATATATCTATATAGATATCTATATAGATATCTATATAGATATCTATATAGCTGATTCACATTTTCCCCACAAAACTGTCATTATAAATGCTCCCAACGTCATCCTAAAAAATTGCTCCTGTTTGGCCTCGGTCGCCTGGGAGCTCCTGCGATGTGGTGATTTCATGGTGATTCAACGGGATTTTCCGGGATATGACTGTTAATGGATATAGACTATGTATAGATATGTATTAGATAAACATAATATATATATAATGTAAATGGATATAGGTATAGATAAAGATATAGAATCATGTTGGCTGTTGATTTTACTGGAGGGGGTTGGCCTGTGCTTGGTATAGAGCCATTTCCCCAGGGATTCTTAAACGAGGTTTTGCCAGTTGGAAAAGGGCTTTGACAGAAACTTGACACTTGCAAACTGAGTAATGAACCGATTTCACCAGAAAAAGACATACCCTCTGGTTAGTTAACATAACTATGGAAAATCCACCCATTTTCAAGAACGGTAAACCATCTATTTCGATTAGGGCCTAAATGGGCCATCTATACCATGGCGAACTGTTAGTCATAACCAGGTTGGGTATGTGATTCCCAGCAAGGCCCCACATGATTCTGGGGGATGCCCCATGGATTTCCCATTGGTGTCCTGTCTGGGTGATTTTCCCATATGGGAAGCTTCGATTGCCCAAGAAACCATGGGGAAATCACCAAGATCTCCCATCATTCTTAGGCTGATTTCAGCGTTAAAAGGATGTATCCTGAACGCACAATGGAAACTTAGCAAGAATGTGATGTTGACTACTTGTGGATTTCCCATTATAGCATTTCTAGGATTTTTAGGTTAACTGATTCTTAGAATTTAGCAAGTGGTAGTGACCCATTAACCTTATTCTAAGATGTTTTTGTGGATTATACCATCTGGCTATTTAACAGTTCGCCATGGAAAATCCACCCATTTGTAAGTTCGGTAAACCATCTATTTCGATTAGGGCCATGGCTTAACCACGGCTCACCCCGCGAGCCCATGCGGGCCCCATCTCCTAAAGGCGAATGGCATCTCTCCAGTGGGCCTGGGATCCAAGATTTGAAGGGCTTCAAGTTTTTGTTACATTGGTTATAGTATGTTAATCTGAATGTATATTATACATATATAGTACTGTTGTAGTAGTAGAGTATCATGTTTCTGTATTATGAGTCATAGTACTGATAACTACAACCAATATATATATATACTGTAGTATTAGTACTGTTGTAGTATCATGTTATAGTAATATTAGTCATAGTTTCTCTATATCATTAGCCTATGTCGATTGGCTTCATTCGCAACCAGGCGGCAAGTCCCTGTTCAACTCCTCTAGCAGGGAAGGTTCCGTCATAGGTGGCTGGGCCTTCTGAAGCGTGGCCTCAACGATAAGGTTTTGGGTCGATGTATGGATTTGATAAAAAATGATTCAAGACATGATCAAAAGAATTTTAACTGATTTATACATATTCATAGCCATAATTATGATAGTTTCATGAATGATGAGACATGTTGCAAACTGAGGAACATGATGCAAATGATGCAAAAACCAAGGGATTCTTTTTGGTGCCCTTCTTGGTGCCCTTCACATCCCTTCACTTGTGACCCCCATTCGCCTTCGCACATGGCAGGCTAGGAGCTGCCGATGGCACCCATGGCATGGATTTTGCTGCCGCAGGCTGGCTTCCAGAGGTGTTCGGCCAAGCAGGCCTCGGGTTTGGAACCAGGAAAGGCAGCATGAAGAACTTCAGAGAGAACTGGAATCAGGATAAAGGAAATCCTCTACCAAAAGAAAGGACATGTAGATTTGTAGATACATGCAGAGTTTGCACATTGTGGTTGGTTCTGCATCAAAAAGATTCAAAAAGCAAATCACATGCCGACTTCTAAGAGTGGAAATATGTGGAAATGATATGACTGATGCGACCTATAAGTTTGGTTCAATCTGCTTTTTTCGTGTGAAAAAAGGGACATCAAGGCATCGCATTGGCCCTGGAGCCAGGCGGCAAGTCTTTGTTTAACTCCTCCAGCAGGGAAGCTTCCGCCATAGGTGCAGGGACCTTCTCAGTTTGGACATGTTTGGACTAATGGATGGATCAGAAGACCAGAATTATATGTCATGATTTGGCTCAAAAACTTATGTTAGAACTGTTAGAAATGATTCAGACTAAACTTTGATGATTTCGTCTTTAATTACTCGGAACGAGTGGAAACACGCGGGGAGAAGCGAGCTGCCTTCGCACATGGCAGGCTAGGAGCTGCCGATGGCACCCATGGCATGGATTTTGCTGCCGCAGGCTGGCTTCCAGAGGTGTTCGGCCAAGCAGGCCTCGGGTTTGGAACCAGGAAAGGCAGCATGAAGAACTTCAGTTCTCTGGAATCAGGATGAAGGAAATCCTCTACCAAAAGAAAGGACATGTAGATACATGCAGAGTTTGCAAATTGTGGTTGGTTCTGCACCAAAAAGCAAATCACATGCCGACTTCTAAGAGTGGAAATATGTGGAAATGATATGACTGATGCGACCTATAAGTATCTGGTTCAATCTGCTTCACGTGTGAAGGGACATCAAGGCATCGCATTGGCCCTGCAGACAGGCGGCAAGTCTTTGTTGAACTCCTCCAGCAGGGAAGGTTCCGCCATAGGTGGGACCTTCTCAGTTTGGACATGTTTGGACTGATGGATGGATCAGAAGACCAGAATTATATGTCATGATTTGGCTCAAAAACTTATGTTAGAACTGTTAGAAATGATTCAGACTAAACTTTGATGATTTCGTCTGAAAAATTCCTCGGAACGAGTGGAAACACGCGGGGAGAAGCGAGCTGCCTTCGCACATGGGCTGGGAGCTGCCGATGGCACCCATGGCATGGATTTTGCTGCCGCAGGCTGGCTTCCAGAGGTGTTCGGCCAAGCAGGCCTCGGGTTTGGAACCAGGAAAGGCAGCATGAAGAACTTCAGAGAGAACTGGAATCAGGATAAAGGAAATCCTCTACCAAAAGAAAGGACATGTAGATTTGTAGATACATGCAGAGTTTGCACATTGTGGTTGGTTCTGCATCAAAAAGATTCAAAAAGCAAATCACATGCCGACTTCTAAGAGTGGAAATATGTGGAAATGATATGACTGATGCGACCTATAAGTTTGGTTCAATCTGCTTTTTTCGTGTGAAAAAAGGGACATCAAGGCATCGCATTGGCCCTGGAGCCAGGCGGCAAGTCTTTGTTTAACTCCTCCAGCAGGGAAGCTTCCGCCATAGGTGCAGGGACCTTCTCAGTTTGGACATGTTTGGACTAATGGATGGATCAGAAGACCAGAATTATATGTCATGATTTGGCTCAAAAACTTATGTTAGAACTGTTAGAAATGATTCAGACTAAACTTTGATGATTTCGTCTGAAAAATTCCTCGGAACGAGTGGAAACACGCGGGGAGAAGCGAGCTGCCTTCGCACATGGGCTGGGAGCTGCCGATGGCACCCATGGCATGGATTTTGCTGCCGCAGGCTGGCTTCCGGAGGTGTTCGGCCAAGCAGGCCTCGGGTTTGGAACCAGGAAAGGCAGCATGAAGAGCTTCAAGTCACATCGAATTCAGATGCACAAAACTCGGTACCTCAGAAACAAATTAAAGCATATCAAAACAACCATTAATATCGGGGGCGGTCCCTCCTTTAAAAAATAATTGCAGAAACTAGGGACTATAGGGACTAGTGACTTGTAGCACTTTGGAGCTAAGCCTAATCTATTGGCAATCTAGGCACAAACCTGACATATCCATGTTGCTAACCTGCACCCATGGCCATGAGGGCCTATATACGACGATACATTTGGGTCGAGTGGCAGCAAGCCATTTGGAGCCCTGAACTCGTCCAGCAAGGAACGTTCCGCCGAGTCCGGGACGTTCTGAAGTTCTGCCTGCGATGGTTGCTGCATCTTACTATACCTTGGGGGTGCCGCTCTTTTTGTGATTATTATCGATATATATTTGTCTGGTTGGTGGTTGAGCCCTACCCCTCTGAAAAATATATGAGTGAAAGTCAGTTGGGATGATGACATTCCATTCCCGAATGGAAAGTCATATAAAATGTTCCAAACCACCAACCAGTTTGTTGTGATTTCAAAACCTCAACAGTTGCTGGTTGCTTGGTTGAGTTGATACTCGGCAGATTGATCGTCTCGTTATATTGATCACTGACCAGGATGATGTTGCCTCCAGGAACGCTCGTTCCGTCAACCTGTTTCGCATGTTCATGACCAGGATGATGTTGCTGCTGCTGATGGTTATATATATATATTCCCATACTAATCGCATTCTCATTGCGATGATATAGGCAGGGATTAGGAAGGCTTCTCCAGTTATATATTGGCTTGTAACCCCATCCAACTCTAAAGATATATGATATATTCATAAATATTCAGAAATATTCATAGATCATTTTAGTCCACTCCTAATCCTTAGTTTAACCCCATCCAACTATAGTATTCTATAGGTATCGCCCCCAACAAATCCAATCCTTTTGTCACGCCCCGAGCTGCGCCTCTGCTACGCTTGGAGGCAGTGAAGGCCTCGAAGCATGGCTCGGCCTTGGTTTTGGAGGGGATGTAAATCGTGCGTCGATTCATTTAGATTCATCTGCGTATATCTATCTATCTATTTATCTATCTATCTATCTATCTATATATATATATTATACTTTATAACCAGTGATGGCCTATTTGTGTGTGGCCACCCTGGGTATATAGGAACTATATGGGAAAATATAGGAACTATATGGGAAAATATTGGAACTATAAACAAATATGTTGGAACTAAAAGCAAGAAATGCAGGAACTTGAAAAAACTGGGTTGTGCTGAAAGAATTGCACTTAGGTTCAGCCTTTTAAGTTGGCACAAACACTTACAGAGATGTGGGCATTCATACCCCAAACCCCAGGATCAATGATGATGTTGGAACCAAAATCATAGAATTATAAATAGCCGGCTTATGTTCTAAACTATAACTAGGTAGATTTTTCAAAAGATATGATATAAAGTATGTATATACTTGTATACACATATAATGATGTGTTGTATTGATATAAAATACATATGTAACAACTTTATGTATGTATATATATATATATATACATATTCTAATGCAAAATATAAATACATATAGATATAGATATTGATATATTTAGGCTAAAACAACGCAAGAATCCAGTTTTGCGGGAACGGTTGCGACGGTTCCCGACTGTAATCTTGAATACAGCGTGGAACGGTTGCGACGGTTCCTACACTATATCTTTTTCGCAGTTTCCAGGAACGGTTCCGAACGGTCGCAGACGGTTCCGGACTATATCCGTTTTTTAAGGGCTATAGCATGGAACGGTCGCGACGGTTTCCGACTGTAATCTTGAATATGGCATGGAACGGTCGCGACGGTTTCTGCCTTGTAGCACGGAACGGTCCCGACCCCTAAATCATATGTTTGTTTTATCTATGATCCAAATATTTTTTCAAAACATATTAGTTTCAAATTTTCAGCTAAAAGCTACAAGTTGTAAGTTTTTCGTGTACGGCGTGCTTTAAAAGTTGTTTTGATATATGCGTTGGCGCGGCCGCATAATATAGTACTTACCATAATTCAGTGGTATAGCCAAAATAGTATAGCCCACAACAACCTACCCAAAATTCCTTTAAGAATATGGGTGGGATGGAAATCAAATCTGCAAGTTGGTTCCTGCCAGTGATGAAAGAAATGCATCATCGATGTTCTTGGTGTAGCTGTGGGGAGCCACCCGGAAAAAACAGCACAGGGAAGGAGGGCCCCGTGAATTGAATCAACGTGCACCTTGATTCCAAAAACCAGGCAAATTCCAAATCTGGTTTTCCATGCCCAAACGGCTTCTGTATCCCTGGATCTCTTCAAAGCTCTTCCGGCTCAATTTGTGGCCCCGTAAAGCCACATGTCAACCATACCCCTCCAATGCCCAAAAATGGAACCGTAGAAACCGTCAGAAACCGTCGCGACCGTTCCTGGGGTCTGAAAATTGCAAAAAATTGGCTAGAAACTATACGGAAAATCTCAGGAACTACACCGGGTCCTTTTACCGTGGAAGTCAGGATGGAAAAACCTGTCGGTTTACATGGAAGTCGTTTACGTCCAATTCCTGGGGAAAAAGTGAAACTGGGCTACCGGGCCAGCAAATGCAGAAAAACTGACCGTGAATCTCTTACATGGAAGTAGCTCATCAGATATGTCAGTAACATATTCATCATGGAAGCGTGAAAACTGAGACTAAAAACCCTTACGTGGAAGTAACTTGAGGGTCCAGGCATCAGGTTGGCACCTTCTATGTTAACATGTTCTCCCCTCATGTTGAATACATCCTTCTAGGGCGATCCCTAAAACCCCCAGACTGACCGCCACATCATTTTTTTCTTCCATCTATCTTATCACCCCTGTCATGTCCGAGCGATTGAGGATGCAACCTTTCGAAATCAATGGTGCCAAATTGGTGCTCGCTAACATGGCACTTCCCACATCCTACTTCAAGTAGCAAATTTCTATGTAAGTTATCCGTTCCAATCGTTGGTTGTTAAGAAATGGAGGCATTCCCAGCTTTATCTTGAAAAAAACAAAATTTCTACGTTAATCAACAAATGCCCAGGATTCCCGGGGAACTCGTGGCAAAAAGAACTAGCCAAAAAAAAAGGGCTCAGATCCAAAGAACACAAATTTGCAGTTTACCCCCCCCCTGCAACTAACATGGAAGTAAACCTCCGAATTGTCACTTTAGTTAACGTGGATTTTTTTTTGCACTACGGTAAAAGGAGGACCGAGCGCTCGCTAACATGGCACTGCCCACATCCTACTTCAAGTAGCAAATTTCTATGTAAGTTATCCGTTCCAATCGTTGGTTGTTAAAAAATGGAGGCATTCCCAGCTTTATCTTGAAAAAATCAAAATTTCTACGTTAATCAACAAATGCCCAGGATTCCCGGGGAACTCGTGGCAAAAAGAACTAGCCAAAAAAAAGAAAAGGGCTCAGATCCAAAGAACACAAATTTGCAGTTTACCCCCCCCCCATTGCAACTAACATGGAAGTAAACCTCCGAATTGTCACTTTAGTTAACGTGGAAGAAAAAAAATAATTTATTTTTTTTTTGCGCTACGGTAAAAGGAGGGGGAGTATATGGAAAATCTCAGGAACTATATGGAAAACTTCAGGAACTGTATGGAGAATCTCACGGGCTATATTGGAAAGCACTAACTGTCAATCTTCAAATTCGCATGCCCTCTGAACATCTTCAACTACACCCCACTTTGATCTAAACATCACTTTCCAGCACATGGGGTACGCCAGTTCTGTGGTTGGGGGTGAGCAAAAACAGCCCCATGCCGACTCTGAAAGCTAGAAACTCTAAACTTCCAACTTTGGCCTTCCGATCTGACCTGTTGTTTCCTTTACTTAACTTGAATTTTGATCCACATCACCACATCACCACATCACCACACCGTCGTCATCATCATCATCATCATCAGCAGCAGCATCATCAGCATCATCAGCATCATCAGCATCAGCATCATCATCATCATCATCAGCATCATCATCATCACCATCATCATCATCATCATCATCGTTCTCGTTCTCACCCTCATCCTCATCCTCTCCTCATGGTCATCATCGTCATCCTTGCTCATGGCTCTTCCTCACATGTCACATAGATCACAGGTCGTAACAAACCGTGCAGCAATCATGTCAGTCGCGAATGGTCAAAAGTTAATAACAGAGGCATCTTCACAATTCAGGCGGGTACAGTCCAGTTCAATTTTGGATGAAATGTTGCTTGTCATTGTGCGTTGTATGTCGTCAATGCTTTCCGTACCCCATTCTGCCAGCGAGGCCGTGTCGTATCACAATTTGTGTGTGATTTGTTAGGTTATTTCATCCAACTTATCATGTAAAAATCAGAATTTGCAGTTGGTTTGATACGTGGTGGTTTTGAAAAGGAAAAATAGTTCCGATTCAGATTTCAAACTTATGACTTGTCAAAGGTGTCAGGTTATCAAATTGAAAAACCGTTTAGTATGATAGTAACAGTAATAACATGTTTTTAAACAAAAATATTGCTACAATCATTATAGTATATATCTATCAGTTTTTGAGTAATATAGTAGAGTGTACAACCGCGCATGCTCGGCCATTCAGAAGCGCAGAAGCCAGGAACATGTATCTAGCCATGTGGCGGTATGCAATATTCAGATGTAGGAAAGCATTCCCAAGTATCATGCACATATCATGTGCAGCTTCCGATGCATAAGTTAAGTCTCAATCACAGTCACAGCTCATAGTTGTCCCAAATCCAAAATAGTTCCTGAAGAACTCAATATGGCTTCTGAAGAATTCAATATAGTTTCCAAGATCCAATTTGGATACGTCACAAACCCCTGGTTAAATAGGCCAACCCTGGTTATAAATTATACTGCATATAGGTGGACACATACTTATAGGATCTTATAGGGTTTTTGTTGAGTCATCATTCATGAATTGATTCAATTGATATCAATGGATTCACATTTGGATCATGGAGATGTACATCTTCGGCTTGGGTTGGCATCTGCATTGCATCACATTGCTGCAGGCCAGCGGCAGGGCCGGTTCGGCCGGAGGGACCTTCTGCACTTCCGCCTGCAGGCAGGGGTGATCGGTTGGGTTCTTACGCCTGAAGAGCCATGGTAATTTAACCCTTGTAATCTGGGACATGACTGACATAACCCCAAAATGGCCCTACAGTACATTCATCATCTATGTCCGTATGCCTTTGCAAAATATGTGGAACTGCACCACATTAGATGGAGAATATGGATGTGAAATCATGTCGTGAATGTGGCCAAAAGGCAACATCTGCCCACTCATGTCGATGCACGATTGATCCCGTTGTTATGTGCCAAAATGAAGCAACTACTAAAACTGCGGTCCCTTCAGTACGTTGTCTTTGAGCAATACTCAGCTGTGAATTACAGGACTGATTGATGGTTCGGTAGCTCTAATGATTGGTAGCTTGATGGATTCATAATCCTAGGCCAGGATAATGATGATGCTGTTGTTGGTGATGCTGATGGGAATGGGGGATATTTTAAGGATATGATATGATAATGTTTGCTCCATCACATACCGTGCAGCTGTGCAGGGGCACGCAGCAGCTCCGGCAAAGCAACCAGCGGATCGAATGGCCATATCTAGCTATTCGATGCTATTTCTTGATTCATGTTAGTTATCATGTGTTTATTGTCAGTTCAGTTGTCGATCTATACATGATCTACTATAGTTTCTGTTGTTTGTCAGTTAGCTATTTACTATGTGTATATATATATGTGTATATATATATCATATATATTATACATAATTATATATATATCTTTAAAAATATAATAGTAAAAACATGTAAAAACTTTCTTTCTGGTAGTCCCTGGTGTTCCTTCCCATTCTTCAACCGGCTCTTCCCGCGATCGACCTCTGTCGCAGTGTCCGTGGAATCCGTCTGGCTCACCAGGTGCACGCCCAACCTGAAGGAGGCCGAGTAACTCGGCAACAACAACACCGCTTTTGTTTCGAAAAAAAATTAAACATCAATATCTCCCAAACAAAGGTGGATTTCATATATGATATATGGTTTAGACTTTAAAAGCAAAAGGATATGACTTTAAAAGGAAAAAGGCAAAACGTAAAGAAAAAAAGATCATTGTCTGACTGAATTTTAGTAGAATATGTCCTGTTCTACCTTTGGGGGATGTATACATGTGTATGTGTGTGTGCCATGGTCAAAACATGGTACATGATATGCTTTATGGTCATCTATTACATCACGGGAATCCTTGTAGTGGATATCTAAGTCCCAAACTTAAGGACCTCAATGATGGATTGATGCCCATGAGGGTATATAATCCATGTTATGAGTTCACGGGATCAAGCAAAACCAAGGTTAATCCATGTTAATCCCATCCCCCCCATATAATACTAAACACCCCTTTGGTTTAGTAGGGGTTTACACATTTTGGGGACCATAGAATGGGGGTGTTTAAAGTTAGGGGGATGGGATATGATGGCATTATTCCAAAGAAGCAGTTCTATTCCAGACTCTTCTGGACGCCATCATCCGAAAAAGTACTTTGTCACGAGGTCGCCATAAATCATTCACACTCCTGGCTGGTACCTGCGGATTGAACCTCCAGCAAGTTCATATCACTATATCTTGGCGAGCTCGGACATAGTCCAAGAATCAATCAAAGGGATGGAATAGGAACAATTCACGAATATTCAAAACCGCCACCAACATCCACCAACATCCACCAACTAGTCAGAGTGATTCCAAGATCTAGCTGCAATGGGCAGAACCCCCTGCTTCTGCCAAGAGCTTTTAGGCTTTTAGCCAAGCTGCACCGCCTTTTCCAACTCCTCAGCTGCAGCAATTTTCCCGCTGAGCATATTTAGCCCCTTTCTGGGCATTTGACCCAGCGAAATTGAACCTTGAAACCTGTTATGCACCCGACTAAGCAGTGGCAAAAGAAATCTAGACCACACACAACATCACACAACAGTTCGAGCTATCTCATGCACTTTTACAGCATGAAAATCATCTTCCCACAGGCATTATTTTGGGTTTCTATGTTGCTTTCCGGAGGATGGTCAAGCACAAACCTAGCTGCTAACCCGGTCTCTTTGGAGGCTTCCGAACCGGTGAACTATCAAGTTATGGCAACCCCTTTCAAACCGAAAAAATACAGGTAATCAATTGGTAATAATAGGTAAACCAGTTTTAAAAAAATACTTTACTTCGTGTGATCCCCACCATGACATTTATACATTTTGTTACTGGCAAATCTTCTGGCATTCTATCTGGCATTCTATCTGGCATATCTTCTGGCATATTATCTACTCAAATCTTCTGGCATTCTATCTGGCAAACATTCTGGCACTTTATCTGGCATATCTTCTGACTTTCTATCTGACATTTTATCTGGCATTCTATCTGGCATACCTTCTGGCATTCTATCTGGCATATCTTCTAACATTCTATCTGGCATATCTCCTGGCACTCTATCTGGCATATCTTATGGCATTTTATCTGGCATATCTTCTCGCATTCCATCTGACATTCTATCTGGCATATCTTCTGGCATTCTATCTGGCTTTTGAGGTCCAGCGGTGCGCACTGAGCTCGGAAGGCCCCAGGTTGAGGTCCAGCGGTGCGCACTGAGCTCGGCAGGTCCCAGGTTGAGGTCCAGCGGCGCGCACTGAGCTAGGAAGGTCCCAGGTTGAGGTCCAGCGGTGCGCACTGAGCTGGGAAGGTCCCAGGCTGAGGTCCAGCAGTGCGCACTGAGCTCCGAAGTTGGCGAAGAGCTTGGCCAAGAGTTGGCAAGGCAACAGTGGACCTGGAAGTGGAGGCAGAGGTGGTAGAAGAGGAGGAGGACGCGGAGGAGGAGGAGGAGGAGAAGAGCAACTCTGATAAAATCTATCAATTCTAGCAACCTTCACCTGGCAGGTGGGGAAAAAACATAAAATCATGGAACTATATATGGTTCATTTATTTCATAGCTATGTCGAAATCATCTGATTTCCGATCTCAGGACCTCCAGTGCCAGGCGTCCGGTGCCTCCAGGAGGGCCCCCTCGGGGGTACCCTTGGCACAGCGAGGGCCGAAGGCCGAGTCCAAGGGCATCTGACTTGGCAGCAGCTGCTGGTCATAGCCCTGGGCGTTGGACGTGGACCCATGGAGAAGTGGGAAAATCATGGCTAAAATCATGGGGAATGGGAATTTCAAAGGGAAAATCATGCCTGCTCCCCTTTTAGTTGGATACTCCCAAACTCCCGTTGTAAATCAAACCGTTTACCGTTTGGCATCTTTTGGTGCTGATTTTTAGGTCCACTTTTCCAAACTGAGGCATGGCAAGCCGTATTGAACACTGTATTGTAAGCAACGTGGTTGAGTGAACCATCCTGGTAAAGGTTTGAACCGTTTGCCTAGATAAAGCAGCATTTCAAAACATGATAAAGCCAACCAGTGCACGCTGCTTTCCACCTGTTTTCACAGGGCCAATTGGGGGATCCCACTTAGTAATTGGATGATTTTCCCACTAAAACCACAAATTTCTCCGGGAACTTGTCCACCTTTGATGACACCGGAAGGTTTTTGCCCCATTTTCCCCAATCCAATTAGAATCACCATAAGCCCACTATAGATCCCATTAAGTTCCAATAAGGCCACTATTTATCCAAAGAATATGATAGAAAAAACATACTTCCACCATATATATAATATTTGGAAAGACCCAAGAATCCATTTCCAGAGACCCCGTTTTTCAATTGCAAAACCTTTTTTTTGTTCCAATCAGTTCCATTAAAGCACCATTAGATCACCATTGAATCCCCATTGAACCTACATTAAATCACCATTAAATCACCATTTGTTGAAGCCCTTTCGACCTGGTACCCCTGGATGCGAAAAAAATCCGCCTCCAGTGCGAAGACACGTCGCAGTTCCTCCCATGAGAGCCTGGTTTTTTGGGCACGCGCCGCTTTTTTTTGGGGAAATTTCCGGATCCTAAAATGGAGGTACAATATTTTTGTACCATATTTTGAGCCATATTTTGTGGGGATATTCACTTACAATCACTTAAATAGGCCTTTCTTTAAGCCTCAAAAAATAGGATCCGGAAAATGGGATCCTAAAATTTTCTCAGAAATTTAGGCCTAAAAAATAGGTTGTATAGGGTATGTAGCTCCAATAAAATGGTTCCTGAAATGGCCATTGATCTCCCTTTGTTTCATTTGGATTCATACCTATCTATCCGTGTATCTGTCTATCTAATCATCTATCTATCTAATCTCATCCAATGCAATCTGGTCCGTCTATATAACCGATTTTAGCCTATCAAAAATCGATCGAACCGATAATCCATGTATTCTTGAGAACCGATCTAATCTATATGGCTTGTATACCGTATCAGCATATATATATATAAGATCATATTATCATATACAATCTATGTATTGGAGTCTATCTCATCATATCTCTCCATCTACATTTTCTTTATCTAATCTAATATCTACCTTTTTGGGATGAGGGATTTCCGAATCTTGAGCTGTTTTTTATGAGACCTCCTTCCCGCCCAGCCATGCTCAGCCGACCGGCCTACCTCCCACCATTGCGGCAGTAATCATTCAATCGGACTGTCAACAAAAACACCAAACCAGGGATTCATCCAAACATGTCCCGCAAGCAACCAAGTCAAAAACTACAAAGTTTTTGGGAGGCTCTCCCGGAAGTAGTGGTTGATCAAGTCAATCCAACTGCACATGGTACATCATCCCCCTTATTCAAATACTTTGGTTTCCAAATCCCCTGTTGCACAAAAAAAATCGGAATTGTTCTGCCACAAGTCCTCCCTTTGACCCTTTCAAAAATCCAAGAGAACCATTTTAAAAAAATCAGCACTTCCCTCCCCAACTCACTGGGGCTGACTGGGCTGGTTCCAGGCCCCCCAGGGCAGCCCCGCCTTGCTGCCCCGAAGGAGTCCATGTCCTGGCCATCCACTGTGATTTGCGCCAAATCCTGCGGGCGATTTGCGGAACATCCACCGTGTTTTGTGGATCATGTCCCACATGTTCGAACGAAAAACCCATGGATGTTCCATATATATATATATTGTATATGTATGTGTGTATGTATGTATGTGTGTATATATATTGTGAATGTACTGGGAAAACCCTGTTTCCAATATGGTCAACCCTGTTGAACCTGCCACAACTGTGTCCCCAACACAGAACCCAATGCTCGTAGCTTTTCCCTAACTCAAGTAGCCGCTCCCACCCACCACCTTAGTGGGTTCGAACAAATGGCCACAGAAAGGATGGCGATCGGACGGCGCAGTGGTGATCTGCCAAAATCAAGGATATGACATGGACATGGACATGATGGGAAATTCCTGGTGCATTAACACTGGTCAAAATCCAAAAATTTTAAAGTTTTGTAGCCTTGTCCATGTCCACCTTAGGTCCTTCTTCTCTCAACCACTGAAGCCGCTCACGCTTTGAAGCGCGTTGTTTCAGACTCTCTTGTTCATCAAAAAGAGAATATCTACCTGTACGCAAGCATTCCCTCAACATGCTTGAATCCATACTCTTTGTCAGTGAGTCTGCCAACATCGCCTGCGTGCTGATCCACCGCATTTGAACATTTTCTTGCAATCTTTCCCGAATTAAAAGACATTCTAGGGTCGTCCTGTACTCATTACAGCTTGGGACGGCTGTGCGAGTGACAACATCGTAAACGCTCTTGCAATCGGTCACTGCGCTAGCAGAGGGTGATTCACACAAAATCTTCGTGGTGTCGGTCCAATCAACCCCAGGATTTTTCAGCCATTCCCAAACCACACGGACATATCCTAGTCTGTCTAAAGATGAACTCAGTGCAATTGACCCTGCACTAAGAGTCGAAGTGACGACCCGTGGGATCTTTTTGGAGCTCCATGCCATGGGACAGACGACTGTCCTTTCATTTCGAGAAAGCTTCACATCCGTGGCGAATATTAATGTTCCCTGTCTAGAAGACATGTCACGTGATGTCGAAAAGGAGGCATCGGAAAACACACAAAATGCCACCTGATGCTCAGGTATAGGGACAATCATCAGGCACACTGGATGCTTCTTTCCTTCGAACAGAACCCGATTTGCTTCCAGCAAATGTTTCACCTTGGCTCTTGTGACCATGGATTGCAGCTGACCTGTTTTTGCACAAAGATCAGGTCTTGTGTGCGCTGCGGCATACTGCAGGCTGCCACATAACCTGCGCAATTCTTGACGCTCTACTTCAGTTACTTCTGCTTCAGGGTCACTTCTTCTTGATCGGGGTACCTCTATGGGAGAAATCTTTTGGACATATCCTACTTGATCCATTTCAATTGAACCATCGTCCCACTGTTTATAGTGAACCCCACAGAAGTCAAATTCCCGTTCATAGTATGCCCCAAAGTCATAGATTTTCCGGAGCCTTTCGATGGTCTGCTTAAAGTAATCATCTCCAGCACCAATCCCATCATCAACATGAATACCCAGAACCCCCCTAACAACGGGTTTCCCCTTAGGATTCTTGGGGTCATGAGTTATCAAGCTGAAGAGACAACCATCAAAAGGACATGCAACAAACCCCAGAGATTCAAGTGAAGCCCGTAGAGCCTTGTACCAAAGAAATGGAGCATCGACCCTACCATAAGCTCCTCCTTCCAGGGAACACTGATCACCCTCCTTCATACGAAGGGCTTTCTTGATCTCTGGAGGTGCATGTATACCCAGAGGACGTCCATCACCTTCCCCTTTCAGGAAGGCTGTGGAGATATCGAAATTCATCAAACACCAGCGCCGCGATGCTGCTTGCTGAAGCAACAATTGCCTTCCATCCTTGGAAAGTGTCGGGGCATCACTGGGTACAACCCCTACACCTGGGTCTTCAAAACCTGGGATTACCAACCTGGCCTTTGCCCTCTTTTCGGATGTACCTGGCAATGGATCCTTCCACGTCAGCAGCCATCTACACCGCATGATTTGTTCCGGTTTCAGGGAGCCCTTTGCTAATTTCTTTACAGTCCCATGTGCCAACCAAGCGTTGACTTCTTTTTGTTTGGCAGCATCAAAAAGACCCTGCTCATGACGACTCATGTCACGATAGCTCAGCTCAACCCTCTTCTTACGATCACTCGATGCAACCAGGGTCTCTTCAAAAACCATTGGTTCACAACATAGGACTTCCGCAGTTTCTTTTTCGAGCTCATAGTCCAGCAGTGATAATTCCCAAACCCCAACATGTTCATCAACAACCAAACAATCATCCCCAAACAAACCATCATCGGAATCATCAGGAATGGGAACATATCTTCCGTCTTGAGGGACTACATCACCACCATCACTGCTCTTTTCTGTTGGCTCTACCGGAAACTGCTCCCCTTCCGGCTGGCTTTGCAATGGTGTTGTAGGCGCGTAAGAGAACTCTGACATTGGGGGATCATGGTTATTTTCAATTGCCGGAATTTCTTCATCATCAGCTTCCCCAGAATCATTTCCAGAACTCCCCAAATCAATATACCCCCGACCCTGTGGCTTCTCATCCAACACAAGACCTTGGGTATCACGAGGAAGCTTTGCGTATTCCCGTAGGGATGCTGGTCGTATTTGTTCCGGACTTGCACGGATGATTCTACCCAGGTGACTAAGCCAGAGGACTTTTGGATCTTGACAAGCAATCACCTGAGCCGGCCCATACCAGCGACCTACTTCAATACGACTCCTACCACGAGTTCTTCTCCAGTAAAGGACCCAGTCACCTGCCTCATATTCCAACTTCCCAGGCCGACTCTGCCTCAGAAGTGCCCTCCTGAAGGAGGAATCGTTGTCTGCCTGTACAAACGCTTTCCGGGCAAGCTCCCGTCTCAGAAGGCTTTCTTTAAATCGGACCCCTTCCGGAGTGGAACTTTCTGCCAAGCTATGGCTGGTCGCTGCATCGTCTGACACCAAAGATCCAGGCAAATGTCGGGATTTCCCTAGGAGACATTGCTCCGGAGTGAAGCCATGCACCCGACTCAATGAATTTTTGGCTGCAAAAGCCTGGCGAAGGCACTGTGAAAACTCCTCAACAGTTTCAATCACACGGTCCCTTTCCATCCTAGAGAGGATATCCTTGATAACCTTTCCATGGACTTCGGCCCTACCATTCTGCCAATGTGCCTCAGCAGCTGTCATGGATACTTTGATCCCTTCGCCCTGCAAAACTGCTGCCCATGTGTCATTGACATATTCACCGGCTGGATCTAGATACAAGGTACGGCATGGCCCTGCCCACTGAACCCAAGTATTGAGAAAAGTTTGAACCTGATCCTCTACCTTCCGAGCACTCAATGACCCAACATGGTACAAAGTGGCCTCATCGATGAAATGCATGAAGTGAAAAGTCTTTCCATTTTTGTTGGTCCAGTAGGCTCCATCGGCACCGACAACATCATTAAAATCAAGTGCCTCATGTATCCTACTTGGCTGTGATCGTTTCCGACGATCCTGGGATTCAACACATGTGTCACAGACCATGTCACGAGCTGCTTCGATGACCTCAGCCTGAGCACCTCTCTCAGTTAGAAATTTTACCATCTTTTCGGGGTCAGGATGTCCAAGATTGTTGTGAAGCTTTCTCAACTCCCCTTTCTGAACCCCAGTTAAACCCCGATATGCTGGACCAGACTTGGGGGTTATCTTTGGGGCCCATCCCTCTTCCAATTGTTCTAACTCAGGTGCATCTTCCATTTGGAGGTCACTTCCACTATTCGGAACACCCGATGGCGGTTCACCATATGGTGCAGCTTCCACACCCGGATGCTGTACTACACCATCTATGCCACTTCCAGCGGCACCCGAATTTCCGCCGGGCTCAGCACTACGAAAAACTGCCCCTTGTGGATTGTCAAGTTCATCACGAGTTCCAAACACAGTAACAGAAAGTTTTGCAGACCCAGTGGATCGAATCTGCTTCAACCTAGGTAACTTGACCCAGTTCTCAACAGGGCCCAATTCCTTGACCTCACCTGTGTTGCGCTCCACAATGACAGTCTTTCTCCATGGCAGTATCTCAGGCATGACACCGTCAGGTTGGGTACGGTATCGGTCTGTGCCGCGACAAGAAACTACCAGCTGGACTTTGATTTCAGGAACCAACATCTGAACCAACTGCAGCACCGTATCCCCATCCCCAGTAAAACAAGCATTGCCAACCCTTGGGGTACTATATCCAACAGTTCGAAAGATGTCACTCCAGCTGGGAGCCTTGCCATACATTGATGACCAACGCGTCGCCTTTTGTGTAGCCGCAGAGATTCTTCTGCCAAAGGTCTCTCATGTGCCTCCAATCCCAAAATGATTTCTTCAAGCAACAGCGGATCCTCATGATTCCTACACTCCCACAAGACTCCCCCTGCAACCCTGCGCGCAAACTGTGCAGTGTATGCTTGTGCGTACGCTGAAACATTTTGCCATTCCCCATGAATTTTGAACTGGCCTTTAATTGGGGTATGTTGGTGATCCTTTTGGCATACTTGGGAGTGCAACATTTCAAACATCGTCCGACTGGTTGTGAAAACTTGCGTTCGTTTTTGGAGGAAATCTGAGGACCGAGGCATTCTAAGCTTCCCAACCCGACACATGTCAAACGTCGCCGGTAGTGTGCCCCTTCGGACATCATCCAGTTCCGGTTGCAAGACCATCTCTGAACCCCTGGGTTGTTCCAAGTGAAAGTGTCGAGATTCACTGATTTGGTGAAGGTATAACTGATTGCATAACACCAAGTGTGGACCATCAGTTTTCCTTTTGAGGTTGATTTGATCAAACATTGTTGTACTTCTCCCCATATTGAATCTGGAAAAGTTTCCCCACAATCGACATTCGGGTGCTACCCATACATGACGTGGCTCAAAAAGATAAATCCATCCCCATAACTTTTGTTGACCCTCTGGTGTCCTTAGATCCCCATCATCCTTCGTGAATCTTAGAGATTTACCCCCCAGACGTTGAATTTGTTTGGATAACTGGGAGTTGGGCTCACAATAAATTTCCAGGAGGTCAATCTGATCTTTGGGGTTCTGTTGGCATTTGGATTTCTTGGAACCATCATATTGAAAGTATTGTCCATGAGACTTGACAATCTTGGGACGTGATCCAACATACCTATCGTCAGCTTTCAGGGATATCAAACTGTGTTCAATTTCAGTGGCCTTACTTTGAAGATTTGCATGCAAACCATGGAACGTGGGCACACCTAATCTGCTGAGCTGGATCCCTGAGTCTCCCTCAGCAATTCTCGCTGAAGGATCGCAATCTGGGCTTGGATCTGGTTCACCTTCTCCTGATTGATCGGTATCTCCATGGGCTTGATCGGTGGCGTCATGCCCCTCTTGTTGTTCTTGCTCTCCTCGGGCACTGGTGTCTCGACTGCCACCTTTGTCCAATCGGACTCTTCCAGCATCTGACGAGATGGGTAAGCCCCTTGGATTGCCTTTGGAGACATCTTTGCCTTCGGTTGAATGGGTGTCTGCTCTGTCGGCGGGACACGCGGAGGAGTCACATTCCCTGAGTCCTCCCCACGTGTGAGGCGTTGTCTTTCCTGACTGGCTGCCCTCCGCTCGCGACAGTAGAGCTGGAAGCTCCTCACCCATGACGAGACCCCTCGTCTGTTCCATAGCTGCTTCACGTACATCCTGTCGTCCTCGTAGATGGTGGCGAAAGGTTTGCTGGCATGCTTTCCTGACGATGCCTTGACTCTTCCCCAATCTGTCAGGGTGTTGATGCCTGGTGGCCTCATCAGCACTTCGGGCAAATCCTCGTGGTGTGTCGAGGTCTGCAACGACGGGTCTGTTGGAGTGGTCAGGACCCGATCCAGATAGCTCGGCACCATCTGCGATGACATCAGAGGAAATCACGGGTGTGCTCAAATTTTCACACGTGGGTTGAGCTTGGTCACTCTCGACTGCTGTACACAAAGATGCTGAGTCTTTTGGTCCTGAGTTCTGTCCTTGGTTTCCAGTTTCTGCACATTCCTTAGAAACCGTTTCACTAATATTCTGAATTCGACCTCTTTTAGGTTCTTCATGCAAGTGGTGGGTGTCATGACTACATTCTGGACTGACCTGTACCTGCCTCACCTCATGACCATGTTGAGTCTGTGTTTTCGTTTCGTCCACAGGTGCGCAAAGAATGTGTGTCGGTGTGTTCTCCCCATGAGGTGCTTTCATCAACAGTTCAACCACCTTGATTCCCATAAGGTTCTTACGGACCGATTCCAACTTGATCTTTTGGGAACTCCCTTTGAACCCCAACACTCGACCCTCAACATCAATGATTCCTTTTAGGCCACCTAACACTGCATTGGAAATGAGGAATGGTGTATGACCTGGCACTACCTCAACACGGAGCCACCCATTTTGCAGTCTTGGAAGCATCACAGCAAAGCTACTAGTCAGGCGACCAGCATTTCCAAATTTGAAAACAACCCCATTTGTGGGAACCTTCATGACCCGACTTCGAAGTTCAGGGGGAAAGCTCCTCACAAGACGTTTCAACCTTTCACTACCGATCACTGCCCGACTGGCTCCCGTGTCGATGATGGCTTCATCATCGGCCTCCTCTGCATTAAAAACTTCTGCTGTGGGATGCACCACAAGGTTATCTCCTGGTGGGCCCTCAGCCGTGCAAATGGGTGCTCGGAACGACTCTGCAGCAGTGGCGACACTGGAGACATCATGTTTCCTACAACATTGATGGAGACGTTGAGAAACATTTTGGGTCCATTCATGAAAACACACCAAACAATCCTCAAGACAATCCGCAACAACTCTCCCAAAACCAAGTGTCATGTTTTGTTTCCCGTCCTCATCATAGACCTCCGCAGTGCACGGAAGCTCATAGACAACGTCAAAGCCACTGCGATCACTATCATGTTCGCCATCTTGGTTGCCATTGCCCTCGACTTGCGAGATGCCCGTGAAGGACTCCGTATCGTTCTTCTTTGCCATGAGAGAGTTGCCAGCCGGACTCGACGACATCGGACATTCTCTCTTCCAATGTCCTGTCTGGCCACATCGTCTACATGTGGAGTTTGCGATGCGGTCTGCAAGACTTCTTCGACGAAATCCTGCCGGACCAGAGCCACCCTTGGTGTTGCTGGCTCCCATGAACGGCTTGCCTTTTCGACCTTTTCCTTTTCCTTTGTAGCCTGCCAATGGCCAGAAGCCTCTGGATTTTGCCTTGTCTCTCAGACGAGCTCTGGCCTCCTGGTAACTCACGAAGCAGGCCGCAAGTTCTTGAGACTCTTGACAGGCTGCACAGATCTGATCTTCGAACTCACTGACAAAGCAGGCATCTTCGTCACCATTTTCCAGGAGCACCTGAAAGGCAACTTCTTCGTCCACTTCTTCTTCAGCTTCTTGATACATCACTGTCTCATCCTCAACCTGATTGACATCATATGTCTTGAGTTTGGGCACCATCTTTGAGTTGTTCTGGAGCTCCAAGAAGAACTTCGACCCCAGCAGCTTGATGCTCTTCTTCGCCTGGTCATACGATAATGCCCCACCACTCTCAAAGATGATCTTCTTGCGATCTTCACTGCTCAGCAAGGACTGCCGGATCAGGATGTAGGCCCTGACTTCTTCGATGGTGACCTTTCTCATCAAGAGGTCTTCAAAGGCTGCATCATGACGTGCCATGTATGAATCATGACTTTCATCAGCCTTCTGCACTGTGAGGTAAAGTGCTTTCTCAAACATGTCCAGGCGCTCTTCTGTGTCTGGACGCCCCCATTGGCCGCCCAGTGCCTCTACCAAGTACTTCACGCCCTCCTTCTGCTTGAGTTTGGCCGGATCCAGCCTCGATATTTTCTGAAAAGCCACTCCTTCGACCAACAAGGCCGCCCTTGGTGCCAGCTGTTCCAAGTATTCAGCTGGCCATAGTTCCTTCAGGAACTCCAACTTCCTGGTGTAGACCCTCAGGTCTGTCTCCCCAGGAACGAACTTGGGGATCTGACTCCACGGCACCGCTGTGGAGAAGGCCCCGGACCCCGCTGCTTGCGCAGCTTCACCCTCCATGGCTCACACCTAGGGTGAAGTGAAAAGTCTCCTAGCCCCTGCTGTGAAGACCCCACTAGCACCTAGGATTTTGCGGCAGCCCAGGCTCCGCTACCAATGTGAATGTACTGGGAAAACCCTGTTTCCAATATGGTCAACCCTGTTGAACCTGCCACAACTGTGTCCCCAACACAGAACCCAATGCTCGTAGCTTTTCCCTAACTCAAGTAGCCGCTCCCACCCACCACCTTAGTGGGTTCGAACAAATGGCCACAGAAAGGATGGCGATCGGACGGCGCAGTGGTGATCTGCCAAAATCAAGGATATGACATGGACATGGACATGATGGGAAATTCCTGGTGCATTAACAATATATATATATAGGTGTGTGTGTGTATGTATGTATGCATGCATGTATGTATGCGTATGTATATATATATATATATATGTATGTGTGTGTATGTATGCATGCATGCATGTATGTGTATATATATATATGTGTGTGTATGTATGTATGCATGTATGCATGTATGTGTATATATATATATGTATGTGTGTATGTATGTATGTATGTATGCATGCATGCATGCATCGATGGATGGATGGATGGATGGAAGGATGGATGTATGTATGGATGTATGTATGTATGCATGTATGTATGCATGTATGTATGCATGTATGTATGCATGCATGTATGTATGTCAATGTATGTATGTCAATGTATGTATGTATGTATGTATGTATGTATGTATGTATGTATGTACTGCATTACTGCATGTATGCATGCATGCATGTATGGATGTATGTCATTATATTATATATCTATCTAATTTTATCTATGCATCCATCCATCCATCTATCTCATTACGCCTCTCTCTCTCTCTCTCGTTTGTCCTTGTTTATTGAAGGGTATGCCCGTATACCCGTTAATATAAGCCCAACTGCATTCCGAAGCAAGTATGGATGAAAATTCTACTGCTGACCCAACATATTCACAATATGGATGGGGATGGGGTACCCTCCGGTAAATTAACATAGACCCTGGCAGATAGGGGTTGGAAGACTGGTTTCCACTCAAAATGGCTTATTTTCAGGGTCTATGTTAATTTACCAGAGGGTAATTGTAATTGATGGGGTTATCTTTCGATTTTTGAACATCATTCCTGCTGTTGTTGCCAGTCACCTCGGATTTGCTGCTTTTGACACTTGCATACACGATGGGGCTTTGGTCAATGGGAGATCTTCAGGATCCGAAAATGGAGGTACGTTAGTACCATGTAAGGCTATATTTTGTAGGGATATTCCCTTGCATAGGCCTTACATAGGCCTTATATATGCTAGGTACTAGGTACCTCCAATTTAGGTTCCTGAAATGGCCATTGATTTGGTGACCGGACTGACTTCCTGAAATAACATGGACCTCGTGTCAAATCCTGCAGAGTGCCACACGAATTGACATTGGTATCCCCATAAACGCTGCCAGAATTGGAGGATCATGCGACTGGAAAAACTTCTACATTGGCTATCCCTAGCCCGTCACTATTCGACTCATTAACATATTTATATAGTCACTATTTGGTCCAAGTATATACAGGCATTAATATGGGCAAAGATGGGCAAAGTATATCAATCCTCAAATCTGCAATAAACATCAATAAACCCATCATGGGCAAAGTTTCCCTGCCAAAAAAACCTATGATACGGTCGCAAGGAGATGTAAGACCAAAATCGCTGTCCGTCTTGACTTGTTGCCGCTGGCAAATCTTCTCCTGCGGATGCAACCCAACAGCAGGTTGCCAGGGTTCGAGGATTCTGTTCCGGTTTTCCCAACAGTCACTGCTGTTGGGAATTGGCCGTGTAGCAACCCCAAAAAGATAGAAAAGTAATTTGCCATTACCGTATCCCAGGATTGGCTGAAGGAAACCGAGTGACTTCAGTATGACCTTATCGTTGCTTTCAGAGCTTATTGGACATACAAAGCATTTTCCCAAACTGCTGATATAATGTGCATCGAAGCAACATAAGTGTAAAACTGCTGCAAATAGTGTGCTAAAAACATCACCAATGAATACTCGAACATAAACTCATCAGTTGTGGACAAACTCACAGAATGAACTCTAACACATGCAGCTCGTATCCACCTGTACCGTACATGTTCTGGTCCTTTGACCACATTCCTTCAAACAATAGCCCCGCAGAAGGATGGCTCTGAGAATTGATTTCTTGCAAAAAAAAAACAACCTCATTTTGGTAAGAGAAATAACAGCAAATCTGTTCCTGAAGATTTCTGAAGATACAGCCATTCTTCAACAATCAAATTGGACTCATTTGATTTCCGTGAGCACAAGGATTTTCCCTGAATTTCCAGCATATAACCCCCAAAAAAACATCCTCCAGAGTCCCAGCCAGCACGAAGCGATAGATGAAGCAGGGCTTGGTTTGCCCCTGGCGCCAAATGCGCGCCATGGCCTGTCGGTGGTGGTGGGTCACCTTTGGGAGATGGAATCCCGGACCCCAGAACCAGGGCCGCACGAACGGGGATATGCAGCTACCCAGTACAGGGCTATTTTAGATTGATGCTTATGAAAGGACCGACATTTTGTAGATGCTTATGACCCACTAAGGTGAAACAGTGAAACCCCAATGGCCTAATGTTTTGCTTTATGGAGAGGCGAATCTGAACCAGCGACAGCCCAATATGAGATGTTTATCTTTATCATGTATTGGGAATCATCCAAAATGACCTCAACAGTAAACAAAAGCTGGTTTTGAAATTCCAGGGGTCTTTACGAAGCTTGGAGAATGAGAGTTATGATTGGGCTTACCACTTGCAAGCAGCTTTTCCAAGTCCTTCTGGCCAATCGTAGCTGTGTCGTGTCTCTTCTATCCTTTAGAATTATGTGTGCTGATGATTCTCGCTGCAAGTCTTGTTAATAACCCATCCAGATTTTACGACTACCAGTTCGCATGCCTTTAATCGTATAGTGGTGAACCTGTTTATATGCAGGGGTACCGTAATAAGGATGGTTTAGTATGATTTATCGTTATAAAGGGGTATGCGATGTGTTGTTAAAATATGTTTAAACCAAGATACGTTGGCGTATATTACCCAACAAAACATTCGGCGAGAAAATTCGCAGAGCTAGATCACTTGGCAATTCCTGCTTAGTTTCCTGACCCTTGGGGGAGGAAAGAAAAGGAGCAATATGCCAAGGAAGCAAAACAAAAAAGAGTGTAGGCACAGAGCGTCCAGCAGGAGGCAAGGCGACAAATGACGGCACTGTGCCAAAAGTCAGGGGCCAAGCTCGGAAAAGAACCTGTGGACCAGCAACTACACTAGAAAGCTCGAAAAAGGCCACACGTGCACTGAGCACAAAGAATGGCAACGCAAAAGGTGAAAAGGAAAATCAACCCCCGGCTCTCACAAGTCAATAGATACGTTGGCTGGTAATATGTTCCATCGTTCCAGCCCCCCGTTATGCTTTGTTGGAAAATGTTGGTTGCGCACATCCAATTTCTTGGTTGCCCTGTTGGAAAATGCGCGTTGCCCGCCATTGCCCGCCTGTGCATCGTTTGCCGGGTTCCAATCCTTAACGGGACGGCGTGACGGCGGTGTGCTGGGATGTCCTGGTAGGACGCACGGCGGGATGTGCATCCCACGGTTACTACAAGGTGGTGCCCCCCAAACGTTATAAATTGGTTTATAAACCCCATGAATACTATAGATATATCACCAACAAAAACCATAGTTATTGGAGTTATAAACCAACTGAACGCTATCTAGGGGGCACCACCTTGTAGATTTACTAGATTTCCTAGGTTGGGAATGACCATATGGCATATATGGCATATATGGCATATTTCCATCTGGTTGGTGGTTTTAACCATCTTGAAAAATAGTAGCCAATGGGAAGGATTATCCCATATATTATGGAAATCAAAATGTTCCAAACCACCAACCAGCCATATATGTTGTGGGACATTTTTTTTGGGTACCCCACTGATCTCCAGTGACGAAACCCCTAGTTGGGATGCATCCCCAATCTGGTCATGGTGCTATCCCCAAAGAGAAACGAGGTAGCCGCTAAGCCTCTATCCCCACGGCTGCGCCGAACTCAAGTTTTTGGTGACCCACCTACAGTTCCAAAAAAAAATGTATCTCCATCCAAGGTCCATCAAGGTCCAAGGTGGCTGGTGTATCTCCATGACTTTTCACCATCCATCCAGGGCGCTGGGTCGAAGAGGATCAAGCGATTGGCGCCGATCAAATTCAGCCCTGTACCACCGGCCTTGGAGGATAAGAGCAACACATCCTCAGCAGGTAGGCAGTGGCGCTAAGGTGTTGATGAACATAGTGTTATTGCTAGTGAATCTGAATGTTGTTTATATAATTTATATTTATTTATTATGTATGTGTGTTTTTATGTATCTTTGTGATTGCTATTATTGCTACTATTCTGGCCATGATTGCCGCATGAATTCGTAAAAAATGAATTAAACACATGAGAGAAAGTTGATAATTGTTCAATTCATTTGTTTAAAGAACTTAATACCTTTAATAGTTGATAATTGTTTAGATACCTTTAAAGGCCTATGTAAGGGAATATACCCACAAAATATGGCCAGAAATATGGTACAGTCAGTACCTCCATAAGAAAGGATCCTGAAGATCTCCCATTGATGATATGTTTAAGTCTGAGACCTTGCTTAAAGGTATCATTGGTACCCTCTGGTAAACTGTCACATAACTATGGAAAATCACCATTTTCAATGGGTAAATCCACTATAAATCACCATTTTCCTATGGTTTTCCTATGTTTACCAGAGGGTATCGTTTTGCCCATGGACCCCATGGACCAAAAAAAATTCTTCGTTACCGAAGTCTCGGTGCCCTCGGGTCCAGGGGTATTCCTCAGCTCGGTTCGACGACGAACGGAGAGTTCGACTCGGTTAGACATGCAATATAGTACCTATATGTGGTTAAAACAATAATAAACTACCCATTTGGGAATGGTTTATACCACCTATTTATGGTGATCTGGGGGATGGTTTACCATCTGGTTATTTAACATAGCCATGGAAAATCACCATTTATAATAGGTATATAAACCATCTATTTCGATGGGCCATCTATACCATGGCTATGTTAAATAACCAGAGGGTAGTACCTATATGTAGCTATATACCTTGGCAATCATAGCTGGTTGGTGGTGCAATAAATCATCATCTTGAAAAATGATGGAGCTATGAGTTCGTCAATGGGAAGGATGACATCAAATATATGAAATGAAAAATAAAATTCATGTTTGAAACCACCAACCAGATAGGATAGTCCATAGGATAATCCATAGCTGCGTATGTGTAGATGTTTTTTTGGTCTCATCTCACCTCAGCTCACGATCGACCTAAAAACAAAGGTAACCAAACGGGTGGATATGACTCATCAGCTATTCGGAATACCATAAATTCTGCCGAGGAGTCGACAAAAACACCTCTACCATTTCCAACCAGGCGAATGAATGAGCTTCTACCCCCGAAAAGTCACTACTTTTACTCCAGATCAAGTCAAATCCACATTGTGAAGGTGAACTAGATATATGATATATATCATATGTTATGATATCTTCATTTTTTGGGGGACATCTTCTTCCAACATCTTAATTTTCCAATCATTTACCCTTTAGGATTGTTGAAGAAGTTGCGGGAAAAAAACATCCGCGTATTTGTGTGTTGACACATCTTTATCCCCTTCCAACATCTTCCAACATCTTCCAGCATTTTGCGGCCTCACCAAAAAAAAAACATCTCAACCTTCCAGGATCTTCCAGGAATAGTGCTGGTTTGGTACATAAATCCCAGAACCAAGGTTGAGTAGGGTTGACCCAGGCAAATGAAAAAAAAACTGCAGTCAGAACCCACAGATTTTTCTGGTAAAATCAAAACTTGCCACTAAAATCCAAGCATCTACCATTAAAATTTAACTCTTGACAACTAAAACCCAATTTTTTCCAAAAGATCCTAGTTTTCTCCAAGAAAATATCATTCCAACTATTTCCCTTCAAATTAGATTGCTTCTGTATCATTTTGTTTCAAGTGAAAAACACAATTTAGTCCCAGTCCAATCACCATCTTCCCACTAAAATCCAATTGTTTTTATTAAAACTGCCAGTAAAATCACAATTTCCCTACTAATATCTAGCTCTTCCCCATTGAAATCCATAGTTTTCCCTCTACAACTCACATGTTTTCCATGGTTTTTCCCGCCACATCTAACAAATCTAATTAACATGTTTCCCATTCAAATCCACGGTTTTCCCAACCAAAAACCACCCAGTTTTCGGCCCAAAAATCACCCTTCCGCCAAGGCGTCAATCCTTCCACCGCCGCCATGCGCTTGGCCGGCACCGTGTCCCCTGAGAGCAAGGAGCACTTGAAGGGCACTAGGCGCTGTAGGCGTCGCAGGCTGCGGCTGAAGTTGCCTGAGCTTTCCGCGATTCCTGTTGCCATCCCCTGAAATTCATCATATTTCCACATTGTTTCTGATTCAATCCATCATGTTAACTCCAGAAAATCATGGTAAAATCATGTAAAATCCACCATGTTTCCCATCATTTTGGGGTAAAATCTGTGAAAATCATGAAAAATCCATCCAACTCGCAGCCTTTCTTCATGAAAATATGGAAAAACATGGAAAAAACACTCCGTTTCCGGCGCGTTTCCAGCCCAGGCACTCACCACCACCACCCGATCCGTGGGCGCTTCACGGCGCCAATGGTGCAGCAGTGCCAAGAGCACCAGCGATTTGGCACTCAAACCACTGGCGTCCTTTCTGGACGTCTGGAGGGCAGAAATGATGGAAAAATATGGCTATTGGTCAAAACCCTGGCACCTAGTGAACCCCAAAATAGCTGGTAAATGGATGTTCATCCCATTAGAATTGATAATGATAGGTTTTGACCCACCCCCATATGATGAAAAGTAAACTCAATGGGTTGGTTTTCACGGGAAAAATTACAGGAAAAAACCCATGATCTTCATGGGAAAATCGATGGTTTCCGGTTAAGGTTTTCCCTTAAACCAATCCATTGATAAACACAAATAAAGAAGATACTGGAACCATCATACTATCTATATAATGAAACTCATGAATTGATTTACGATGGACAATCTGGATTTCGTGGGATGCAAGAAATATAATCAAACCCAACAAAAGGCACAGTTCCAGCTGGAAAATCATCTTCATCATCTTCCAAGCTTATATGTTTGGGTTCCATGCGACTTTCCATAGATTCTATAGGATTTCTGGTTGAACGTTGTGACGAAGCAATTGTGTAAATCATGACATGAGAGAACCATGAGTCCGGCAGCTAGTCCATTTTTTAGGTCGATGGTCGACCAAGAACTGAACGCATCAAGAAACAGGACAATTCTAATTGGATCTCAACCACCTAAACCAAGACATTCACCCACAGTGAATAAGTGAGATCTTTGGAATAACCGTCAACCATCTCAAGATCGGATGTTCTTCTCTAAAAACAGCAGGTTTTAGTTGTTAAAAACAAGTATCATTTTTGGGTATATTTTCGTCAAGAGCAAGCACCACCCCATGGTCAATGATCCTGTAGCATCTGTCTCACCACCTCCGGAGCTAGCTGATTGTCTGCGACCTGATGGGGTGCAGTAGACATGGATTTAAATTGCGCACTGAGGAAAGATTGGAACATCTTAAATAATAAGGAACATCTTAAGATAATGGGAAAACCTAACAAGAGGAATCAGGGTGTCTATCTATCTAGCTATCTATTTATCTATATATCTATCTAGCTACAGTATCTATCTAGATATATACATGTATCATCATTATCATGGAATCCAGATCGATCTGGGAAAAACAAAAAATAAGGAGAACACAATGCATTCACCAAAGCCCATTGTTGATGATTGGGAATTGGGACGCGCAATGTTCGATACCCTGCATCAAATATCTGATCTTCTGAACTGGTGGAAAAAACCATTGGAATATCCATGTATTGCATACAATGAAGTTGTACTATCCATCCAGTCGCTTCGCCAGCAAACATCGCCATTTCTGCTGATAAAATCCCTACTCACCCACTCGCTCTCCTCGCAGTTTCCGGCCAAACTGCCTCTTCGTGGGCTTTGCCCTTCTTCTTGTCGCTGCCGTCCTAGGGGTCGGTTGCAGCATCTGGGTTGTTTTCAGCAAAACGGCACCCCAAATTAACATCTCAAAAATCCAATGGGTACCGTTGCGTCGTATATCTTGTCAACCTCGTGTTTTTTGAGGCTGTGTTTTTCATTTTTGACCTACTGTATTTTCCCACTTTTAAGATCCTTTAAGGGTATACCGATCTTTGCCGAAGCCATGGATTCGGGCCTTTCTGAATGATCCAATCTACCCAAACGGTCCACCCGCGAGCTTTCGCAAGATGCGAAAGCGGCTCTGGAACCGGGTCATAAAACATCCCCTGTTTATCTCTTGTTAATAGGTTTTTATATTCTATAAGACAAACATAGAGAATAAAATGAAACAATTTTAATATGTGAGAGTCCCTCATATTCTCAAAATCCCTGAAATAAAACAAACATGACATAGATCATGTTTACATTCCGACAGGGTTTTGGTATTTGAAATCAAGAGGGATTGGAAGAGTGAAAATTATTGACCAATCCCATCTCTGGGGAGAATGTGGTAGACCCACTGTTGGTGCTCCACAGCTATAGGTTGGTGTATATAAAGCCCCATTAACTACAGGTACATCTACATTATACCTACCATACACCATACTTCTAACTTATAGTAGCAGGTTCACCAACTTAGCTGGGGTTGCACCGAGAAAAATCCACCCGAACAAACTTGGCCAAGTCGCCTGCAACAAATCCGCAGGGTCGTTGCAAAGGAGACGCAACGCCATCATCGCCCTTGGCGCATTTTCGGGGCTCACCCTGTGATGGTGGAGCTGTTGGGCTGCAATTTACCTAGCGGGTGGAGCCACCCTGATAAATGGACCAGTCATGACCAATCTATTCCAATTCCTAGAGTCATAAACTTGGAATTATCATGAATTATCACTTATCAATACTTATCACTATTTGGGGCGACAATGCACAACTGGAATTGCAGTACCGGAGGCTATCACTATTTTGGGGGCAGGACCCCATGTTGGTAAACGGGGTTTTGTAAATCCTGAATTGCACCCTTTGCTGGCGGTTTGTTTCACCTCATCCCTGGCGACACCAGATCCGGTTGGGGGGCAAAGTAACCAACTTACCACCCACCCAAAAGTGGCACCCACCCAAAAGTGGCAACCCTTGGCCGACCAAAATTGTGGTTTGGATGACCAAACATGTCATGCCGGATGGTTCGCTGCCTATTCAAACGACATGTCACCATAAATCAGGAGGTTCCATTGCCTGAAACTGTTCTCCAGCAATCAAGCGACGTGTTTCCTGTGATTCTACGAGGCATGCAAACACCACCACCACCACCACCACCACCAACAACAACAACAACAACAACACCGACAACGCCACCACCACCACCACCACCACCAACAACAACAACAACAACAACAACCACAACCACAACCACAACAACAACAACAACAACACCGCCACCCCCACCACCAACAACAACAACAACAACAACAGCACCAACAGCACCAACAACAACAACAACAACACCAACACCAACACCACCACCAACAACAACACCACCACCAACAACAACACCACCACCACCACCACCACCAACAACAACAACAAGGTACAAACAAACACTGGGACCCGTCCTCACTATATATCTCTTTTTTCTACCCTTAAGGGTGCAAACAAACACTGGGACCCAGTCGTTGTTATTTGGGGGGCCTCCCCCCGACAACAACAACCACATATACCTTCCAGTTCCCTACTGCTGGTCCCCTTTTTGTGCCGTCAGCGGCCTGGATCCTCCGAATCGCTCCCTAACCACTTGTCATATACGTAACGGTACTGATGAAGAATCTCATGCTTAATCATTTTTGGATGGTAACACGATGATCATGATATATCATGATGGTAAAAACCCTCTTCTATCCTCATTTTACCATCATGATCATAATCTTGGAGTAAAACCCTCATTTTGGATGGTAAAACCCTCATTTTTGGAAGGTAAAACCCTCATTTCTGGTGGTAAAGCCATCATTTTTGCCAATGAAAATCTCGATTTTTCACCCAGCCGCTTCAAGGCTTTCGCCATGTTTTGAGGCCCGGAGTGCAGATCTGCCAGCAGCGCCTGATAGGCTGCCACCTGGGCAACAGCCCCACGAAAAGGACTTGTCGAGTGTGTTTTAAGGATCTTTAGATATTACACACACACACACACATATATATATGTACGATTATGATTATGTACGTATGTATTTGTTTAACGGTTTCTAAATATATTTTTCATGCGTTGAAGATTAACCCCTCACAGGATTCAATGATTTGTTCCCTGCCTGTGTGGGTGCCAGGCGCAGTCGCAACACCACCTGGCTCGACGTGGCAAGTGGACTATGCAAACCAAAAATTACCGGCAAACATACAAAAAACTATGGAAAATCAAAGATTTTCATGGGTAAATCAACTACTTCTATTACTTCTATGGATGTTAAATCACCATTTGATTCATGGGTAAATCAACTATTTCTATGGCCATGGCTTCGATAGCGAACTGTAACAAATTACCAGGGGCTACTGGACATACATATCATACATATATACAACCACACACATCGTCTCATAGTCCATCTACATGATTCATGAGGATTGCATAATTACATGTGCATCCACAAACCGTAGTAATTTTGCAAAATGACGAAGAACAACAATATACAACAATATCCCATTATTTCACTAGGATATATTCCTTTTGATCTTTAAGGGGGCTGCTATATAGGTGTACAGCAAGCGGTTCAAATCAAAATGCAAGAAAGGTCTCACGCATCAGATTCAGAGGCGCTTCAGCATCAGAAATGCGGCCCATTGGGAGGTTCCACATGTCGTGGTAGCCCAAATCATCCAAGTCGACCAAACTAGAAAGTAGTCTCTATTCTAAAGTATTAAAACAACCATGGCTGGTTGGTGGTTTTAACCATGTTGAAAAGTATTAGTCAATAGGAAGGATTATCCCATAATATTATGGGAAAAAATCTTTGAAACCACCAACCAGATGGTGACTTGGGGATCTCCCCCGTTTCAGAAAGCCCCAGTTCAACGTGTTGTTTTTCTACCTCGACCCGCGGCGGCAAGCCGAAGCTGACGTTTTCCATGGTGCGGCGCAGCAGGAACTGCGAGGTCTTCTGCTCTAACCTGATTTCACCCGTGAATCTCATGGAAATTCATGGGTTTTTGTCTTAAAATGATGGGTTGAATTTGTTGAATGTGGGTTTAACATGGTTGGTTTGACATGGTTTAACAGTGTGATGAACCATAAAAAACTGTTCATTGGATGTCGATTCTGAAAACCATGGTTGAACAATGTTGAACATTCGAATTTGGGGTCTCATTGGATGTCATTGGGACAATGGGATAGAACTAACCAACTATATCCAAGCCGCCTGAGTTTGAAAATGGAAGCTTTACCTACCATGATTTACCACAAGAGAAGCTAGGGATAGTAATTATCCGGGATCCATTCTCAGTTTTGATCCATCCGGGGAAAATAGACAACAAACGGAAACTCCATCATTTATCGCTCGAAAGCTGCGACATCTTCACATTCAAAATGGAGATTTTGCCGACGTAGGGGCGATGATATTCCCAACTCTCAGCCATGGAGATGTGTCCAAACAAAATGTCGAGCCCTCCTTAAAATAGGATTCTGGATCCTAAAGCCCTAAGCCTGTGTTTGCATATTCTGGCCAAATTCGATGATAGCAACCCCAAAAAAGAATAAAAAAGAGAGAAAAGTATAGAAAAACAATATGTTTAGTGGGAATTTACTTGTCTATCCATGATGAATCTTACAGTGAATCTTAGTTACATGTCAAAAATCTACTCTGTAGCTGGTTAGGACTATTTTTCTATTGAATTCGCAAGAGATTAAAGGTTACTAGTTAGTATCTAACCATTTGACTGGTTCAGATATAAGTAAGTATCTAACCCCAGTATTCAATGATAACCAGATAGTATCTTCTGGTAAACAAACATGGCTATTGAAAATGGCCATTTAGTTCGTTGATTTACCCATCAAAAGTCATCAAAAATGGTGATTTTCCATACCTCGCAAACTGATCAAACTGTAACAGTTTACCAGACTTATAACTTCAAAATGGTGATTTTCCAGTTTGCTATGTAACACTTTACCAAACTTTAGGATATCACTTGACCCAGTTTTTTGGGGGTTCAAACCTCCCGTTGCAGTCGCCAGGGAACTCCCTCGTCACCTGCTGCCCCAATGCCTTTTCCTCCGCGGTGGCGTAGGGTTCCCGCGCCCGCTGCACCACCTGCGCGGCGATGCGCGGCGCCATGTAGCCACAGTGCCGCGAAGGGGCGAAGAGGTCCGGACCTGGCGAGTTTCCGGGGAAGATCCACAGAGACCATTTGGCTTTTGCTCGGAAAAATGGTGGTTTGAATATGGTGCTATATCACCCACAGGCACCGTGTGTTGCCCAGACCCACAACTATGATGTTAGATGATGTTAGATGATGTTAGATGATGTTAGATGATGTTAGATGATGTTAGATGATGTTAGATGATGTTAGATGATGTTAGATGAGTTAGATGATGATGATGATGATGATGATGATGATGACGACCGCGATCGCATCGCTTGGCAAGCAGCCGGTGCCCAGTACAACTTACGAACCCAGTATAGGCTGGGCGTGGCAATCAAGAAATAGATCATAATATGTTAAGATATCCTGAGGGATTAAAATCTGCCAGCCCCTTGAACTCTATATTGAAACGGGAAATAACATATCAGATATCTTCATATCATCATGAGGGATTAAAATCTGCCACCCCCTTGAACTATATATTGAAATGGGTAATAACATGTCAGATATCTTCATATCATCATGAGGGATTAAAATCCGCCACCCCCTTGAACTATATATTGAAATGGGTAATAACATGTCAGATATCTTCATATGATCATGAGGGATTAAAATCTGCCACCCCCTTGAACTATATATTGAAATGGGTAATAACATGTCAGATATCTTCATATCATCATGAGGGATTAAAATCCGCCACCCCCTTGAACTATATATTGAAAAGGGAAATAACATGTCAGATATCTTCATATCATCATGAGGGATTAAAATCTGCCACCCCCTTGAACTATATATTGAAATGGGTAATAACATGTCATTCATATCATCATGAGGGATTAAAATCCGCCACCCCCTTGAACTATATATTGAAAAGGGAAATAACATGTCAGATATCCCCCTTGAACTATATATTAAAAAGGGAAATAACATGTCAGATATCTTCATATCATCATGAGGGATTAAAATCTGCCACCCCCTTGAACATCCTTGAACTATATATTGAAATGGGTAATAACATGTCAGATATCTTCATATCATCATGAGGGATTAAAATCCGCCACCCCCTTGAACTATATATTGAAAAGGGAAATAACATGTCAGATATCTTCATATGATCATGAGGGATTAAAATCTGCCACCCCCTTGAACTATATATTGAAAAGGGAAATAACATGTCAGATATCTTCATATGATCATGAGGGATTAAAATCCGCCACCCCCTTGAACTATATATTGAAAAGGGAAATAACATGTCAGATATCTTCATAAAACTGCCGGGAACGTCCCTGTAAATCTCCGGTCAACACACAGCGCCTGGCCGTAATATCATGGGAGATGGTGTTTTTATATATGATTTTTAAATGTGTTGTTTTTTTTAATGGGAATATCAATGAAATGACTGCAATTACTGTATGTTGAGAAACTCATTGAATATACATGTGTGATATCATTGAATAGGTTGCGATGTATTTTTTGGTCTGGGGGATGATTAGATTGGTCTAAGGGAAAGTTGACAGGAAACCATGTTGTGTCCCAGCAAATATATATATATATAGAAGTGCTTATTGTAGAAAGTTTCTACGAGGATGCTTGTTGGGGAGTTTCTTGCAAGGTTAAGATTTGTGCAATTGGAAAAGTTTCTATTGTGGATTTATGAAATGTTTGTCATATGTTTGAACCCCTCAACCCGCTCTGGTTAGGTATGAGCCATTCAGCCCTCTCCATGGCAAAGTTCGCAAAGGCACGTACAAAGCGTCCGCAATGAAACAACTCCTCAAGAGAGGTGAGCCCCCAAAAAAGTGAAATCCTATGAAATCCTACTAAAAGTGATAACTCGCTGTTCTATCTTTTTTTGGGGTTCCTATAAGCATCAATGTAGTGGGAATTATCTGGAAAATGTATTTGACAAGCAACCACATGATACTATATATTAGTGTATCCAACCAACAGGTAATTTCTTACCCCACCAACCATTTTATCTCTGAGCTTTGTCAAACCTATGTTCAAACAAACCCGGCATCGAAAACTGTCGGATTGCGATGAACAATCTGACCAGTTTTGAAGTTTCAAATCTTCAATGTCATCCTGTGACCCGTTGCCCACGTAATCAATGATCCCTATATATACCCTCTGGTAATTTAACAAAGCCATCGAAAACCCATTTGAATGGAGTTTTTACAGTAGCTGGGAAAATCATCTGTAAATGGACCATTTTCCATAGCTATCTTAAATAACCAGAGGGCATATATCCCTACAGTAACCATCTGGATAAAAATTGCAACACTTCACTGACCTCTTCAGAGTTCGCTTTGGGATAGTTACCCCCAATAACCGCAAGAAGAACCATCATCCCAGTGATACCACATATTAGTTGGCTATAATATCCCGTTAAAATCCCACCATATATCCCCACATCAAATCCACAACATAATTCCCATAAAATCCCATGAATTCCCACGACTCTCCCCTGTCCTCCAGGTCGTTCTGCAAGGGCGTTCCACTCAACCTGGGACACAGCACGGTCCACTGGCACCCCTCACACTTGGCCAAATGGAAAATCACCATGTTTGAAAGGGAAAAAACAATGTTTAAATATGTTAAATTAAATGGATTTAAATGGCAATGTTCCATAGCTATGTGACATATGTGAAATTACCGGATGGTACTAATCCAGAAATTCCAATGGGTATTGAATATGATCGGGGAACGGGGTGCCATAATTTAACCAAAACCCAACATGTTGAGATCAAGCAACAATCACTTGGGAAAGGCATCAGCTCCAATCAATGCTGTCTTGCGTGAAAAATCGATGGGCCTTTGTTGAAGCAAATGCAACTACCAAGCTGCCATAACATTTTGAATCTATTTAAGTACTAAGTACCATCTTTGTCTAATATGGTTTTCAAATATCAAGTTCCGAATTCCGTTTTCTCAATATTCATGGACATTCAATCCACAATTACTCAGCTAGTCCCCAGTCATCGCCATTTTTATAGGTGGCTTGTTTCGCATTCCCAGTCATTGTTGGTTTATGACATCGTTTTACCCACATCGCAATTATTTCTGGTTCATAGGGTCACAGTAAGGGGTGGTCTGTGGACCGGGGGCAAGTGTCGAGTTCCGTTTGAGTAGGATTTGAGTTGCTATAGTAAATATAAATAAGCAAGATCTGGTAGACACACCATTCAGCCAGATTGAGGGAGATTGAGGGAGATTGAGGGAATTTGAAATTCGTTTGAAGTTCGTTTGAGAAAATTCATCTTTGGACTAAAAATGTTGGATTGAATTGAATTTGAAGGAATTTGAGTATGAATTGAATATGAATTGAGTATATTGCTCTTGTCAAGCTGTTGATACAAAAGTCACCTTATGACGCGGGAAATGTTAAGGTCAATTTGAGGTCAATTTGAGTTGCCATCCAGTTTCTGACAATGTGAGGTCAATTTGAAATTAATTTGAGTTGCCATTTCTATTGATTTCTCTTGAATTCTTTAAATTTCAATGGAATTCTATAGATTCCATTGTTTCTTTGTTGATTTCCATGAAATTCTATGTATTCCCTAAAAATTCCTCATTTTTTAAAAGAATTCATTAGGATTCCTTAAATATTCCTTTAAATTCTTTAATACAAGGGGGAAACACAACAGGGTAAACGGGGGAGGCGACAACGGAAGGCGAACAACGAGAAAATGAGAAACGTCACGTTTAAATGATTGGTACATATAAAAAGTATCTGTTTAATATGTTAAAAAATCGAAATTTAAAGTACATTAACTCATATACTTTGAATATATTTTTTTGTTTACTCTTTATGTTTTGAATATGTTTTCGATATGGTTATAAGATGTATTGAGGATATGTTTCGCGTGTGTTTTTGACACTGGTTGGTGGTATTCCTACCCCTCTGAAAAATATGAAAGTCGAATGGAAAGTCATAAAATTCCATGGTTCCAAACCACCAACCAGATTTCTATGGCTCTTTCCAAAGATTTCCAAATTTCCAGGGTCGTTTCTCCAGGGCGCAGGATGCGACGTTGACATTGCATCTGTCCCAAGGTTTTGGTGGTGGCCGTTCCCTGTGATCCTCGGGTGCCGTGGGCCCCATCGGTGCACATGGAAAATCGTCTGTTATATCCTCTGGTAAACTAATATAGCCATGGAAAATCAACATCTTTAATGGGAAAATTCACTATAAATGGTGATTTTCCATAGTTATGTTAGTTTACCATTAAATCAACTATAAATCACATTAAATCACCATTGTCACTAGCTATGATAAAGTACCAAAGGGTAAATGATTCCCAGCTGTAAACATGTGTATATATATATATATAGAGTTAGGAGATGTTAGGATATTTTCCAGCTTGCCATTTGTGATGACACCGGAGGGTAAGGGTCTACTGTAACCGCTAGGCGCAACAAGTGCCTGCACTGTATACAACACTTTATCTGCACATTGTTTCATAATATCGGCTGAACGGAAAATATGCCGGAAAAAGAACCCTAGACGTGGTGAAAAATGTGAGCCGTGGCCAAAAGCTCTTGTCTTTCTGGAGGCGCTAAGGGAATGCTTACGTGGCAGCGAACGCGCTGCTTACGCACCCACAGTTTTAGCTTACGCGCAGGAATGGCTTACGCTGATGCTTACGCAGGAAGCGAAGTCCTTATTGTCACTCCCTTGCTAAGAATTACCTTCCTGTAGGTTACCCCAAGGGTTTACCATATTGCTGCTCGACCCCTCAAAAACCTCCATGTCTTCCAGCATCTGCCTGTTAAGCGAGTGGATGCGAGTGGTTTCCGAAATGTTCTCGGAGAATCATCCATACCTTTGGGATGATTCCTGATGCAATTTTGCCCATCCAACTTTGGGATGATGCGGTCATGCCGTCCTCAAAAAGGTCGCGGTGTCACCGGGATCGACAAACCCTGTTTGATCACCTCAACCACGGCCCGAAACAGTGGTCATGGCTCCGGTCGAACTGCAGGGCACTCATGGCACTCAAATCTTCAAAGCTTCTCGGAAGGCATCCCACAGGTGGAAATATGCAAATGGGGAATATAAATAATGCGTGCAGTCCTTAGACACCCACCAAGAATAGGGGCTGGTCATTCAGGGTGCTTTCATCCTCTTGGAAATGGATACTTAGCAAACATCAACAAGAAACATGCCCTCAAAATGATGCTACAGTAAAACCATGCTGAAACATGCTGAAACCATGAACCAGAGTCAGGTGCAGTGTGCAAATCATATCTTTCCACAAAATATTCATTGGCGTCCACCTGCCGTAGTCGACTGGCTTCCTCCGGGCCCAGTTGACTCCGCAGCCACTTGGAAAACTCGATGTTGCGCCAGTTGGAGGCCGGCACGTTTGTGATAGGCCCACATGCCTCGAGAAAACGGGCCGGGCCCAGATGATTCGTCATGGGAAGTCTTGAAACCACAGTCATACAACCACTTAAAAACCAATTAAAAAAATTCCCCCTGGCAATAATTTCACATAATTCATGCCTCAAAAATCAACAAACGGATGGTGAAGCAAAGCGAGTTGCCCATTGACCTCGAAAATCCACCTTCTTTCGCACCTTTTTGGCGGCTGCCCAGAGGCCAGAGCCATCATGGCTGACGAAATGTTGGGGCAACGTGGTGCGCCAGAGGAGTTTGTCGAAACGACGCGTGTCTAAAAAGGGTTTCACCACCTCGTTGAATGCAGTGATGAGCCGAGGCTTATCCTTGGCAAATTGGTGGTTTTTTTGGCTGATGGCTGAGGGAAATCTACAGGACACAAATTGGGTTTTACTATATAAAACTTACATAAACTTACCTAAACTTACTTTTGTCTTGAACCAATCCAATATAATCCAATGAACCTTAGTTCAACCATGTGAAAAACAGCTGGTTGAAGTGATGCGGTGGTGTTGTGAAGCTTCAGCTGACATGGGATGGGAGGTATTGGTTTTCACGTGTTCACCCACAGAGGAGGTAAGTCCCCTATAAATGAAGGTTTACCCTCTGGTAAACTAACATAGCTATGGGAAATCACCATTTTCAATGGGAAAATCCACTATAAATGGTCCATTTTCCATAGCTATGTTAAATAACCAGAGGGTAAAGCGGAAACACATTGAACATCATTGAACTAATGGTGTCGATTCTCCGGCTAGCCATGTCTGAATACCGGAGACAAAAACAATCAGTGGGCCCAGCATCGTTCTTTCGAAGGCCCCAATTCAACAAGAGGTACGTGCTTCCCCACAGCAAGCGCTCCGCTCGCTGCTGCTGCATCCGTACCGTGGTGCTGTCCAGCACGTGAAGAAGCAAAGAAAGTCGCTTGCACTTTGGGTGCAATGCCACCTGGACCCAAAAATATCCACCAGTGAGCTCAGCTGGACATGGAAAATCCATGAAAATGCACCATGTGTATCATTTTGCTATAAAGCCGCAGGTTTTCCATGTTTTTATTTACTTTCTTGGCATGTGTATATATTACATTAAAAATTCCATGCCCTAACATGAAATAGTCCACAAAGCAACCCATTAATTTTCAGCAACTCAGTTGGTTTGGAACTTGCAGAAACATCAATGTCTCAATGATATTTGAACATGGTAGATGATGTTCGACATGTATTCTATTGAATCTTTCGGATTTTATACCCAGGGGCTGGGATGATTCCCTGTCTGCTTTCATGTGGACCTGCCACTTTCTGTGCGTGAGATTGCCACGGTACGCTCGCTGTTGTCCATTTTTCACATGTTGCTCGGCTAGACCTGACGTTTGATTTCGACCAATTCAACGTCCATATCTGGACATTTCTTGGTTCATGCTTAGATTTTCCAATAGTTTCCATCTCAGTTTCCATGTCAACCCGCTGGAAAACATCCCAGCCGCTCACCTCTGGATGGGCAGCCTTGAGCATCCAGACCTTGCAGGCGGCACGTTCAAAGGCGATGTTTTGGGCGAGGGAAAACAGGTACCCTCTGGTTATGACTAACATAGCCATGGTATAGATGGCCCATTTATAGATGATTTTCCCATCAAAACCTCGATTTATAAGATTTATAAGTGATTTTCCATGGCTATGTTAAATAACCAGAGGGTAAAAAACCAACGTTTGTACACAACATCTCCAGGGAGCTCCTGGAAATTTATGACACATTGATGTCAATTGATGTCACTTTCTTTTTTTTGTGTTCTACAAAGCTGCAAGGTGGGGGCCCAAAAAGATTGCTAATGTTAGTGAACGTTTATCTCCAATTTCACAAGGGATATAGCTTAAGTAATGTTAATGTCATTAAAAATGATTACAGTATAATGACTATAGCTTGCAAAAATCCATCCTCCCGTCTGCCTAGTCCTAGTCCTAACATCCCCTAGAGTCAACATGCTTCAGTATAGGGGATGAAACCACATGAACTTGCTGGCGGCCTGAAATGCTTACCCATCCCAACAACTATAGCAAGAAAAAGAGTTTCCAAAACGCAGAAATGAAAACTCCTATCTAAACAAAGTGGTAAGTTGAACCTGTTGGTTCCTTCTTGGGGTCCAGTGGCACTGGCCGCAGGTGGTGAGCTTTAAAAAAAAACGCATGATTTCGCTTGGGTGGCATTCAACATGAGGCTGCCATGGCAGTAGTTTTCTGTTTACGAACAAGAACCCCCAAAAAAAAGGTGTAGAATAGTTGTTGGTTTTTTTTTTGCCTCAGGTTTTGGATGTTTTTTTTGGCTTTCTTTCCTGGTACCATTTGCCTTGTATTTGCAGCAGTTTGGAACTAGAACCTGTCATTTTGCATGGTATTTGCTACATTTGGGCATGGTCACTTTGTATTTTGCATGGTATTTGCTACATTTGGCCATGTTCGCCTTCCATTTTGCATGGTATTTGTCACATTTTGGCATCTAAACCTCTCATTTGCATGGTATTTGCTACATTTTGGTACTTCAAACGTTCATGTTTTCATTTAGGGTTTTATTTAGGGCTTCATGTGGTGTTTTATTTAGGGTTTCTTTAGGGTTTCATTTGGAGTTTCTTTACGGTTTCAATTTAAGATTTCATTCAGGAGTTCATTTAAGTTTTCTTTAGGGTTTCATTCCAGGGTTTCTTATCAGGATTTTTTTTCACGATTTCTAAACGTTCAAGTGGGTTCCTTTAGGGCTCCTTTAGGGTTTAATTTAGGGTGTCATTTAGGGTTTATTTAGGGTTTCATTTAGGGTTTCAATTTAGGGTTTCAATTTAGGGTTTCATTTAGGGTTTCATTTAGGGTATCTTTAGGGTGTCAATTTATATAGGGTTTCAGCTAAGGTGTCAGTTAAGGTTTCATTTATTTTTTTTTCAGAGTGTTGTTTAGGCTTTCTTTGGGATGACATTTAGGGTATCACTTAAAGTTTCTTTAGGGTTCATTTATGTTTTTTTTGGGTTAATTTATGGTTTATTTAGGGTTCATTTATGGCTTCTTTAGGGTTCATTTAGGGTTTCATGTAGGGTGTCTTATCAGTACTTATCAGGATTTCTTTAGGGTTTCTTTGGGTTTCATTTAGGATACAAACAGAACAGAATAAAGCAAAAGAAAATGAAAAACAAAGAGACAGTATAAACAGGAAGCAAAGAAGCAAAGGAGCAGGAAGTAGAGCAGCAAAAACACATGACTGAAGAAAAGAAAAAGTAGAATAGTAGAAGTAGAAAGGCACAGAAGTACAAAAGCAGAGAAGCAGGGAAAACAGAGAAGCAGAAAAGCAAAGAAGCAGGAAAAGCAAAAGGCAGGAAAAGTTGAAAAGCAGGAAAAGCACAGAAGCAGGGAAAGCAAAAAGCAGAAAAGCAAAGGAGCAGGAAAAGCAAAAAGCAGAGAAGCAGGAAGAGCAGAGAAGCAGGGAAAGCAAAAAGCAGAAAAGCAGAGAAGCAGGAAAAGCAGAGAAACAATGTAAGCAGAGAAGCAGGAACCCAAAAAAAAATCCAAAACCTGCCGCGAAAAAAAAATACATAACCCTCAAAAAAAACATTGAAACCTCAGGTACTGACTTCCGTGGCTACTCTGAAGTGCCTTTCCTTTAGCTATTTATATCCCCCCATGTGTAGCAAAAGATTACCACCCAGGCGAAACCCAGGTGGACTGTACTGGGCCGAATTCATTAATTGCGGTCCCATTACTTTTGCGGGGTAATTAACATAGTAGGATGCAAATGATCAACGAATTGGCGTATCATAGTTCAATCACTAGCCTTGAATGATTATATCTGTCATTCATTATTTCAAAGAATCATTGTGATAAATCTTCAAAGCACCAACCATTCAATATTAATTAATTGCCATACATGCCATTTATGCATATGGCAGTGTGTCAAAACCTATAGTACCCCTTCTGTTCACATCAAAATAGCTGGGATTTATGGATGTGAATAACCCTCTAAAAATTGTATTTTCATAGGTATTGATTCATAGCCATATCTCCAGGCGGTGAAACACCCAGCGACACCAACGCGACTCGACTGCAGCACCTCGCCTGCGTAAAGTACTTGCTGAAGCCGCTGCAGTTGGCATTGATCAGTTCCACGCTGAGATTTTCACCTTGCAGAAATGGCCATCTAACACGGACCTACCCTCTGGTAAACTAACATAGCTATTGAAAATGGCCATTTATAGTGAGTTTTCCTATTAAAAATTGTGATTTTCCATAGCTATGTTAGTTTACCAGAGGGTAAATTGGAAGTACCTACTTTCTAGCAACTCCGAAAAATGTGAAATCCTATCCACTAAAACATGTTCCAAAAACAACCCCTGGTTCGCCCACACTCAAACAACACATCCAATCAATATGATATACTTATCGCCAGAGGATCAATGAAAACACTGGCTATACGCAGTGATTTTGACTTTAAGTTTTCATGATTTAGGGTTTTAATTTAGGGTTTAGGGTTTTAGGATTTTAGAGTTTTAGGGTTTTGGTGTTTGTTGTTTTGGAAAGTAAACAACTTGACCCTGCGCAGGGATTTGAGCATGTCAAAGGATATGCGGGATTGGCCGCGGGCAAGCTTAGGGGTCGCAGCGAACATGTTTTAAAAAAGTAAAATATTCATAAGTGAAATTTACCCGTAAATTCAAGTCATTAAAAAAAAATCATTATGTATACATTTATCTATATCTATATATATATATATATTTGAAAACATAGCTCTGTCGCTGACCGTAACGTCCTAACACTAAGGAAGCGGTAAGTTGAACCTTCCTCTCTCTTGGCTCGCATAATATGACTTCATCAAAACATGTTGAAAGTTTAAACACGTGAACTTACAGCAGCCTCCAAAAGATGCCGAAAAGTGCTTCCAACCTGGTACAAGGTTGGCCCGGGACCCATGAGTTATAATATATAGACCCCATTATCCATATGTATATATAAAATGTCATAAGAATATATCATATGTATATATATATATATGTTTAAACATATATAGACCCCATTATCTATAATTTATGATGATCTATATGTATAATATATATATATATAATTATAATTATACAATATTAAGTTATACGCCATCCTCCAGCCCCTAGAATCCCTAGAATTCAACAAGTTCGATGAACCCCTGGGCCCTGTGCCCAGGCACCATGGAGGTAGCTGGCGCCAAATTGGCCGCACCAATATGTCCGCTGCCAACCCAAGCGGAAGGCACCCAGCAGGGTGGCCACGAAGAAGTCGGTGGTCGTGCTGTCACCCACCTGGGGAGGAGCGAAAGATTTTGGGGTGGCCAAAATCATGGAAAATATCGGGAGTTTTGCTGGATTTTGAAGGATTTGATTTTTTTTTCACGGATCAACCAGATGTTTCCACTGTTGAACCCCAAGACGGGAGTTTTCACCAGGCGAAATGATTAAACGGAACCAACGGGGGATCACCCCACCTAATCGTCAAGTAGTTTGAACGGAAAATCGCCATGAAAAATCACCATTTCCAGTGTAAATCCTCATAAATCACTGGTTGGTGGTTTACAAATGGATCATGACATTCCCAAGATATGGAAAAATACAATTCATGTTCCAAACCACCAACTAGATCATCTATAAATAAATGATCATTTTTTGGACCATTTTCCATATATGTTAGATAAAAAAAAACTCGGTACCCATCGGTACCCACTTAATTAACTTAAGCGATTTGAAGATGATCATTGACCAGTGACCAGTCGTGGGATGTTAATTCCAATCTCACCCAAAACGACGTTCGGTGGAGACTCCGGAGGGATGAACCCGTCAGGACGTCAGGTGGGCGTTTGGTGGGCTCAACAAACCACTAATTTACAGTAACTATCACCAGAAATTTTATGTTGATCACGGTTTATCATGGTTTATCACGGTATATCATGGTTTATCATGGTTTATCATGGTTTATCATGGTTTACCATGGTTTACCATGGTTTATCATGGTTTATCATGGTTTATCATGGTTTATCATGGTTTATCATGGTTTATCATGGTTTATCATGGTTTATCATGGTTTATCATGGTTTATCATGGTTTATCATGGTTTATCATGGTTTAGCATGGTTTATCATGGTTTATCATGGTTTATCATGGTTTATCATGGTTTATCATGGTTTATCATGGTTTATCATGGTTTATCATGGTTTATCATGGTTTAGCATGGTTTATCATGGTTTATCATGGTTTATCATGGTTTATCATGGTTTATCATGGTTTATCATGGTTTATCATGGTTTATCATGGTTTATCATGGTTTATCATGGTTTATCATGGTTTATCATGGTTTATCATGGTTTATCATGGTTTAGCATGGTTTATCATGGTTTATCATGGTTTATCATGGTTTACCATGGTTTATCATGGTTTATCATGGTTTATCATGGTTTATCATGGTTTATCATGGTTTATCATGGTTTATCATGGTTTATCATGGTTTATCATGGTTTAGCATGGTTTAGCATGGTTTACCATGGTTTATCATGGTTTATCATGGTTTATCATGGTTTATCATGGTTTATCATGGTTTATCATGGTTTATCATGGTTTATCATGGTTTATCATGGTTTATCATGGTTTATCATGGTTTATCATGGTTTATCATGGTTTATCATGGTTTATCATGGTTTATCATGGTTTACCATGGTTTACCATGGTTTATCATGGTTTATCATGGTTTATCATGGTTTATCATGGTTTATCATGGTTTATCATGGTTTATCATGGTTTATCATGGTTTATCATGGTTTACCATGGTTTACCATGGTTTATCATGGTTTATCATGGTTTATCATGGTTTATCATGGTTTATCATGGTTTATCATGGTTTATCATGGTTTATCATGGTTTATCATGGTTTATCATGGTTTATCATGGTTTATCATGGTTTATCATGGTTTATCATGGTTTATCATGGTTTATCGTGGTTTATCATGGTTTATCATGGTTTATCATGGTTTATCATGGTTTATCATGGTTTATCATGGTTTATCATGGTTTATCATGGTTTATCATGGTTTATCATGGTTTATCATGGTTTATCATGGTTTATCACGGTTTATCATGGTTTATCACGGTTTATCATGGTTTATCATGGTTTATCATGGTTTATCATGGTTTATCACGGTTTATCATGGTTTATCACGGTTTATCATGGTTTATCACGGTTTATCATGGTTTATCACGGTTTATCATGGTTTATCATGGTTTATCATGGTTTATCATGGTTTATCATGGTTGGTTTATCACGGTTTATCATGGTTTATCATGGTTTATCATGGTTTATCATGGTTTATCATGGTTTATCATGGTTTATCATGGTTTATCATGGTTTATCATGGTTTATCATGGTTTATCATGGTTTATCATGGTTTATCACGGTTTATCATGGTTTATCACGGTTTATCATGGTTTATCATGGTTTATCATGGTTTATCATGGTTTATCACGGTTTATCATGGTTTATCACGGTTTATCATGGTTTATCACGGTTTATCATGGTTTATCATGGTTTATCATGGTTTATCATTTTCATGGTTTATCACGGTTTATCACGGTTTATCATGGTTTATCACGGTTTATCATGGTTTATCACGGTTTATCATGGTTTATCACGGTTTATCATGGTTTATCATGGTTTATCATGGTTTATCATGGTTTATCATGGTTCTTCACGGCTTATCATGGTTTATCATGGTTTATCACGGTTTATCATGGTTTATCATGGTTTATCACGGTTTATCACGGTTTGTCATGGTTTATCACGTTTTATCATGGTTTATCATGATTTATCATGGTTTATCACGGTTTATCATGGTTTATTACGGTTTATCATGGTTTATCATTGTTTATCATGGTTTATCATGGTTTATCATGGTTTATCACGGTTTATCACGGTTTGTCATGGTTTATCATGGTTTATCACGGTTTATCACGGTTTGTCATGGTTTATCACGGTTTTTCATGATTTATCACGGTTTATCATGGTTTATCACGGTTTATCATGGTTTATTACGGTTTATCATGGTTTATCATTGTTTATCATGGTTTATCATGGTTTATCACGGTTTATCACGGTTTGTCATGGTTTATCATGGTTTATCACGGTTTATCACGGTTTGTCATGGTTTATCACGGTTTTTCATGATTTATCACGGTTTATCATGGTTTATCACGGTTTATTCATGGTTTATCACGGTTTATCATGGTTTATCATGGTTTATCACGGTTTATCACGGTTTATCATGGTTTATCACGGTTTTTCATGGTTTATCACGGTTTATCATGGTTTATCACGGTTCATTCATGGTTTATCATGGTTTATTAGGTTTATCATGGTTTACAGTAGCCAGAAGTTTTTGATATATGTTTATCATTGTTTATCATTCCCCCCCTCAACAAAAAAAGAAAATGGAAATCCCCCCATGAGAGATATGAGGAGTTCGGACCTTGTCCGATTCTGTAGCAACATGAGGATTTCAACGAAAGAAATGAAGATTTCACCAACCCGATTTTCTTTAGTATATGACCAGGTCTATGCCTCTTGTGGGTGCATCTTTTTTCAGGTGGGTCATTTTTCCTAGAATTGTAACCCAGTTATACATGGCATCTCCCCATTTAGAGCAGGTTGCTATATCTGGGTAATCTGTGGCTTATAAACCACTTACCATCCCAGAATTTTACATAGCTATTGGAGCCACGGTCCATTGAGGTCGATGATTTACCCAAAAAAAAATGGTGAGTTTCCAGTTCGTAGCGAAAGCTATAGAATTCCATAGCTTGTACAAGTAGCGTTTTCCTAGGCAAAACTTTGGATTTCCATAGGTTTTTAGCATTTTCCTAAGGGAACCCATTGTTTTTTTTCGATGTTTCCTGGGAAAACGACGTGAAGTCCTGATTTTCACCAAGCCCCGCCGAGGTGCTAAGGTCAACATGCAGGGCGGGGTCACGGCAATGTGTCGCAAGAGTTTGTCCAAGGGTTCCAAGGCGTGTTGGTCGCTGCGTCCTGCGCGCAATCGGAGCTTTCAAGACCAGGGCTGGGACGGGTGAGATGGTGCCAAGGTGAAGAAAAGTGACACATTTGATGTGCCGAATTTTTCCATAACTGTAGCACTACTGGATTTCAGATGATTTCTTATATGATGGTGCCCCTCCAACATTGCGGCCTGACCACGGAATAGTAAGATGTGTGCCAGGTAAATTGTTTACAAACTGGTGACTTTCCTCGCAATGTGTGATTGTCAGATGTCATCAAACCAACATGGCTTGCCAATCAAGTGCAAACGTGAATTTGCTACAGAGACGGGTTTCCCACTGCGGCGTCACTGCCGGTAAGTCAAGAATTAAGTTGATTAAGTTGGTTGGTAGACCCCTGCAGCCATAGATGTACCACAAGCCCCAGTTCAACTAGTGACCAAACCAACAGCCGCATCTGTCCTCCCTTGGTCCAAATCTGGGACGCTTTAAGGACGTCTCTTTGTGAGCCCAGCATGTGCCTGGATGTCGCAAATTCGGATATTCAAAAATAGTGGCAGCAGAATTACCCTCTGGTAAACTGTCACATAACTATGGAAAATCACCATGCTATTAATGGGTAAATCCACAATAAATGGCCATTTTCAATAGCTATGTTAGTTTACCAGAGGGTAAAAGCAGTAGCCGGAGGAGAAGCAGCTGAAAAATTGAGAATGGACGATGTGCCGACTCTCTCACAGTCAACTCTGGCAATGAAACTTCTCCAGTTTTTTTTGGGGGGAACGTCAATTGAGAAGTGGGTGCTTGGATTGATGATGTTCTGTTGCTGGCTTTGACTACCAAAGGGTAACTCCGGATACCCATCAAATTCATACGCATTCTTACAGGGATATGAAATACAATATTCTGGGTGCACAATGACTTACAATAATATCAATACACTAATGTTAGTAAAGCAATGTCATAAACCACCCATATGTTGATGCTTTATACCACCTGGCCTGGTACCTCTTGGCCGCCCGAGACAGGCATGCTTGAAGTCATAGGAACAATTGCCAGACTCGCCGTCCTGGATACGGACTGCACCCTGATAGTGGTTCATGAATAAGCCAAAAATATGGATGTAATCCCCCAACTACCAGATGATATAATCATCATAGTAATTTGTTAGTATATTACAAGCCAACAGTATGGGAAATCCATGAAAAAAAGATATCATTAAAAAATTATTATACAAACTATCTCTATTCATTCCAAGCCCAACAATTTTTGAGAAAATATTGGCAAATCCATGAAAATCCCAAATGATACCCTCCCAGTTTAGCACTTTGCGAACTGGAAACTCGCCATTTCTTAAGGGGGGTCAAGACTTTTCCGTAGCTATGTTTCTACCAGTGCCTACCCGCATCCCCCTCCGGAAGACTTGTGAGCTGCGTTCCATACCTTGGTGGTTAATCATCCTGAAACCCAAAATGATGAACAGGCAACGAGAATTGAGCTTCAAAGCACCTGTGCACATACAATTTTCCCAAAGATTGTTGGTTGCACACTGGCTGTATTTCTATTGTTGCGGCCAAGAAAGCCCCCTCATCCCAGCATCATTTTATATCATTTTTCGCAGCCCGGACAGGATTACATAAATGATCAAGTATCAAATTGAGACGCGAAGAGCACCTCACGTAACTCTGCCTCTGTTGCTTTTCTCCAAGTGTTTGGGCCTGCGCCGGCACCTTGCTTCTCTTGCGCCGGCGGCACCTTGGATCTGCTTCTTTTAAAAAGTGGTTCTTTCAAACGGTCAAGAAAATTTCAATGTCCCAAACTTCAAAGGCTGGGAACAAAGCCCGGCAGGTGGGAAAATACGTAAAAATACGAAGCAAAATCCTAATCTTCAGCCAAATCCAGACATAGTCTCTGCTTGCTGTACCTTTTGATCTGTTTCTGAAGGCTCAGCCAGGCCCTTCGCATCCTGCGCTGGCTCTGAGCTGTTGGGCCCTCGGTTTTCAACGGTCCAGGAGCTGCCAGGCTTTTGGAGCTCAAGCCTGGTGGCTTCGTTTTTTCACCCTCCCTGGAAGTAAAACAAATAAAGATATGGCAGTGTGTCAAAACCTTGTACCCCTGGTGAACATCAAAATAGCTGGTAAATGGATGTTCATCCCACTAAACATGGTATTAATAGGTATTGATTCATAGCCATATGAGCAAGATAAGGGAACTCAGTAAATGTCAGTAATTTGGGATCATCGTCTGATTGCCAGGGTTGAACATTTAGAAAATATAGGAAAATATTAGAAAATAAAAAATGTCAAAAGCAGGCGCCAGCAGCATATACACACCATAGGGGATGCAGAAGAAAGTTCCCACACAAGCCAGTGTGCAAAGGCAACGTGGCGCCATCTTGACCCCAAACGGCCCATGCGGACATGGATTGGATTGGATGTCATCATGATCATCATGTCACATTGGATGTCTCAAGGCGAAAGTCTGTTTTTCACAACCTGGTGAAGTCGGAAATGAAGCAAAGGTAAACATCAGAAAGTCTGATCTTTTATATGTGCATATCCAATTCTTCTTCACGAGTGATTTTTTAAGGGACCACGACATCTATGTCATCTTCACCATTCGAAAAGACGAGGTTTTTTTCCGACTGGCGAAGCCTTCGATACTGCAGATTCTTTGGTTCCCATGACAGGGAAGTGGATTGACCGTCAGCCTCTGGTAAACTGTAGCAAGAAACTATGGAAAATCACCATGCTATTAATGGGTAAATCAACGAACTGAATGGCTATTTTCCATAGTTAACTTTATAGGGAAACCATTATTATAGTTGGATACTTCGAAAAAACAATACAATATATGTCAATACAATAATTACTCCCCAAGCATCGAAGTGGCCAGAGAATACCTCCCACAAACCAACAGTTCAGATGAAAATCACCTGATACTGTGCTCTACACCATCCCACCTGGCCGCCCAAAAAAACAACCATTGGGCAACTTCTCCAAGGCTCGCAAGCGATGACCCTCATCACAAATCAACAGCTCGCACACGGGGTCTACGAGCTGAACATGTCGACGCAGCCTGTCTTTCTCGCCCTTTGCAGCCCCGACAAAAGTGAAACATGTGCTGATCAACTGGGATCATGCAGGGGTTGAACATGAAGAATGTGCTTGAAACATCTTGAAACCACCATCTCAGGACCATCTCACATGGGCATCAGGTTTTAGATAAAATGATTAAAAGTGGCCGCTTTGTGATTCCTGGACTCTGGTCTTCTTGGCTTGCGTCATCACCATCCACATCACCCTTCATCCTGCCTTCACATTTGGGGGTCAATGACCGGTACTTCGAAATCCGAGGTAATGACTTACTTAAAGAATTAAGCTAACCTTCAGCTGGTTAACGTCCACTTTTTGATACTTCAATCCCATATTTTGTAACAAAAGCAGTTTTCGATGCTGAACTCACGTGACATCGCCAGCCACCACTTGGCCCAAGTGAATCCTATGATTTCTCTGACCTTTCCTGGGCCCAGCCAAGTAGCTGATCATAGGACACAATCAGCAACTTCCGAGACCCGAAGTCCCTGAACTCGCGCAACTGGAGCTCGGTCTTCCTGCGCATGTCGAATGGCAGGGGGGCGATGTTTATCCCCTAGGATAAACATAGAAAAAAAAATTGGAAAACCCAATGGTGTCCCTATAGTAAAATGATCTATTCATGGGATTTAACGGGTGTTTTTCATTTTTTTTTCCACATATGGATAGTTACCGTGATCTGAAAATCCATGGCTTTGATCATGGAATGGTCAACTAGGTCTGGGTTAGCTTCCAAACTGGCCCCGTTTACTGGCCATGATCCCACAAAACAAGGGTGCCTATATGTGTCTATAAGATGTTATTCCATGTTATTCCAATTCACTCTAAATATGCATCCGTTTGTTTTTTGTTTCCCATTATGCTTGTTGAACGAAATCTTACTTAAGTTTTATACTATTACTATATAAATTCTCTATTAATCTCCATTTCACTGCACTAAAATCGTTCCCATCTTTCCAGTTGCCGCCCAGCTTCTCTTTGCCACTTTCGACCACGGTGGGCTTCAAGCGTTGCTCGCCAAGCCACTTCTTGACCTCTGGCAGCTCGAAGAGGGACCCAAGACATGGGTTCCAAAGAGTTCATGTGGAGAATTTCCATCCCTGAAAATGTGGAGAATTTCATGTAGATATAAAATTTCCATCCATTTCCATGTTTCTGAGGAAATATACATGTTTTTTTGTCTAACTATTTTCCATATATTTCCCAACATGTTCTTGAGATTCGAACTATATGCGTCCATATCTAAAGTATCTCGTAACGGGGCCCATTGCCAGGACAAGCCAGGCGCTTCGGCGCGCCAATTGCCGCAGAGGGAAGATGGGCAAACAATCACCGCCTCGCCAAGTCCATGTCTTCGGGATGAGGGAAAGAACCATGCTCATATCGCGTCATCTCCTTATATTATATATATATATATATATCTTATAATTTCATAGCATGCCGAACCTAGGAGCATATCATATCATGCATTTTTGGAACTATATCGTGTCACTGTCATATCAAACATCATATCGTATCTAACATCATGTCATCCAATCGTTCGGGGATGGGGGGACTTTTTAAAAATGTGCATGTGTACAAACCGATCTTGATCGATGATTTGGGATATTTGTGGCTGGCCTCCCCAGCCTCTGGGATGAGCATCCCGGGAATCGTCAGTTGCCCATAACCATGGTTGCTTTCCCCAGCATAACTGCGGGTATAACTACAGATACATACAGTACACTGCACATACTTCTTGATCACTTTCTGACTTGCTTACGGACTCGGAAAAAGCTACCCTGCAGTAAACTAACATAGCCGTGGAAAATAAATCATTTACAGGTCATCAACCTACACAGAAACTGTGATTTTGTTAGTTTACCAGAGGGTAGTGGTTGTGTTTCTTGGTCTATGTTCAAAGAACAACTTTAATGGTTGGTATCATTGGCATGTATCTCATTGTATCCCATTCAGACCATTCAATCCCTATTCATTCTTGACGGGTAAATCTGAATTTCCAAATCCCAAAGATAAACACGGTAACAGCGTCTGTAAAAGGCCGTGTCGGTGATGACAGTCCCCGGACGATGATGGGAATGTCCGAAACTGTAGTACTTTGCACATTTATTTTTTGTTGGAATAAGAAGGGTGACCTCAAGTGGAAAATCTAGTGTTTTACTAGCATGAAACTGCAGTTTTGTTCGCCGAGGGTTTCGCCGAAAAGTTCCTTTTTTGGTAGCACAAAGTTAGAGAACCCTTACTATGGAGTAGAAGTCGAACAGAACGTTATTACAGTTATTACCCCACCCCACCCCCCCACCCCCAAAATATCAAGACGCCAAAATATCAACACGCGCCTGGCCTCTTACTGGAGTTGACACCATAAACACCAACAACTTCGTCCCATGTGTAAAGGTTTACTTCAAACTCATTATAGATATATTTACCTGGAAAGCCGAAAAAAATCTGGTCATTGTGGGAAAAAGACGTAACGATCAGTTATTTTCATACATAAAATATTGGTTTTATATGACCAAAAATATTGTCAAATCAAAAGAACATTGCAGTCCTACCCGTAGCAAAACCGTAGTTGCTCGACATTTTGTTGAAGAAAAGCCGCAAAAAGCCCTAGCAACTCTCACACAAACCTACCAATCGCGAAACCGTATTTCTTCGACAAAATATGTTTAAAAAAAAAACGTAGCAACTCTTCCACAAGTGGCTCCAGACGATCAAAGCCGTAATACCCCAAAGAATGGTCAAGGCCGTTTGACCCAAAAAAAATGGATTTTGGCTTTCCAGGTCTTGACTCGGAGAGTCCGGCCGACTCAGCCTTCGCCACCAGGTTGTTCGAGAGCACCACCCACAGCAGGGCCAAGGCTTGCAATGACTTACCCAGGCCCATCCTGAGAAAGTGGGGTTCAACAGGCCCTCAAAACTCTTGGATGGGGCCAACTCTTGGGCCAATCATGGCCAATCACAGGGCTTCCACCATCCAACTGCACAAAAGTAGGATCATCCCACTTAGATCACTTATAGATCACTGAATGGAACTGATATATATATATATATATGTACCCCTAGTAAAGATCCCAAAGTATCAGTGGCTTATCGCTGGGTGCACTCGCCAAAGTCAGGTGAACCACTGAGTTTTTTCGTGCATTGGCGAAATCCAAGGCTCGTATCTGCCAGAATGCACCCACGATTCTTGGAAATAGCGTCAAACCTGGGAACAGAAACTGTGGCCTTCAGGAGAAATTGTCCTGCTCATTCTTGGTCAGATTTGAAGGATTTTGAAAGGAACAATTGGAAACCATGGGTTCCATGAACTAGATACCCTCTGGTAAACTAACACAACTATAGAAAATCACCATGCTATTAATGGGTAAATCAACGAACTAAATGGTCATGTTCAATAGCTATGTTAGTTTACTGGAGGGTATTATGTTTTTCCGATGTGTTCCTCTAACTTGTCCCAAGTCGGCATCAACCGTTGGGGAATGACATCTCACTTGTGAAGCAAATTACCCCAACGTAATCCATACCATTCCATACCTTGTATCTTTACCAAATATTCCATATTAGCTCACCATGGTGCTGGAATATGAATCCCAACATTTGCCCTAACGTCCAAAATCACCGAGTAAACTGTAGGTGTGCATATACCAGCACCATGGTTTGCATATGGGTGGTATAGACCATCCAGAAATGGTAGTTGTTGTTGGGTTTACCACAAGATTTCATCAATTGTCGTTCGACAACTTAAATAGACAATCACAAGTTGTCAAATTGTCAAAGGTAAAACCACATAAAACCATCATGTTTATCATAATTTCTCCCATGAAATTCCATGAACATCATCATTTTCCTACTGTAAAACCATCTTTGTCCGGTGGGAAAAATATGGAAAATCCACATGCCGCCGCGTCGCATGAAGCGCACGCCATCGCGCTGGTGCGGCCGCAGCTTCTTGGCCACAAAGGCCTCCAAAAAGACCGGGCCCTCGCCGTTCTGCACGGCGGCTTCGTTCCTGATGGGTTGGAACGGTTGGAACACTGGTGGATCACTGGTGGTTGGGATCATATATTATCATATATATAATATTATAATTAACAGTAATGTCAACCCCGGCTTAATAAACCAAGGTTTATTAATTAGGGGGGTACTCCTCCAAGAGTCATAATCTGATACTTAAATGGTACCCCCCCAATTAAACAGCCGTTTGGGGTTTATTAATCCAGGGTTGACATTATATGATGTTCCAACCATGGTTATGTAATATTTCCTAAATGTTGATTTTTAGGACCATCACTGGATTTTGATTTTTAGGACCATCACTGGATTGGTTGGGAAAATCTTCACCGGAAACCCATGGGTTTTTACCATCCAAAAAAAAGGGGGTACAGGCGGTTGAATTTTTCCCATCCAATTCGACCGTCCAAACATTGGGGTATCCAAAATTGACTTCCCATATGGCAAGTGGCGAATCTGGGCAAATGAATTTATTTGGGTCAATTTGGAATGCCTCCGGCAATTCGGCAATCAAACGTGGCACTATGTGGCACTTGAACATTTGCTGTGAATGGAGGTGTTAATGGGAAATTTAGCGAAGTCAATGGTGGATTTTCCAGCAAGCCGTGCTTGATTACTGGAGGGTAATCGTGTGGTAAACCCTGCAGTAAAATTGTGGTTTTCCCCGCATGCTGTTTTTATAAATGAATAGAATAGCGAAGAATAATGTGGTAAGCGAGGGCTTTATGAAATTGGGTATGCACAAATTTGGGACGATCTTATCATAATAACAATGGTATTATAATATACATGTAACAGATGACAATGGATTGCTATAGTGATGGCTGCTGTCACAATAATTCAATAATAATGATACAGTAATGGATAACATAATAGTGTCAATATATAGGATAATGGATATTGTCGGGATAGTTACATGAGTGTTGTATGATAATAATGGATAAGAGGATATAAGAGGTATATAATACAGTAATGGTTTAGAATTTGTAGGGATTTAAAAGCAACATCAACGAGAAATTGCGACAGAAAAAACACGTGAATCATAGGTTTGAAATAGATGAAATCTCTCAGTGGGAAAGTCCCAAATTTTGGATCAGCCAAAAATTATGGTTCTAAGATGTTCTAAGCATTGTTTAAAAACACATGACATCTCTGAGTTTGGAAGGTTGCGGAGGATGGGAAAGTTCCAAGCCTTGATGATGTTTACATCATGAGTTTGGGAGTTCAATGCCTTCATTTTTAAAGGATTGTGTGGTCAAAAAATACTCAAAAGATTTTGAAATCTCTGAGTTTGGGAGTTCTAAACCTGGTTTTGTTCCCTTAACGATTGCAATCAAAAAACAACCAAAGAATCATGAACTTTCTAGGTGTGTTTTTTTCGATGGCCCCCCAACCTCGCCACCGCCCCAGATTGTTGTGAAGGGATGGTCCTCCAACTCTGTTACTTTGGAACTAAAAGAACTTGTGGATAGTCAAAAAAGAGCTGGAACCGCTAGTTGAATGAGAATTTTCATGGTAGATATGGTAGGAACGTGTGAAAATATTGTGAAAATATTGTGAAAATATTGTGAAAATATGTCACAAGTACTCTTGACCAGCCACAGTAATGATCATAGGATGCCCACTGACCATTGGCTCTAAAATTTCTGCTTGGGAGGAAAAGGCCGGATGAAGAAACAACCAACTTCAAAGCATGGTAGTTCTCATAGGGACCAAATAAAGATGTTACCAACTGATTGGTATATATACTCATCATATATGTATCATATATTACACCCAACTCCTTCAGGATTACGGTCTTTCCTGGCATGGTTTCCATTAGACCAACATAGACCAACCATGGCAAGGCACACCACCAGCTCTTCCGGGTCGCCATTGCCCTTGCTTGCGGAGGAGCTCTATCTGATATCTGGGTCCGGTGGGGCACAGCATTTCAACATGACCAAAAGCAAAGGACAAGAAACCTGCGTTGTGGTCAAAATTCACCATATTCATCCGGAAAAAAATACGGAAATCGCCAAATTTGCCCAGGGATCCCCACCAATCCCCAGCACCCCGCCTGGCGCGGTCTGAAAGGCCTGACCCGACCAGATCTCTTCTTCCTTCACAGCGTTCACCTGGGCGCCCTTGCCATCCTTGCCCGCCCTATGGACCAAAAGTTCCAGTGTTAACCCAGGAGTTTACAAAACCCTAGTTTATCATTAGGGAGGGCCATGGGGCCATGGGGTACCAATTACCTGATATTTTAGTTACCCACTGGCAAACTAACATAGCTATGGAAAATCACAATTTTCAATGGGTAAATCCACTATAAATGGCCATTTTCAATAGCTATGTTAAATTACCGGAGGGTATGTATATCACTGTATCACTACTTGTGGTCAGAGTTTAGTCGCATCCGGGGTTGACATTGCGTCTGGTTCCTGAGACGAGCTTCTGCTGCTTCGAAGCGGTAGTCATATCATTTAATGCGGAACATGTCGAACAAACATATTTTGAAAAACGACCACGCATGTTCTTACTGCTGCTAAACGTAAGGAACGGGGGAATGATCTAATCTACCCATTTATAGATGATTTTCTCAGCTAGAAACCTCCATTTATTTTCGGGGTTTTCCATGGCTATGTTAGTCATAACCAGGTGGTATATCACAATTACCCTCTGGTAAACATACAAAAAACTATGGAAAATCACTATGCTATTAATGGGTAAATCCTGGTAAATCCACTATTTCTATGGCCATGTTCAATAGCAAACTGTTAGTTTACCAGAAGGTATTTCCCACTAACTATAGTTATATCCATAGAATTCAGCCACTTATAGTTCCATCTATAGTGGATTTACCCCTCCATTCCCCAGTTCCCTTTCCCTTTCCCTTACACTTCGCAGCAGTTCGTTGTGGGTCCAAAAAGCGGCCCATCGCGGCCAGCGGGCGATGCGCAGGGCCACCTTCAGATCTTCAATCTCTTCGCCCGGACGTAGGCTTTCCTGGGGGAAGATCGTTGAACGACCCCGGGGGACTTGGCTGATCTAAGCTGAACAAGTACCCATCAAAATTGGTAAAAATCCTACATTTATGGGGTAAAATCTAATTTTTACTGGGAACTTTCAATATCACACGGTCCATTTGCAAAATACTCTTTGCAGCCATGACATGCCATGACATCTATTCTTTATATTCATCATTTGAAACCCACAATTCATGGAGGTCTGGGAGATGTTCAAACAGCGACGGTCTACAGCATGGAGACGAGGAACTTGCCAACACAATTCAAAATTCTAAACATCAGAATGGAACTTCTGAGAAAACACTGGTGTAGAAAAATCACAAAACACTAGTGAGAAAATTATCTTTTTTGAACACTCGGAAATATGTGGAAATATACCTGGAAAATGATATTTCCCATGCTGCCAGGCTACCCAATGTGGCGGCAAACGGACCTTGAAGTGCGAGGGTCTGCAAGGACACTGTGGACATCCCCCCATTCGCTTGCAGATACAAGTACCAAGAATATACATACATATCAATAACATATACAAATACGTTGTAATGATACACACTTACATACACACACACACACATATATATATATATATTTTATACACATGCAAATACAATCAAATACACATATACTGTGGGATCATATAGGGACGTCTTATGCATACCTGGCGTACATATATAACATATATTCTCCATTGGCAGACGAGATCAACATGGGTTTGTCTGAAAATATGGCACGGTACCCCCTAACTTGATAGTTAAAGGAGAAGTTATATAATTGATAGTTATATATATATATATATATGATTGATAGTCATAAATGGCAAAAGTTCCCCATCATTGCGCTGAACAATCCTGTTTGCCTGTTATTTGATTGCCATAAATGAAGGCGCACCATGACAATTTCCGAAATAAATCCATATCAAACATATTCAAACATCCTTCAATTGTCCCATATCAATCCCCATAATCACAAGACCAAAATATCAAATGGTTAACAATCAAATATCGCCCATTCATATCCCATTAAATCCATGTTAAGCTGCTATCCATCAATTCTCATGGAAATCCCACTAGTTCAATCCCATAAAATCCCATGAAGTCGCTAGGTTCAATGGTAAAAAAAACCTATTAATCACTATTGAATTGAATCTCATTTTTTCCAATAAATCCCATTACCCTCTGGTAATTCAACTGTTTGCTATAGAACATCACCATTTTCAATAGGTAAATGCTTGCTACGGTTCTACAGGTCGGGGCCATGTTCAATTGCTATGTTAAAGTACCTGAGGGTAGATGGTTAAAGATTATGTTAAAATCCCTTTATAATCAGTATCGAATCCCATGAAAACATATGAAATAAACCCCCATGAAACGGAAGATTCATAATATCTGACCTAAGAAATTATTAGGCATTGTCCAATATTGTCCATCACTGCTTGCAGCATTAACATACACACACACATATATATATACATATACATATATATATATATACATATATATATATACCCTCTGGTTATTTAACATAGCCATGGAAAATGGCCCATTTATAGATGATTTTCCCATTAAAACCTCCATTTATTTGGTTAAATAACCAGATGGTATATATATATATCGATATCTATATATACACATATATTAATCCCATGGAAAGCATCCTATTCAAACCCCCCAAATCCTGCCGCAGTTTTCAGAAGTTCTCCCAGGCACGGTCGCCATGACCTCACCCCAAGTGCTCAGCACTTGCCCCTGGCCGGAAAACGATCTGAGGAACCTGGAAGTGAATAGAAATCAATGGGATTTTATGGGGACTCAAAGGGATTTTGAACATGGTGATTTGATGATTTGATGGGATGTTGATAGGGATATTTTTACGGAATCTAATGGATTTAATGAGGAATTTCATGGGTTTGGGATTGAATAGATTTTTTCGTTGAAGAAACGTCCATATTTTGAAGCAAATAACTTAATTATCAAACTTACAAGTATCAACTCGGACTGATACATCCAATGTCACCCAGTAGTAACCGCAAAAAATAAAACATTG